TTTGGTAGTGCAACAAGATCCCAAGTCTTGTTCTTTTCAAGAGACTGCATCTCTTCATTCATTGCCATAATCCAGGTTTCTGCATCTTTACTCGCCACAGCTTCTTTATATGTCTTTGGCTCATCAGAGCCAAGATCATCACCAACCGCTAGTGCATAAGCAACAGAATCCATGTCACACATATTGACACATCCTGCAAACCTAGCTGGTTTCTGAATATTTCTCTTTCCCTTTCTTGCTGCTATGGAATCTTCAACCCCAGTACCAGCGTCATCAGCTTCCCCCTCAACCGGTTTCCCTTGAGGTTTTGACTGATCTGGTTGATCGGATTGATCAATAGTATTATCCTGCTGCTTTTCCTCTAACACAACTCTGTCAGGAGTCTCAAACTCCACCCTCTGGTTAGCACCACAATCTTTTGTACCTGCAATACTTTCACAACCTCTACTCTGATCAAGCATAGCAGATTCATCAAAGGTTACATCTCTGCTAATAAGAAATTTACCAGGATTTTTACCTTCTGTACACCACAGTCGATAACCTTTTACTCCTGTTGCATACCCTAGAAATATGCATTTTACCGCCCTCGGCTCCAGCTTACCATCATTCACATGAGCGTATGCAGGGCATCCAAATATTCTTAGATTAGAGTAATCAGAGGGTTTACCGGACCATACCTCTTGAGGAGTCTTTAAGTCAATTGCAGTTGATGGAGATCTATTAACCAGATAGCTAGCAGTGTTTACTGCTTCAGCCCAGAATTGCTTAGACAAGCCAGCAAATATGCGCATACACCTAGCACGCGCCATGAGGGTTTGATTCATTCGCTCTGCAACTCCATTTTGCTGTGGTGTGTGTCGTACAGTGCGGTGCCTCACTATACCTTCTTTCTTGCAGAAATCATCAAATGGAGCGTTGCAGAACTCCAACCCATTATCAGTTCTTAGAGTCTTGACCTGTTTACCCGTCCGTTTTTCAACCATGGTCTTCCACTCCTTGAACTTCCCAAACACCTCATCTTTAGTTTTTAGAAAGTACAACCAGACCTTTCTCGAATAATCATCTATGAAAGTGACAAAGTAAGAACACCCGCCCTGCGATTTCACCGGAGAGGGACCCCATAGATCTGAATGAACATACTCCAGAATTTGTTTTGAAGTGTGATGACCGGTACTAAACCTCACCCTGCGTTGCTTCCCTTTGACACAAGCCTCACAGAATTGAATTTTACCTATCACATCTCCACCAAATAAACCCTGCTTGCTCAACACAGACAACCCTAGCTCACTCATGTGACCTAATCGCCGGTGCCACAAATTTGTCCTGTCATCGTGTTTATCCAAGGACTGAGATACCGCCGCCGTTCCCATCACTGAACTGCCCTGTAGAAAATAAATTCCATGCTGCAGTTTTCCCTTCATCATTACCAGCGCACCTTTCAGGACTTTCACCCACTCACCTTCACCATGATATTTTAAACCATTCTTGGCTAAGGTGCCAAGAGAAATCAAATTCTTTCTGAGTTCAGGAACATACCAACAGTCAAATTTCCTGACAGTACCGTCATGCAATTTTATCTGCACTACCCCGCTCCCTTTTATGGCTAGAACCCCATCATCACCTAACTTCACCGTTCCATTCCACTCCTTAAAAGAAGTGAGTAGATCACGAGAGAACGTCATATGGTGAGAAGCACCGGTATCCATAATCCAGGAGTCAGCAGTACTAGCACTACACGCTGTCAGAACTTCACCAAAGTCCCCATCATCAGAATTGTCTTGTACCACAGCAGCACTGCTGCCACTGTTACTAGAATCAACTTTTGTATTTCCCTTCTTTTGTGGACAATCCCTTTTAACGTGCCCTTTCTCCTTGCAAAGATAACACTTAACTTTGCTAGAGGATTTTGATTTTGAACGCGACCTCCCATTCCCGTTACCCCTCTCATGTGGTCTTCCCCTACCTGCAAACAGACCTGAACCAGAACCCTCTTCCAGAGAAACCTTTCTTTTCAATTCTTTGGACATAAGGGCATCTTTCACATCATTAACAGAAATTGTAGTTCTACCATATAGCATAGTATCTACAAAATTCTCATATGAACCAGGTAGTGAACACAATAAAATTAGGGCTTGGTCTTCATCATCTACTTTAACCTCAACTCCTTGAAGATCAAGAATGATACGGTTAAAGGTATCAAGATGATCCTTTACCTGAGTACTTTCGGACATCCGGAGGGTGTAAAGACGTTGCTTCTGATATAGCCTGTTCGTGAGGGAGTTGTTTTGGTACTTCTCACACAGTTTATTCCATAACCCAAAAGCCGTTGTCTGATCTACAACCTCCCGTAACACCTCATCAGTAACTGACAGCATGATCGCGGAATGAGCCCTTGCCAAAATCTCCTTATTTACCTCCTCCTTCGTGTCTTTAGGAAACTTGTCTTCTCCCTCCAACGCAGCCGCACATCCTTGTTGAACCAGAAGTGCCCTCATCTTGACCTTCCAGAGCGTGAAGTCATTCGACCCATTAAACTTCTCCAGATCAAATTTATACGAGGACATTTTCAATCAATGGGATATGGCTCTGATACCACTTGTTATGAGAAAACGAGAAAGAAAGCAAATAAAGAACACAGAGGTTTTACGTGGTTCGGTGACGGTGTGTCAACCTACGTCCACGGGCAGAAACCGGAGAGATTTTATTATACTGATTCAGAGATTTACAATATGTCATCCGACTAAGAACCATAGTTGTCTATTTATAAGCACCCCAAAACACCCTAAACCCTAAGCCTATTTGTTATTAATTAGGATAAGCCCAAAAGGAACCCTGCCAATTGAAACAGCCCTTTCGCTTTGGTTTAGGGTTGGGTAGACCGCTAAATCCAAGTCACGTTTCAACAATAATATTATTTAGTTAGATTTTAGGGTGTGTTTGTTCGTGGGTTTAAATTTTTTTGTTTGGATTTTTTTAAGTAAAAAGTTGAATTTGAATAGTTGTTTGATGTTATATAAATAGAAGTTGATGTAATGTTACGAATGTAAAATAAATTTGTATTAATAGTATATTAAAAAAAATAATTATTTAATTTGATATTTTTTTTTAAAAAAAGAATTGAACAGTAAAATTCTATGATAAAATTGACAAAAGAACACAACCTGAGTATATTTTTAAAATTTCATCTCTTTCTTTAATCAATTTTTTTGTTTAAAGATAAACTTATATTTAATCTTAATTTTTATTTACTTTGTCTTTTTCTAATTTTTTTATTAGGTTACTTTCAGTTTTGTTTGTAGGGTTATAGTTTAAAATTGATTAGAATTTATGTGTTTATTTGAATTTTTATTTTAAAATATTTTAATATAATATTTTGTAAAATAAAATAATATATTTTTGTTAAAAATGGTATAAAATAAATAGAGTATTAATTTAAATTGAAAATGACAAAAAGATAAAATATTTTCTAAAGCATCAAACTCAAACTAATTAAAAAACTCAAATACAAAATAAACTCTTGGTATTATTTTATGTGAGGTTATGAGTTCAAATCCTGACGCTTTCAGGTCCACATGTTATATATGGTTCGCCTAATGTGACTTGCTTTATCGGTTCGGCCGGGGACAGTTAAAATTTTTCATTTTATTTTTTTAAGCAAGAGCAACTCTGGAATGAATATCAAAATTTAATTTTGATTTTTTCACATTAATTTCACTTTAATATAAAAGTAAAATAGATATTATATTATTTTATTATATTACTATATATATAAAATATTAATTTATCTTAATTTATATGGAAAAGTCAAATAAAAATTTTTAAAGTGGATGAAAAGAGTATATATTTAAATTCTATTTTTGTATACAATAGTTTAAGGAATTATATTTTTGTATTAAGATTTTTATTTTAATTTTCATCAAAATAAACTATGAGAGATTGAGCTATTTTCTCACAGACAAGGTAGTTTAGATATTGTAGGTTAATAAATTATTAATAATAAGTTACGATAATATTTTATTATTTTTTATATGAGTTGTGTTGTTGCTATTTTAAATATTTTTAAAATTATATTTCAATAAAATATATGAAATATAGGTATCATTTTGTAGACAATAAAATTTTATATAATACAAATTAATAAAAAATATATATTTATTTATCATTACCATAAATAATGAAAAGTTTTAAATATATATAAAAATATTTGTTAATTAAAGAGAGATATAGAAATAAAAGAATTTTGAGTGGATCTTGTATAAGATGTTAGAAGTTTAATTATACATCATATCAAGACATATTTATATTACATTAAACAAAGATTTCAATTCAAACTTTTAGTATTTAAAATTAAAATTCAAAAACAAAATCTTACAAATATTTTTGGGTCAAACGCTTCTCATAAATATTATTAAAAAACTATATAATATACACATATTAGTATAATATACTATATATTTTATCAATTCAAACAAAAATTAACAATTCATTACAAAATATTAATATTTTTTTATATAATAAATACAATTCTCCATGAAAAACACTATGTTTCTTTAACTGAATTTTTCCAATTTTACTATTTTAATAATAAACCCAAATCATTATTATTTATTTTTTTAAACTCAACCAAAAGATGTAATAAAATAAAATAAATAGAAAAATAATATGAGTACATCAATAATAGTTATATTTATGGGTATATTTCTTTTGCAAAGTTTTCCCAAATTTTACTATTTTAATTCTGTATTTTTCGAAAAAAATATTTTTTTCCTTTCCTAAAATATTCCATAAAATATTATTTTTCACATCAAACCTAAATCAAATTTTTTCCAAACTTATAAATAAAAAAACACACTCTAATAAATATAAAATTAATGAATAAAATTTTAAAAGTTAATTTAATTTTTTTTAATTAAATATGATAATATATATATATTTATAGACAAATTAAAAATAAAATGGTAAAACAAGGGAGGACAGCGTCTCAATTACTCCATATGCTTATTCTTGCCGAGACCCATAGGGCATCTCATTTCAGTTTCCTTCGCATCTCATTTCAGTTAAAAACCTAAAACTACATTTGCATTTGCGAGAGAGAGCCAGCAGTCAACGGAATCCATGGCTCGCCACGCAACCAAACTGCTCGCCGACCTGTCGCGTCGCCTACAGCTGCACCACCAACGCCGTGCTTTTGGATCTCCGCCGCCACCGCCGGCCGTTTTCGTCGATAAGAACACCCGCGTCATTTGCCAAGGAATCACCGGGAAGAATGGCACCTTCCACACAGAGCAGGCGATCGAATACGGTACAAAAATGGTATCGTCTCGCTCTCAATTTGGCGCGTTTTGTGTATTTATTATGCTTCAATACTCATAGTATGGACCTTGGCGTGGAAATGAGCATCTGAATTATTGTTTGTTTGTAAAATAGTTCTTCCATTGGACAATTAGTATTGAACAATTAACGGAGATTTAGGTTTCCAGATACGTGCATAAGTTTGGAAGTTTTATAGTAACAGCACGGTTGACGGTTTAGTTATTTATAAATTTTTGCTAGGCTAAAGGAAAATGATAAACTATAATTAAATCTAGATCTTGTAGTCCATAGATGTTTGGTCTCCATGACTCAGGTTTGTTCCAACTCGCTGAATCAGTAATCCAATCTGGTCATTCATAATCATTGAAAAATAAATAAAAAAGAATAGGAGAAGCTCATTGTTAAATTTGACACCAGGCATGTGCACGCTTCAGATTTGCTTTAATCTTCAGTGTTTGTTGTATGTCATTATATTGATATAGTAACTGTTATATTAGTCTATCCACAGATTTGTGTATATTCAATATTTGATGTAATTATGTATATATTTCTAGTGATCTGTGTGGATTTTGATTGGAAGTAATTCAATATTGTCTGCATATGCATGATTTGTTGATGTTTATTTCACTTCGGTATGGAGGGAAGTGCATTATTGGGATTAAGATGTCAAAACTTCCTTTGGTTTGATTTTGGAGCATTTTAATCCCAATGACATGCCCTCTGTACATAAGTGAAATAAACATTAACAAATTCATGTGTGTAGATAAATTTGAAATGCTCTAATCCTTTATACCGGGGAATTGTTTTTGGATGGATTCAGGGCTGTGGATACAGGGCTTTTTGTTTCCAGGTAATTTGTTTGATGTTGTATCTGCTAGTGCAAAATAAAAATGTTTTAGGGAATAGGAAATTCTGAAACTGGAGAGGAAATTGAAATGAAATAAAACAAGTAACTGTTGGTACTATTTCTGGGGAACTAGACATATTACTTGAGGAGCTAATATGTTTTTAGGAAATTTAAATTAATATAAACATGTGAACTTATATTATACTCAGCCAAGGAAATTAGATTATAGTTCTAACGAGAGTTATGGATGATTAAATTGCACAACCTTGTCATGGAAAGTATTCTTCTTACGAGTTTCATCTACATTATTATTTATTGTATTATCTTTACTTTGTTTTATTTGTTGATTTTTGTAAATTTCAACTAAGTCTACTGTAAAAGTAGTCTTGAGTAATGTTTTAGACACAGGAAGTATTTTGAATATTGGAATGATAATCCTGTATAGAGTATATTTTTGTTATGTTGTCCTAATACATCCTGCAATATCTGCACACATAGGTTGGTGGAGTTACCCCACGAAAAGGTGGAACAGAACACCTGGGGCTTCCAGTTTTTAACTCTGTAGCAGAGGCAAAAGCTGAAACCAAAGCAAATGCTTCAGCAATTTATGTTCCTCCACCTTTTGCAGCTAAAGCCATCATGGAAGCAGTGGAGGCTGAACTAGATTTGGTTGTCTGCATTACGGAGGGAATACCACAACATGACATGGTACATATCTTGCTATACTGCATTTGTTTTCTCATCTTTTCTTCTACAGTTTAATTTTCAGATGAACTTCTGTTGGCATGGTTTCACCACAAAGAATCTTTTACGGCGTCACAAACAAAGTTAAAAGTTGAGGCTTGTACATGATAATCATCTTCTCAGCTGAGAGATTCAATCTCTTGTTGAGCCTGTTTTATGATAAATGCTGAGTTGCCTTCTAGTTAGGCATTTCGTCACCAGTATTACATTGACCCATTTTTGGTTAGAACATGAAAATTTCCTCTTGTCTCTCAATAAAGGTCAGCTGGTAAAATTGTTAACCAAAATAAATTTCTTGAAGTGTGATATTGTGAGATGCCTGTTAATATTTTCACATCTAATGTTTTAAAATGTTAAACTCCCATTATCTTTTCTATGGAAAAGGAGAAACAAATTCTTATTTCTCATGATTAAGAGCTTTCAATATTAGTTGTTTGTTAATATCTAGCTCATACTTGATATCGCTTCTTATTCCAGAAGGCTAACATTATTTAGAATGGTTTAATATAAACAGTACACAACTACAATTTTCTAGTTTTCATATTTGTTAATATATATTATTTTTTGCTAAGATAATAAATTCTGGCTGATAGTGATTGCTGTTCAATGATTAACTAATGATTTGGTTTTGTTCTATTATGTTGTCTGTGCCAAATTAAAAGTGCAACTTGAGGATAAATCACATCCAGCACAATCTGTTGTGTTATAATAGCACATAATAATGTTGTGGTATTCCCGCCCTCTGTGTTGGATTTATGAAAAATGTACTTATCTTGGTTTACAGATCAAGGCATTCTCAACTAGCTTATTATGTTGTCAAACTTCTTTACTAATGATTATTGCCATAAACTGCAGGTTCGTGTGAAGGCTGCTCTTAACAAACAGTCAAAAACTCGGCTTATTGGTCCGAATTGTCCTGGCATTATCAAGCCTGGGGAATGTAAAATTGGAATTATGCCTGGATACATTCACAAACCTGGACGTATCGGAATCGTTTCTCGATCTGGAACATTAACTTATGAAGCGGTACATAAAGCAAAGTATTATAGAATATTTGGCCATAAAGTCTGCCTTAGTTGATTTGTGGCTGACATATTGATGCAATTAGTACAAAGTATTATAGAAAATTCTCTAGTTGCTGTACATTTTACATTGTTGAAGCCAAAAAGCAAATGTGGCATAGAGTTGATAGCAGTTTTGAAAAATGTAGCTAAGAATCACTTAAGTAGTGTCTTACTTTCGTTTTTGGGCATGAGAGTACAAGTAATTACTTTATCAATTGCAGACAGTACTATTTGACACATGGATAATATTATACTTGTGTGTCTTTTAGGTCTTCCAAACAACTGCTGTTGGCCTTGGGCAGTCGACATGTGTAGGAATTGGTGGGGATCCTTTCAACGGAACAAATTTTGTTGATTGCATGGAAAGGTTTCTTGTGGATCCACAGACGGAAGGTAAATTTAGAATTCTTATTTCAACTTCAGTGTCTCTTGGGATAATTATTTAAATGATTCTCCTATGTTTTTTAGCCTAAGAGACAAATGTTATTCACGTGTTGTGTTGTAATAAAATCTCAAATTATGGTTTTATGCTTCTCAATCATATCTTTGAAGAAAGCAAAAACATCCATGATGCAGTTTCAGTATTTTGGTATTAAATATTTTCCTTGAGGGATTTGTTAAAATGGAGAAATTACCGGCATTGGCAATAATAAAAAATCAAAATATAACAAGGAGAAAACAAAGAAAAGAACTGTTGAAACTTAAATATCCCTTCTTCGTTGCAATAGGTTGTGCAGGACTTTCTGAACCATGTGTATTTATTGTGTTAAAACACTGGCAAACAAACTTCCCTGAATAATATAAACTAAAACCTGAATTGAACATGATTGCTAACCTCTGATTCATGCTCAGGATCTTGTGTAACAGCTCTGAATGCTGTGGTCACTTTTCAATGTGGCAGTGGTATATTGCAATAACAATTTATTTGTGACAATGCTTTATAGTTTATAGGTTTTCTCTTATAATATTTAAATTATTGCTGGATTGTAGGCATTTAATTAGAAAATGTGAACATATACAGTTCATCAGTCTTGAAAATTGGTTCGGTTTCTTCCAATTATAGGTGAAGTGTTTAGCGGGCTTATGTATTCCTGAATGGCAGCTGCTGTGTTAGACGTGATTTTTTTATAGTTGATATATTTTTTTGCCCTTTTTCTTTGTGTTCAGGTATTGTTCTTATTGGTGAGATAGGTGGCACAGCAGAGGAGGACGCTGCAGCCCTTATCAAGGTAGAGTGGTCCTCAATGGAGGGCCCTCTGTTATTTTCTATCTATTTTATTTTTACCTTATCAGATCCACTGGAAACAAATAACATTATTAAGATAAATGGACAAACGAATATCTATACACCGCAAATTTAATAAAATACTTATCTAGAGCAAAATTAAAACTCCTAGTGTCGGTTGAAGCTTGAAACCCTGAAGAATCATGAAATTTATATTTTTATGCATCTTTGCACCAGATTAACTACCGAACCTCGGGATGATTGTTTATTTTGAACTCATATTCAAAGTGCTTCCTTTTGTATTCCTTCATTAACTATTCTTCATATTTTAAGTTACTTTGTGCTACTACTGATTAACTTAACAGGAAAGTGGGACAGACAAACCTATTGTTGCTTTTATTGCTGGACTTACTGCCCCACCAGGTAGAAGAATGGGCCATGCAGGAGGTATTGTACTTCCCTGAGCTACTGTTAATTTAGTCCATATTCATGTGTAGTTAGTTTTATGGTTTTGGCTCTCTCATTTCCAGTGAATCTTGTGACAAAATACGGGATATATTTCGTTTATTTATTGCCCTTGAAAATTTCTTGGTAATATAATGAAAACTATATTATATCAGTTCTCTTCTATCTATTATATTAAGATTTTTATCCTGACCGCTTTAGTGAATTGTAAACACTAGTAATTGGCAATCCTTTTGGTTTTTTGGTAAAATAAATAATTCGATAACATCACTGTCTTGTGATAAAGATAAAATTACTTCAAGATACGGCTTCAAAAAAAAAAAATAATAATAAAATAAAAATGTTTTAATAACTCATTAATGTGCACCTAAATTTGGCTTTTAGCTCTCTGTCTGTATTTGTCTTTATTTGTATATGTTTATTAATTTAATAACATGCATGTATGCATTTTTTGTATAACTGGACTCAAATTTAGGATTTAGTTGTCATGTGACTAATGGTGAAGTATCTGACGCCACAAAGGTGGAATATTTGCAATATTTGCGTAGTCAAAATTAGTTGATTGCTTCTTAAAACATTATGGTAGAATGTAGATGAAATTCTCCTTTGAAAGAATTTCTCTTCATTTTGATAGAGTTTGCATTTTTAACTGTTGTTTGCCCTAAAAATTAAAATAAAGATTTGGTAATTAGTTTTTTTTAGAAGTTTCTTAACGTTAATGCACATTTTGATATCATCCCCTTAAGAGATGGGATACTCAACCCTTCCATTTCCTGTTTGGCTGGAGGGAGAGGGACAGTTGAGTGTTTACATAAAATAAAATTTTTCTTTCTGTAGTGTTTTATTTCTGCAATGTGAAAATAAATTCTAGCTAGGATCACCGACTTTTAGCACTTATTTCTCTTTGCTTAGCACCTCACTATATTGCATAAAATTACAAATTGAAGTATGAACAATTCAAAGCAAAAGTGAAATTTATTTTGCATTACACATCCTATATATATATATATGTAATCTAGATAGTTGATGGGAAGCTACCAAACCGCTGTTGTGATATGTATGATTAACTTCTCTTCGAGGTGTAATCTTAGGGTGTGTTTGTTTGGGGGTTTGGATAGTAAACATTTTGAATTGAAATAGTTGTATTATGTGGTATAAATAGGTGTTGATGTTCTAAATATAAATTTGATTTTTAGTATAATATAGAAAATTAAGAAAAGATGTTTGATTTAATATATTTTTAGGGAAAAACTTTGATAAATAGTAAAAATCTGATTTTGCAGCTATTGTATCGGGTGGAAAGGGTACTGCACAAGACAAAATCAAGACCCTCAGAGAAGCTGGGGTGACTGTGGTCGAATCTCCTGCCAAGATTGGCACTGCGATGCTCGAAGTCTTCAAACAGAGGGGCCTAGTTTGAAGCTGATCACCACTCAAGATTTGGTCAGTAATTTCTCCCCTCCCTAATTTTCTTGGGTAGGCAAACAGAGTTAGTGTTCTCGATTCATCGGATCGGATCCGTCATGGCTTTGCAATAACGAAGACATGAATTTTTGTTATTTGTGCAAGAGATGGTGTTTGTGTTGGAATCTGCCATAAAATTCTATTGCAGGTTCGGCTCATAGGGTGGCTTCTTGTTTTTCGATTGAAGGAAAGTTGTGTGTGACGACAATATTATTATTATTATTATTATTATTATTATTATTTTGGCTTCATTTCTATGATACCCGTGCTTAAAATAATGTATAATGAGATATTTTGTGGGAGAAGAAAATGTATTTTTTTCCGATAAATGCAGAGTTTAAAGAGTAAAAATTTGGGGTTTGGTGATTAAAGAAACACTTGTTTCAATATTTTTGTCTACATTTGTGCTTCCTAATTATTAAAGTGTATTTCGTCGAAATAGCATTATTGGATTCTTTTTACATTAGGTTTCACACTATGTCTATGTTAGTTGAAGAGCGGCTCAACTGCTTACTTGCGTTCATGTATGTATTCTCACCTCTAACATTGAAAAGTGCCAATGAAGAAGATTCAAGAATATATATATATATATCATATGTATTGTTTGTTATGCTATCACAGTATTTTTGTATATTGTTTCTAATAGAAATTGCTGACATGATAGTAAACATAGGCTATGGGTGAAAGTTGTCTTATTTTGTCAAATTTTTACTATTCATTATTTTTTTTTCTAAGAATATCATATCAAATATATATATTTTTTTATATTATACTAAAAATTTATATTATTTAAGTAATATTATACAACTATTTTACTTTTAGATTTTTATTATTCAAATTTCAACGTAAAATTCGAACCTCCAGGACCATCTCCAATGCGACGCCAAAATTGACGTTGCATCCCCATATTTGCCGCTGACTGTCTCTATTTTTTGTGTTGCACTGTAGCAAATGCTATTTATGGTGTGTTTGTTTTATTTTATTTTTAAAATTTTTTTAATTTTAAAATTTATAAATTTGACTTTTAAATTTAATTTTTATTTTTTAAAATTTTTATTTAAAATTATAAAAATAAAAAAGTTAGTTTAAAATAATAAGAAAAATTGAATAATTGAAGAGTAATAGTGAAAAATGGAGCTATGGTTGGAGTAAAATTTAGCAACTGCATATTCGAAGATAAAATTGGATAAATAGAGTTGATGGACTAGAGATGGCCTAAATGAACACACTTTGTAGTTGGTTTTTCAACGGAAATTGATAAATCAAAAAAGAAACTGGTTTCAAATTTAACTTCCACGCCATCGTACCATTCTTACCGGACTTACATTATAATATTTTGAGTGGTCAGAATATATTGTTTTCAATTTATTTAAATGAAATGGCAATTTTGTTTCTATACATATATAAATATCACACATTTTTATTTAATACATCATATCATATGCTGTCGATTCGTACTTACATGTATGAATACATATCTTGTGTTATGATCAATGATAATATTTATTAAGTAGACTATTGTTATATTTGTTAGTTTCTATGGTCATTTATATTATATTAATATATTCATATTCTTTTTACTATTAATTCAATATAAAAAAAAATTAGATTAAAAATAGACAAATAAATATGTAATGTAGATTAGTTTTGTGGGAAGAGAGTGAAGTACGGAAGCGTGTAACGGCAATGGACAGCTCAAATTGGAGTCGATATTTTATATTTATATGTATGCATTAGCCTAGTATAACGTAACGGTACCCACCTACGTACCTCACACCTCCTCCGCCGTACATCCAGACGGTTATTATCCAACGGTCCAGATCATCCCGCCCTCTCTTTAATTCAACAACTTCCCGCTGTGCTGCAAATCGACGTCCCATTCCTCAAGATTGATACCTGTTGAGCCTCCACGACGATCTCCGCTGCTCTCTCAATCGCATTTCGAGTAACTCGCTCTTTGGTTTATTAAGGTGAGGTGCGTTTTTGTTTTTGTTTTTGTTTTGGTTTTATGCGATGCCGTGGCTGTATGAATTATCGTTTTGGAATGAATCGAGGATCGGATCGGATCCGTGAATGTTGGTATCGTTTTGGCATGGAAGGATGTTTGGCATGTTGTTTGATCATCCTGCCAATTGTGTTTGGTTTGTAATCTGGAAATTTCGAATTGAATTCGTTGTTTTGTTGCGCATTTGAAAATTATTGTTCGTTCTAGGTTGAAATCAAGGCGTTTGTGATATGAAAATTTCGAATATGAAAATTAATTGTTCTAGGTTGCGCATTTGGTTTTGTAGTATTTTGTTGCGATGGTGTGGTCCAAACTGTATTGTTTTGGTGCTCTTCCACGCTGATTATGCCGGATTTAGGATCATGTAATGTCTTTTATTAACGAAATGAATCCAGTACAGGAATCAGTAGTACAAGATGGGAGATGCGGAGGATATTCAGCCACTCGTATGCGACAATGGAACAGGAATGGTGAAGGTATTTACATTTCATAGAATGAAGAAATTCGAAACGCCTTTCATCTTCGTTGCGACCATTAATTCAATCTGAAAAATTTTACAATTGATGAATCATTTCGTTACATATGTGTTGCTCTTAGGCTGGATTTGCAGGAGATGATGCTCCGCGTGCTGTATTTCCCAGCATCGTTGGACGTCCTCGCCACACAGGTGTGATGGTCGGCATGGGCCAAAAAGATGCATACGTTGGAGATGAAGCTCAATCCAAGCGAGGTATTCTAACACTGAAATATCCAATCGAGCATGGAATCGTAAGCAATTGGGACGACATGGAGAAGATATGGCATCATACGTTCTACAATGAGCTTCGTGTCGCTCCTGAAGAGCATCCGATCCTCCTGACCGAAGCTCCGCTCAATCCTAAGGCTAACAGGGAGAAGATGACTCAAATCATGTTCGAGACCTTCAATGCTCCTGCCATGTATGTCGCCATTCAAGCTGTCCTTTCTCTGTACGCCAGCGGTCGCACCACCGGTAACCACATCGATCTATCTCTCTCTCTATATATGTATATCGATCGTATCGATAATTAATCGAATCGAATCGTCTCTCCTGTTAAGGTATTGTGCTGGATTCCGGCGATGGCGTCAGCCACACGGTTCCGATCTACGAAGGCTATTCCCTACCGCACGCGATCCTTCGTCTGGACTTAGCCGGCCGCGACCTCACTGATTACCTGATGAAGATCCTGACAGAGCGTGGCTACTCTTTCACTACCTCTGCAGAGAGGGAAATCGTGAGAGACATGAAGGAGAAGCTCTCCTTCATTGCGCTCGACTACGAGCAGGAGCTGGAGACCTCACGAACCAGTTCATCTGTCGAGAAGAGCTACGAGCTGCCTGACGGACAAGTCATCACCATTGGCAATGAGAGATTCCGTTGCCCCGAGGTTCTCTTCCAGCCTTCATTTATAGGCATGGAAGCTGCCGGCATCCACGAGACGACGTACAACTCGATTATGAAATGCGACGTGGATATCAGGAAAGATCTGTATGGAAACATTGTTCTGAGCGGTGGAACCACCATGTTTACCGGCATTGCCGATAGGATGAGCAAGGAAATCACAGCACTTGCTCCGAGCAGCATGAAGATCAAAGTGGTGGCTCCTCCTGAGCGGAAGTACAGCGTCTGGATCGGTGGCTCCATTTTAGCATCTCTCAGCACTTTCCAGCAGGTTTGCATTTTTATTTTTATTTTTTTTGATTGCTGCGAATTGGATTTGATGAAGATGGTGAATCTGCATACTGTAATGGTGTTTGTTGTGCAGATGTGGATTGCTAAGGCTGAGTATGATGAGTCTGGTCCATCTATCGTCCATAGGAAGTGCTTCTAATGGAGCAAGAGCAGTTCCTCATCCGCCATTGCAGCAGGAGCAAGAGCAGTTCCTCATCCGCCATTGCAGTAGCAATAGCAAGGTACTGTTCATACTACTTTTCAGCAAGTTTTTCGTGAATTTTTATTAGAGGATATACGCCATGCCAGCTAGCTATATTCATTTCTTGAATTTTTGTTTTTCGAATTTTGTGATTTCTCAACTTAATTACTTTTTTCTTATTTGAATTTTAATGCATAGTAAGTACACTATGGTTGTTTCTTCAACATCTCGTTTCGTATCCATTTCTCTGCTTCCAATCTTTGTAATCTAAAGTGTTCTATTATTTTGATTTTATTTTTGAAATAGTTATTATTTGCTAAAAAAATTTAAAATAATATTGAAGAATCATTATATTAAGGGAACAAATCATAATTTCGCATCAAATTATTTGTCCTTGGATAAGAATAAGAACTCATAGAGGAAAGATTTTTTTTTTTCATATAATTTGTATGAAAAATATATTGTTGGATGTAATATTTATAAATAAATAAATAAATAAATTACATAGTAAAACCCAAGAAAAGGAGAACAGGCCCTAATATTTGTATTATCATTGCATTTAAAAAAGTTTAATTTAATTCAAGTAATTGAAGTTAATCGTCACCTATACGTTACAACGGATCATCAAATTCAGTTATAACAATTCTGTATTATATTACTACTATAATGTTAATATTATAAATTTATGTCTGTTTCTTTTTTTAAAAAAGAAATAATAAAAAATAAAAAATTAATAATATTTAAATATTTTATTGGGGGAATTAGTTTAGATGTTTTGTTGTTTTTTGAGATTGAAAATTATGTTTAATGTGATATTTTTTTTCTTGAAAAAAAAAACTATAAATAAATAGTTTCGAAAGTGATTTTTGAATTGATATAAAGAGAACGTAATTTTAATCATAAAAAAAAATAAAAAATAATAATAATAAAAGGAAAGTATAAATCTGTTTCAGTTTCTTCTCACAGGAAAAGGAACACAATGGAAAACATTTCCCAATTATTGTTCGTTGTTAATCTATGTTTAAATCTAAATCAATCCTCCATGATTGCAACAACTTCATCAAATTCCAAATTATATATTCCATAAATCAACTCCAACAATCACATGGATTCGAAGTAATATAGTTCTTATTGGATCTAGTAAAATCATGAATCAAATAGAACATCATTCAGGGTTGAACTTATATGTCTATGCCGTATAAATGTATCCAAGGTGATAATGAACATTACTTCCGCTACAAATATTACAAGTTTGTCATCATCGACAAGCTCAAAACTTGTTTTAACTAAAAAAAACTCTGTATGTATCCTCCGGGTCAGTAACATTGTCAGAATTTTCTATATCAGATCAACAGGTAGGACCAGTAGGTTAACCATACTCATCTTCTACGAATGAATTTCCCAGATTCCAGTTCTATAACCTACCGACATCAGAGCCAACTCCCACAACATGTTAGGAATGCTTAGTAAATTAACCTTTGATCCTGGAATTTCCGTCCAATTCACAGATATCTCAACCATAGGGATACGGAAAATTTTGCATAGGTATACTAGTTCAACATCAAAGCACCACCTGCAAAAAATGGAATGTTCTCCGTCTTTAAGAGATAGAACAAGACAATAAGAGTGTATTGAGTTATCTGAGCAATAAACCGAGACAAAAACTAATGTCCACCTTTAACTCCAAGACAACCCAAATCATATAGTTCGAAGAAACAACAATTCTGAAATATACAAACAGTAATAAAATAAAATTCATGTAGCACATTTCTTCTGTGTCCAAAACTCTGATTCAAACAAAGTTTCTAGTAAATAAAGCACGATGCATATTCAAGTAAAGTTCCTGTTAGCGAGTAGAGTATATTATTAGGGGTAAACCAGAAACTCTTTAGGGTCGAGGCTCACTAGATTATTTATAAAAAAGTAAATCAAATTGGTAGGACAAAAAGGTTGATGATTATGAATATTCCAAGGGTGTAAATTTATAAACAGATTAATCCAAAGTAAACAGTAAACACACCCTAAATGAGAGAATTCCTTTGGAATTAGACTTCTATGCTTAATAGAATCCTTCATCTTTCCTTACGAATCATAGTTACGAGGATTTGAGACGAGTCATTAGAAAACAATTTGTAATTTTAGTCTATTCTGTTGGATCCTTGTAAAGGTATTCCTGTATATTTCTTTCATTAAGTTCTTTGTAAGTAAATATTTGCTTTGCAACAGTCCTATTTAGATGATTAATAAAAATAGTGTGTTCGCTTAACAATTTCTTTCAACCATTCAACTTTCACGATTCCCTATAAGAATACATTTTTTTCCCCCAAAACATCACATTCAAACCAAAACAAACCTCCAAAAAAAGTAATCACCATTGAAACACACCCCTAATGTGTTTTAAGGGAAGGAGGGGTTAAAAAAGGTAAGTTTCACAATACAATTGCATACTAATGTATTCACTTAAGACATTTTTGCGCCACAAAAGAAATAGTTACCGTTTCAAGCGGATATTAACAAATAGCTTCCGGGCAGCAGCTCTAGTGAACATCTTAAAACCACACTGAATAGGGGAGACAGGAAAAACAAAAAGAAGGTTAACAAAGGTAATGAAAGGAAATGAAGAAAGATAACTGACAAAAATAAAGGCCTGGAGCAAGAAATTTGAAAGTAGAAAGGAATAAGGTTACCTGCGTATCCCGAATTCCAGGACCAGCAGCAAGGAGAACTACCAGATGGAAACCTTTCATCAAGAAATTCCGATACCATTTCCTCTGGAAAACAGAAAGAAAAGAAGAAAAACTCATAATAACATTCAAATTTACTGGTAATAAAACAATGTACTAAGCAAAATATAACCCAACTGTTGCTAGCGCCTTCTCTTCAAGATGAGCACGAGACCCGAAAGCAGCAACCGGGACATCTGCAATTCTCAAGATTACGTCACCAGTTGAAGCGTCTTCAAGCATCAGTTCCTTGGCAGCAACTGCATGAATCTGAAGGGAAGCAATTGGTATATTGAATAAGATAAACTCTCAATTTCGAGGTCTCGTCATTAGGCATGTAAGTTAGCTTTTCTGCTTGAGGTATTGATATTAATATATAGAGCTAATGATGATTGTTATATATTTCTTCGGAAGCTGTAACACACTCAATCTTTATAACTCATAACTACAACGAACCTGATTTTCAAGTTTCTCGAGGTCACTCACTCTAGTTGCTCCATCAGCATCAAGCATTAACAATAATTCACCACGTGAGTGGAGCATGCCCTGTTTAGCAATGCTTCCCAGAAGCAGTTCGATTCAATGACTGGTCAGGGTAAAATCTAGGATATGAACACAGCAAGGTGTTGCTGTACAGATTATTTAAACTCGACTCACTTTCCTTATAGCTTCTCCCTTCCCATGGTTCCGTCCAAGAAGGACTAATCGAACATTATCAACAGCATATCTCTTCACAAAGTCGAATGCAACTCGTTTTGTACCATCAGTACTTCCATCATCAACAATCACCACCTAATCCAATGTTTCCATAAAAAATAAAAAAATAAAATAAAATTAGTAACATAAATTTATACTGTGAAATACAATGCACCTTGTTGGCAAAAATATTGTATTTGGGCAGCTTTCATTTCATTCAAACAGCCATTTTACTATCAATGCATGCATCGTCAAAAGGATAACTTCTTAATTTTTCATCATGCTGACATCTCTAAATCTGAGCCAGAGCCAAGGTAGATATAATTACTTGTTTAATACTTTTGACTAAGAGACTTAAGAGCATCCGAATATCCTATAGATAAATTATCGGTATTCTCAAATTCCCCGTATCTGAAACACAGAATCCTAAGGATGTGCTGCATACAGAGTGTGCTTGACAGAAGCTACAAATAGAAGAGCAGCATTCATTAATAGTTCCAATAATATACCTCATATGAAAAAGACTCGTCCTTAGCGGCACGTTCTTGAAGATAACTACAATTATAAAATTAATGATCAGAATCCCAGCAAAGATAAATATAAAAGGCAAAACGAATTATCATTAATCCAAACTTAAATAACAAATTACTCGAAGCTTCTTTTCAGTACTTACATCAAGTACATTAACAATTATTAAACTTAACATCATTAGCTTCAGGGAGCGTCGATTAAGCAAAGCATAGTTCAAGAAAACACATAGTCTTGTTTACATCGGGAGACAAACTAAAAGAATTATATAGCATGTTTTTCCAAATTTATTTGTCCAATTAGACCTTCATTATCACAAAAACCTCAAATGGGAAACATCAATATCATTCAACGAATCTATAAATTCACACACCGTTACTAAATTTTGGAATAACACAAAAAGATAAAAGCTACGGAAGAAACCGGCGCAATGTCCTTACATTAAGGTTTCCTCAAGGGCTCCCGGAAGCCTATATTCCTCATTGTATGCTGGAACAATCAAGGATAAGTACTTTTCCGCCGAATCAAGAATATACGGACAAGGAACCTGGAATAAAATTTCTCAAGATAGTAATTGAAACATGAGCTTGAAAATCCAAGCAGTGAGAAACTTCAAAACCAATTTTCCAGGAATTGCTTAAGTTTTTATTCAGTCAGATCATCTACCTAACAAGATCTTAAAACCCTTTGATGCTTAATTCAGACAGAATCCCATCTTTACCAAGCAATTTATACAGTATAACTAATCCAAAAATCTGAAGGCATTGCGAGGAGATAATGAATCAAGCAACACAATGAAAAACAAACCAAAGTGATGAAATCAATACAGACTCTTAATATCACATAATTAAATGAAGTATCGAATACCCACAGGCTTCAATGAATTCGGATCCTCGAAAACAGGAGGCGCGTCAACGTGACAGCTAAAATAGAAAAACAAGAACAACATTAACACTGCGAAAGATAAAAATACGAGATCATGAATTATGGACAGACTGAAGATGCAAGCACACATACATGTGGTTGTTCTTTCTCCTGAAAGTGGCGAGAACAATGGCGGTCATCAATCCCAAAACTAAAACGGAAGCGGAGATGGATAGGAATTCGAACAAGGTCCATATGAATCCCATTTCTCCGGGGAAATCTAGAATTGAGAAGTGGAACAAACTTTCCACAAGATTCGAAAGCTATTACCAAAAATTATGACAGGAATTTGCAGGAATTCGGGAACCCCGATTTGGGTGAAGATTTTCCCGTCTAGTCCGTCGTAGAACGTAGAGCATTTGATTTAGGGTTTCAAAGCATAACTAGACTAGGGGTAGAATTTTTTTATTTTATTTTTTTAATAATTTAAAATTAATATAAAATAAATTTTTAATTTTAATTTTTATTTAAATAATATTTTGACGTGATATATTATAAAAAATAAAAAAAAAATTATTAAAAACTATAGAGGTGAATAATATTTGATTTTGATTTGGAATGTTAAATGAATATATTCTTAAATTTTTATTTTAATTTTTTTTTTAAATTTTGGTTTAAAATTTTTATTAATTTTTAAAAATTAATGTGAATTATAAATATAAAAGATGGTTTAAAATAATATATAAAATAGAATATTTAAAAAATATTAATGAAAAATAAAGTTGTGATTGAAATAAAAATATTGTAAAAATTGTATTTTTTTTTAAGTTAAAATTATATAAATAGAATTTATAAGTTAAAGATAACTTGAATAGCCAATTCTGCTTCTAAGTTTATATGATACATTATTTTATACTCCCTCTGTCCAAGTAATAATTATTACTTCATCCGTCTTAATACAATAGTCATGTTTATAATTTTTTTTCGTCTCAAAATAATAATCTTATTTCTATAAATAATCATATCATCATAAAATTACCCCTATTTTTTCATTTTTATTACACAATTGTCACTATTTTTTACACTAATACACTCACAAGGACAAAAAAGTTTTTTATCAATACTTTTTACCAACTACCAATATAATATCAATATTCCTGAAATCTGCTCAATTCAATTAAGACTATATTTATGGGACGGAGGGAGTACTTTTTACTTTATACTCCCTCCGTAGTAATAATTATTATTTTTTATGCGAAATTTTAAAAATAATAGTATTTAATTATAGTGAGTAGTTAAAAATAATATAAAAATAATTTTGCCTTACCTTTTCGCATATTTTAATGATGTCATGATAAAGTATGAATATTTTGTGTAAAAAGAATGAAGTATTTAATAAAATTGTTATTTTATAATTCGACAATTCAAAATAAAAATATATATACTTTGTGAATAAATGAAAAAAATATTTGATAAAAATACTGATAATTGGACAAAAATTTGAATGTATTGTTTGTCTATATACTTTTTTGTTTTTTTACATGAATCCCGTTATAACAAATATTTCAATTAAACCACGTTACTGCTATCCGTATGGCCTTTTTTTTTTGCCAACATATTATTGAACTCTTCTCCAACAAAAACTGAAAATTCTTGAAATAATTTCACTTTTGTTCAAATCCCATGCCTTGTGATTGTGTAATTGCCAAAGTTTAATATTGTTTTTGCAATTCAAAGATCGATGTCTTTACTTTTGATTTTGAAATTTTAGTCTCACCGTTTTTAATGTTACTGTCATTTTAAAATTTTTAATCGAAGAACTATGAACCTCCGTTGACTATTGGATTCTTGATGTAACATTATTTATTTATTTTTTCGGTCTTATCTCTACATTTTGAGATTGGCTTCACTATTTTTGAAACCATGACAAAAATTTAGAGTAACTCGGAGTATGGTTTAGATTATATTTCGTTACCCTTAGTGAAACTAACCTCTAGTATAATATTTTTAAGAGATAACCGATTCCAAAAGAATTTTTTTTTTTTTTTCTTTAAAAATCTTCTATTTTGGCCAAACCTCTCAAATGCTATTGTCTATAATTTCTCTTTTGAATATCTATCATCCTAACCGGAAAACACATCATTGATCTGTCTGGCCACACCCCAATGATATTTATTTTGGGTAAAAATAGATCACAATCGACCTTTATATCCGTATGATGACTAACTTAAGATAAATTTCTTTAATCGCCGTTTGAATTTTTTTAATAGTAAAAATTTGAATTTAAATAATTGTTTGATGCTATATAAATAGATATTCATGTCATATTTTGAATATAAAATTAATTTTTTACTACAATATAAAAAATAAAAAAATTAATATTTGATTTAATATATTTAGAGAGATTAAAAAAATAACTAAAAGGTAAAAATCCATAATTAAAAAACACAACCATGAAAATTATCTCACTCTTACCACTAATAGTGTGTGTTCATTTGAGTTTGTTCGAACTTGTTTAATTATATATTGTATTTTATTTTATTTTTTAATTCATAAATCTAATCTTCTATTTATTTATTTATTTTAAAATGAATAATTTTATATATTTATTTTTAAACGAACGTTCATAAATAAACTCAGCCTTATTCGTTAAAAAAAAAAAAAGAGTTTATTATGTCGTTTGGCTTGACTAATTTACATTCACAGATAAGTTTAAATCGAATCGAAACTAGCCAATTTCACGAACAACTTAATTCATTTAAGAACTCCAACATTTTGACTATGAACTATGTACCAAAATAATTGTATAATACTATGATTGTATATGTTTTGACTACTTAAGCCTATATTTGATCTATATCAATAAAATTTTAACTCCAATTCTAGACTTTATGCTTCATATTTTATTATATAAAATATATAATATAATGTTAATGGTTCCATGGACAAGTGACTAATTAATTATTCAAATTAAAAATTATGAACCAAAAAAATTATAAGAAGTTAATATAATTTTTGGATAGAAAGAAATCAAATAAATCACAAAATTGGTTTGATTGATTTTTTGTTATTCATAATTATAGTAATGACACAATTAAAATAGATTTGTGCATAGTTAATTATTATAAACTAGTGGAAATTTTCATTTATATATATTTTATACATTTTTTTAAATGGCATTACAAATTATATTAAGAGAATAATATTTAAATTTCAATTTCATTTGACATATTTAATAGTTATTTTCTATAAATATATATATTTTTTCATTTTATGTTATTTTTCTAGATATGCAAATCTATGATTAGAATCTTCTATGATTTTATAAAATATACTAGCATACAAAAAAATGGAATGACTTTTTTTATGGATTGTAAATAACATTTATTTTTCTTTTATTTGTAAAATTAAAACTCATACCAAAATATATTTTTATATGTCGATATTTACTTATATATATACTATTACCAATAACATTATTTTTTAACACAAGTAAAAATATTCCATAAGATACTTAAAACTATGAGGGCTCAAATAACATTTATTTTTCTTTTATGTTTAATTGTGTTTGTGAAAGGTTATTATTTCTCTTCATTTTTTCTCCGATTCATAATTTTGTCTTATTTATTCATACAATTATTGCATTTTTTTTCCACCATAAATATAATATCCATCTTATTGGTGTTGTCTTAAATTTTCAACATTTTACGATTTGATTTAATATTTTGAACGATGATACATCTTTGTCTTTTAAAAATCTTAATAAATTATTATAAAAAGTAATGAATTAGTGACGATTTAAAAAACCATCATATTTTTTATTTTTGTAAAAATATTCACAATTAATCATATTTTAGTAAATATTCAATAAGCATAATCAAATCATTTCGAAGTTGATTATGCATTAATAAATTAATATTGGATGATGAAAATAACTCTACATTTTTTTAGTTGTTTGTTTATATGTAACGTTTTCAATTTGTAAATTTCTATCTCCGTATTTTGTTGCAGGTGATAGGTATGAAATCAAAGCCAAAGTTTGCAAGAAACAATTTGTTTTGGAGAATCCCGATTGCGACATACCAAGTTGTAATAAACTTTGCTTGAAAAATATTAAAGCACAAGGCGTTCAAGGTCAATGTGTATTAAGTGATACATGCGAATGTATTTATCGATGTAGTTAGAAATTTACCAATGTGCTTGCAATAAAGAGATGTTGTTTCGGTAATACTAATAAAATTAAAACATTCTCATATTTCTATTTTATATGTTTTTTTAATATTTATATTATTGAAATGAATGTAACAATAAGCTAGAAGGATAGTTAGTTAATACTCCTTCCGTCTCCTAACAAACTATCAATTTTTTCATTTTAGTCCGTCCCATAACAAAATATTTATTTCCTTTTTCAGTAATTGTACTATCTATCTAATGTTACAAATACCCTTACAACTTATAGTATATTACACAAATATCATTACCTTTATATCACACAATACTAATAAAGTTATTTTAGTCATTTCTATTTTATTCCTACTATATCCCAATATAATACTAATATTTCTAAAATCCCATGAAAAAACAAATGGATTCATAGTTATGGGACGGAGGGAATATATGAAAATAATATGATCTTACAATGATAGTTACAAATATTAATTATGATCTTGTACGAATAGGATCAAGATTATTGAAAATTTTGTATATGATGAGTTATAGATTAATTAAAGTACACAAATTTATTGTGTTTGAAAAAAAAAGTAGAAAATAGATATTTTGACTTGACAGACAAAAATAGCAAAATGGATACCTTAGACTTAATGGAGAAAGTATAAATAATACTCCCTCCATCCTATATTTATTTATTTGTTTGCTTTTTACACAGAATTTTAAGAACATTAGTATTATATTGAGATACCTTATTATTGGACATATCAAAATAGAAAAATGAATAAATTGTCAGGGACTGAGGGAATATACAATATATATTTTGACATGACATTATATAATTTTATACTCCTATTGTCTCGCCACAGATGACCCTATTTCCTTTTCGGTACATCCCACAAAAGATAACCCCTTTCTATTTTTGGTAAGTTTATCAATCTTAAATATACTTAACAAATAAAAATCAATTTAATTAAACTTCTAGTAAGATCCACTCAAAACCCCTTTATTTATATCTCTCTTCAATTAAAAAATATTTTTATCTGCCTTTAAAACTCTTCACTTTTTCTAAATCTAATTTGAGGTAATAATAAATAAATAAATAAATTTTTTTATTCATTTGTACTATATAAAATTTTATGGTCAACATGATATCCATATTACATATATTTTACTGAAATATAATTATAAAAATATTTAAAATACCAAAAGCACTACACATATAAAAAATAATAAAATATTATCATAACTTATTATAAATAACTTAATAACTTACCCTACCTAAAATACTTAAATACTGTGTCCCTAACAAAATTACTCATCTTTCGAGGGATAAAGGGAGTATAATATATTAATAATTTCAATATAATAAACATATTTACACATTAAATATAATATATAAATTGCGTAATACATTATTCTCTGTAACACAAACTTGTACTGTATTTAATAAAAGTATGCATTGCTCGTGGAGATGTAATTAAATAGAGTAGTAAATTTTAAATGTAATATAAATAAAAATTAATATGATATTTTAAAAATATAATTATTATTTTTAATACTTCATTCGTCCCAATTTTTGTTCGTCCTAAAACAATAGTCTTAGTATAATTACTTTTACTCTTTCATTATTATATTACACAATTGTTATTATCTTTTACACTAATACACTCACAAGGACAAAAATATCTTTTATCTATAATTTTTACCCGCTATCAATATAATATCAATATTTTTTAAATCACGTGACCAATGCAACCAAGATTGTAGTTCTGAAACGGAGGGAGTATAATATAAAAATATATTTAATTTAATATTATTTTTTTAAAAAAAATAAATAAATTTTGTAAAGAGTAGAAATAAAAACAAACCATCCATACTACGGCAGCACAACACTCATTGCCCAATTCAGCCGATCGCTATTTTTCCTTATTTGTGGATACAGACAACAAATTAAATTAAATTAAATTAAATTATATGCTTATTTTGCTGTTAATTTGTGACGTTGATTTAGGTAGGAACTGTCCTAAAATTTGCAAAAATAAAATAAAAATTTATGGAGTACTAAACACAGCAATATATGTAGTTATATTTTTAATTTTATTTTCACACATCGACTGGGTTTGGGAATTAGATATTTAATTTTGAAATTTGAATAATAAATTTTTAATTAAAATAATTATATGATGTATTATAAATTAAAATTATATTTTAAATATAAAATTAATTCTAAATTACATAAACCTATAAACAAATACAATCATTTTATTATTCTACAACATGGCTATGTTCACATATATATTTGTTTGAAAGATGATATTTTAATTTTTTTGAAAAAATGAAAAAAGAAAAATCACATTTATTACTCTATCGGGTTACTGTGGATTTATTCATTTTGTCATTTTATTTTATTCAAAATCAATTTATCGATTTTTTTTTACTACTTTTCACTCGAATAAAAAATACTCATATATTTTGTACAATATTACAATAGAATATTAATAATCTATATACAAAAAACAAATGCATAAATAAAATACTCATTTCGTTCCGAAACTAAATATCAATTTGCTTTTTGCACGTAGTTTTAGAAATATTAATATTATATTGAGATATAGTAAGAATAAAGTAGAAATGACTAAAATAACCTTATTAATATGTGTGATATAAAGGTAATGACATTTGTGTAATATATTGTAAGTTGTAAGGGTATTTGTAATGTTAGGTAGATAGTACAATTACTAAAAAAAGGAAATGGATACTTTGTTATGAGACGGACTGAAATAAAAAAATATATACTTTGTTATAAGACGGAACGGAAGGGTAATAAATAATGAATAGAGAGTATATTTTCTTTTTTTTTTTAATAAAATATCACATCAAATATTCATAATTTTACTATTTTTAACATTTTCAAAAACTTCAAAGCTTAAAAAAAAATCTAAAAAAACTATATTATTATTTATTTTTTAAAATTCACATTAAATACCAATTTTTCTACAGATAGTATCATATTGATAGTTACTTTTAATTTTTATCTTAAAAATCATTAAAACTAATAAGGCAATTAATTTGTTATCCCAGTACATCTTAAGCCCAAATGTCATAATAATGTTATAAATATATATATATATATATATTTTACGAAAATAGAGTTTTTGTTACGATTTTTTCTGATCGTCGATAAGAAGTTATTTTTTGGTAGAACATGACAAGAATTGGATTGAGAGATGATTGCTTCGATTGTGAGTATAAGTTATGAACTATATATTTTGTGCAAAAATAATCTTGGAAGTTAGGCCTATCTATAAGGTATTTCCCCACTCCATTAAAAAGGAAAAAGTTTTATAGTTACCAATCTAAGGAAATGAAATAAATGAAACAATTATAATTAGGGTTCTATAAGAAGAAAATCCTAATAATGGAAATAATGAATCATGAATACAGTAGCGATTACACTATCAGAAAAATTAGAATCAGCTTGGAAAAATTGTCTTGGAATCAATTCAAAACTGTGAAAATATATACGTAATATATATTAAATCAACAAAAAGTAATTGGCCTCGGATTTGTTAAAATGGTATTGGAAATTCCGATGCCAAATTAAAAATATATTTTATTATATTAAATGGTCTCGGAATCTCCGAGACCAAATTAAATATATATTTTATTATATAACATGGTCTCGGAAATTCCGTTGCCATAGTAAAAATATATTTTATTATATTAAATAGTTTCGGAAATTCCGAGGACATCCTGTTGGGGTGCAAATCCAAGTCCTACATCGGAAGTTGTGAAGAAAATTACACACCTTATCAGTCACGAGTGAACTCCACTAGTATGTGGTCTTTTGGAGAATATCCAAAAACAAATCCGTGCGGGCTCAGCCCAAAGCGGACAATATCATACTAGTGTTGAGTTGACACAGTCCCAGCACATCCGAGATCAAATTAAATGTACATTATATTATATCATATGATTTCAGAATTTTGAAATTTATTTTAAATATATATTTTTATTATATTAAATGGTCTCGGAATTTCCGAGGCCAAATTAAATATATATTTTAATATATAAAATTGTCTCGGAAATTCCGAGACCATATTAAATATATATTTTATTATATTACATAGTCTCGGAATATGGGTACTCGATTTTGTTGGATTAAAAATTCATGGGTTAAATGTAACTATTTGAGCTACCATTCATATTAAATATATATGAAGTGATTTATTACATTTATTGGGTTTAAATATATTTAGTAAGTGAGATGTTCATATATGCAGAAATCAGGTAAAGTAACTTATTAATTGGGTGATCAAACCAATTAATAATAAGAATATATAATATCGATTGTAATCTTGTGTCTATACGCAACATCATTACTTTTACTTTTCGTATCTCGTGGAAAAATAACATAAATTTTAAGAATTTTCTCAAGAGGGTTTGCATCATAGACTTGAATGACACAAAGTCCTCAATTAATTCGTAAATTCAAATTCGATTGCATTAAGGAATCAGGTTAGATTTAATCATCTTATTTTCTTATCTCAATTATTTTAACACATAAAAATTTTGAGCTTAAATTTATTTCCCGATAAGTTCCAACAATTTTTTCTATTCAACCCGAAATTCCATAACTCCGGTCTATCATCCGACCCAAAAATCCAAATGGCAAGCTCCAAGGTTTTGTACTAATTTCAATTCGATTCAATTCAATTTTTGAGATATTTTAAATATTCGATTTTAGATTTAGTAAATTTATATTTAAATTTAGTTTTATTTATAAATTATATTACTTAGATTTGAATGTAGTTTATTTTGTATTGCCTATATATATATCATTTATTTTTATAATCAATAAGATAATTTTATTATTTTTTCTCAAAAATTTCTAACACTAAGTCAAAATAGGGCATGATTAATTAGTGGGCCAAATATTTATTATGGACGCATTTGCAGAATCAAGTATATATTGTTGTTACTTGCAACAAAAACAATAAATAAATTATTAGATTTCAATTTAAATGAAAATCTCATCTAAAAACTAATTTAAACTTATAAAAATATATATAATTTATTTATTTATATTTTTTACGAGAGTCCGTAGAACTGAAAAATGGGATACAATATGAATTCAATATTAATAATAGAGTCCATGCTTATTTTTAGCATAGTACAACAAAGCAGATAAAATAAAATAATAATAACAAAGATAAAATAAATATAAATATTTCAACGGTTATAAATAAATAAGATAAATTGAAGTTGCTTTCTTTAATTAAGTTGTGTGCAAGTTTCGTCATAAATCCGTAACTGAAGGAATATATCGTCATAGATACGATAATTTAGAAGGAATATAAAAGTAATTAATAAATAATTAAAAATATATTAGTGAAAATAATTTTAAATTAAAATTAAAATAATTTATTAATATAATTAAAATAATATATATATAAATTAAAATTTTTAAAATTACATTAAAATGTATATATATTTTTTTTAAAAAAAAGTGAGTAAGTAAGTGTGAGAAGATGAAAATATGGAGACAAATGCTAGGGAGCACTTGTTCTCTGTAATAATCACTTTCACATTACATACACTTGAATGTGGGGATATACATATACAACAATATATATATATATATATATGAAAGTGGGTGTGCATGCATGTACTAATTAAGCCATAATTTAATAATAAATTAATCAATTAATTTACAAAACAATTAGTAATTAATTATGTCGAGGGTTGCAGCAGCTGCTTCAACATTCCCGTCGCCGACGACGCTCCGGGAGCTCATTATGAGCTCCGGCGCCGAATTGGCGGGAAACGAATTCGCCGGCGGCGACGACGTCGAGGCGCAGCCGCCGGTCCGGCGAGTCTCATTCGTTCTCACCTTCACTAATCTCACCTACACCGTCGAAGCGCGCGCCCGATGGAAAGACGTCATCCGCCGCCAGAAAAACCGCTCCGGCAGTACTGTTATTCTCGACGACATTTCCGGCGAGGCGCGCGACGGCGAAATTTTGGCGGTTATGGGTGCGTCCGGGTCGGGAAAGTCGACGCTGATCGACGCCCTGGCCGCCGCCGCCGCCGGAAGTTCGATCAGGCTCAACGGCGAGCGGTTGGAGTCGAGGTTGAAGAAGGCGATCTCGGCGTACGTTATGCAGGACGATCTTCTCTTCCCCATGCTCACCGTCGAAGAAACCTTGAGATTCGCGGCGGAGCTCCGCCTGCCGCGGAGCCTCGCCGCCGGGAAGAAGAAGCTCCGAGTGGAAGCTTTGATCGATCAGCTCGGCCTCCGCAAAGCCGCCCGCACTTTGATCGGAGACGAAGGGCACCGCGGCGTCTCCGGCGGAGAGCGGCGGCGCGTGTCCATCGGCGCCGACATTATCCACGACCCGATTCTGCTGTTCCTCGACGAGCCGACCTCCGGCCTCGACTCCACCAGCGCTTTCATGGTGGTCAAGGTTTTGCAGAGAATCGCCATGACTGGAAGCATCATCGTCATGTCTATACACCAGCCCAGCCATAGAATCATCAAATTGTTAGATCGGATGATCTTCCTCTCCCGCGGGAAGGTCGTCTATGGCGGAACGCCGGCGAATCTCCCGGCGTTTTTCGCCGATTTCGGCCGGCCGATCCCCGACGGCGAAAATTGGGCGGATTTCGCCCTAGATTTGATCAAAGAATTGGAAGATTATCCAGAAGGAACTAAAACCCTAATTCAATTAAACAAATCATGGCAGCCACTGAAAGGGGATTTCGAAGTCCAACCCCAATTATCCCTAACAGAAGCCATAGCCGCCACCATTATTCGAGGTAAGCTATTCTCCGACGCGGCGGCGATCGCCGGCGCCGTAGCGGCAGCATCAATGGTCCCCAAATTCGCAAACCCATTCTGGATCGAATTATCAGTCCTGTCCAAAAGATCATTCACGAATTTCCGGCGGAATCCAAAGTTACTGACATTCCGATTGGCGGCGATCACGGCCACCGGAATTATCCTCGCCACCGTCTTCCACAAACTCGACAAATCCCCAAAAGGCATCCGCGAAAGGCTAGGGTTCTTCGCGTTCGCCATGTCCGCGACCTTCTACACCTGCGCAGACGCCCTGCCGATCTTCCTGCAAGAAAGGTACATTTTCATGAGGGAGACGGCCTACAACGCCTACCGGAGATCGTCGTACGTTCTCGCCATTTCCTTCGTCTTCCTCCCGCTGCTGATAATCCTCGCCGCCGTGTTCGCCGTCGTCACTTTCTGGTCGTTGGGGCTCGGCGGCAGCTTCTTCTTCTACTTCCTGATAATCCTGGCCTCCTACTGGGCCGGAAACTCCTTCGTGACCTTCCTCTCCGGCGTCGTCCCGGAGGTGATTCTCGGCTACATAATCGTCGTGACTCTCCTCGGCTGCTCTCTGCTGTTCAGCGGCTTCTTCATCAATGGCGATCGAATCCCTAAATTCTGGATAGGGCTGCATTACATCTCCCTAATCAAGTACCCCTACGAGGCGGTGCTGAAGAACGAATTCCAGGATTCCGGCGAGTGCTTCGTCCGCGGCGTTCAGATCTTCGACGGCACGCCATTGGCGGCGGCGCCGGAGGCTCTGAAAATTGAGGTTTTGGGGAGAATGGGTATTAGCGGATTGAATATAACGGCGGTGACCTGTGTGAGCGACGGGGAGGAGATTCTCCGGCGGCAGGCGGTGAGCGGGCTGAGCAAGTGGGGCTGCCTCTGGGTGACGGTGGGGTGGGGTTTCTTCTTCAGGATACTTTTCTACGTGTGGCTCGCCGCCGGCAAGAGAAGATAGGGAGGATTGTCGCCGGAGGATCTGGACCGTTCATTCGTGCCAAGATCTTTTCTTTATATATAGTACATATTAATATTGGGTGTTTGTTTCCCCGAATTGGGATAAAATTGATTGTTAAGGAAAGTATACGAAAATACGTTATTTTGCATTACGAGTTTGTTTTATTGAAATACTTAATTGTGATTTATTGAAAATGTTGATCACACATTGATGATTTCAATCAAATAAGTTTTTTAATTTCTATCATTCCCATTGTTGTCCTTTACCTAACTTGTTTTGTGCTATATAATTTGCAGATTATTAGGGATATCAACTGGACTACTTTTGGACGGTTCCACAGACTCTGAGACTCGTCCCGAAAAAAATATTACAATCCAAAATCTGTTCTGACAAATAAAAAATGTGAAAATAAATTTAATTTAGAATTAAAATTTTTAAATATATAAATAAATTATAATTATTATTAAAATATCCGAATTCGGGTCTACGTCCGGAGAAGGACGGATTTTTAGTAAAATCCATAACCCGCTCATAACCAAATTTTTTAGACTCGAACCCACCCATTAAGACCGGATCCGGGGCTAACCTAACCCATTTGGCATCCCTCAAGAAACAAATGATAATAAAGGAGAAGAATTTTATGTAAAAAAAAAAAAAAAGATAATGCAAATTTCAATATCAAGATTTCAACTAGTAATCTTTTATCCATCTCTACGAATGCAATTAGAATTGTTAAACAAATTCAGTTGTTCGTGAACTTGATTTGGTTTAATTCAGTTTAAGTTTATTCATGAAGTAAATGAGTCGAGTCAGACAATATAAATTGACTTGCTTTATTAATGAACTAACTCAAATATTGTTTACGAATGTTTGTTAAAATATAAATATATAAATTATTACTTAAAAAAACTAAATAAATAAAACATTATGTATGTGAATTAAGAATACAATAAAATATTATACCTATTCAAACGAGTTTGAACACCATGAAATAATATTATATTACGAAATAATTGTAAAAAATATTTTTGTTGAATTATAAATATATATATCAAATAATTTTAACAAAAAAGTGAAAATAATAATAAATATCACTTGCAATATTGAAAACATGAACATAGCATACAATATAACCAACACGATTGTGTTTAGAAGTGTATGTAATCAATATGGCCATATTGACCCCAACACGGCAGTATTGACTGTGTGAGATGTGCAATCACCTTTTTGAGTCATCCAAGACGGTAGCACGACTGTGTTCGATCAACTATCTTGAAACTAAAATTGATAAATTTTTACTTTGAGTGAGACCAAAATTGATAAAAAAATTTAATGAGACCAAAATTGATAATTATGATATTGAATATGAACAAAAATAATTTTTGCTCAAAATAATATTTATATTTGTATATTTCTTATTGAAATATACTCTCTCCGTTCAGCTAGAAATTATATGTATTTCTATTTTGGGACGTCCAATTACAAAGTAACCATTTCATTAAATACCCCATTTTTTCCACAAATACCCCTACTTTACATGACATCATTACTTTTATACCAAAAAAGTAAGGGCAAAAATGTCATTACTTTTACCTACACAAAATACTGTTATTCCTTAATCTCCATCCCAAAAGTAAATGTATACTTTTAGTTTGGACGGAGGGAGTAACATTTAAAATATTTAAATATTTATTAAAAAATTAATTATGTATATTAATTTTTATTTTTAAAATATAAAAATCACTCATAGCATAAAAGTAATAAAATAATATTATAAATTATTAAAAATAATAAAATAATCATAAACTATTATTAATGTGACAACGGAGGAGGAAGTATAATGTTAAAGCACCTTTTAACTCCACCCCACCCCACCCCACCCCACCCCACATATATATATATATATGTATATGTATATGATTATAATAAAGTAACAAAGATAGGAAAGTGAGGAGTGTATCAACAAAATTCTGGATGATATAAATGAAAGCAAATAAAGGATCCGACCATCCATTGAAATTATGCGTTGGTGCTTGCGACCTTTTTGAACATTTGCTTGCTGCTGTTACTGTTGCTGTTTCAATACATACATAACATTACATGGGGCCGCCCGTCGTCGAATCACCATCAACTGCTCTGCTGCCTCCTCCGTGCGCATGTATCTATGTATGTATTCATATTTCACGCTCCTCCTCGCCCTCAATTTGATTCAGAAACCCGAATTGCTGGAATTGCTTGAGGCGCTGTCGTTTTCGTAGACGGGGAAGTTGGTCTCGTTCAGTCAATCCGAGGTCGTTCACTTCTTTGACTCACTCAATCATGGAGCTGCTAATTGCGCCGGATCTTGTCTGATCTACTTTTCTGCTCGATTTCATGCCGGGATTAGCATAGCATGGTTTAGTTTAGGGTTTTAATTTGAGGGGATACCTGACTGAGATAGGTTAGTTATTGATTTGTGGGGGGACAAGAACAAGATGATGATTTCTAGGGGTTTGTTCGGATGGTCGCCGCCGCATATTCAGCCGCTGACGCCGGTGTCGGAGGTATCCGAGCCGCCGGAATCTCCCTCCCCGTATATGGACACGGGGACGGGGGAGGCCGAACCTGTGGAGGTGGAGGATGAGATCGAGGCCGATGGGGAAGAGATGGAGCCCCCGCCGGCTGCCGTGCCCTTCTCCGGTCTCTTTGCCTGCGCCGACCGCCTCGATTGGGTTCTTATGTTCGTGGGTTCCCTGGCTGCCGCCGCGCACGGCACTGCTCTCGTTGTCTACCTGCATTTCCTTGCTAAAATTATACAGCTGCTCCACTATGGGTCTGACAACGCTGATGGACTCTACGATGAGTTCACTGAGGTACTTCTGATAATAATGTTTGTCATTTTTTATCGTAAATAGGTATGTTTACATGGTTGGGTACTGAAAGTTTGGATTGGAAGTCTGACTTTGGAAGGAAGTATGTTTCGGGATATTGGTTTGGGTGTTTGGAATTTGAATATAAAAAATTTTGAATCGTAACAGTGATACGATGATATGGTATAAATAAGATATAAAATTAATTTTTAGTATAAAATATAAATAAAAGTTAAGCTGTTTGATTTGATTTTTTTTAGGGAAAAGATTAGTGAATGATAGAAATTTGGAGAAATTCTCCAAAACAACACACGAATTCGTGTTTTTTTTGTTTTTGATACTAGGGATGGTATGTGGGTTTTTCTTGGTCTGTGTTTTTTTTGGGTTTAAATGTCCTTTGTAAACTGTTAAAACTCTGAAGTTTTCTGGTGATCATTGCGTAAACATTTGTTGCAAATTTTACTTCCTATGCTCACCATACATAGTCCTAATAATTTAGAAGATGTGTTCTGTGAGAGAGGAAGAAATCTTTGGAAATTTTGACACTTATAGAAATGTCATTTTCTGTTATTTCCCCTTCCATCTGGATTGTCTGTATTCACTACTTTAATCATGTCAAATAAGTGCAGTGGATGTTTCGCATCATTTTAAAACCCGCAATACTAACTGAAAAAATAGACTGAGCAGTTCAATTACTTATTCGTTTGATTTTACTTGGATCGATTGGAGCCCGGAAGTGGATTTCTGGTGAGCCATATCTCATAGCTACTATAACTTCTAAATAATACATGTTCAGGAGCACCGCACTGCTCAGAAAGATTTCTAGATGTGCATCTTGTGGGCTAACAGTTTTAATTCTTTTTTATTTTGTTTTCAGTCGCTCAAACTTGATGGAATTTAGTACTCCTTGTTTTTTCTCTATGAATTCGTCTATGTTTTGTTTATTTATAAAGTAAGATTCTATGAAATGATAAGGGTGATGCCGAAGTTCTTATATTATTTTTCCTCATAGATTCTTAACGTTTTATTATTTGGTTTTGGAAACTTCAAGTTTTTACTCTTTTCAGGTACGTAGAAAGTGGAAGATCAATAAAGCATTAAGTTGACTTGTTAGGGTGAATTATTGAATAGAAATACCGTTACTTTATTGTTCTAAGTTCCACTTTCCATTTATGGTTGTCACAAGTTAAATAGCGATCAAATTGCTTTTGGTTGATTGGCATGTCGGAAAATGTGCTTCCATAAGCTGCAGCTAAGACACGTGCAATTTAGTTTACGTATTTGTTATTATCTAGGGTAAGATATGTCACATGGATTGGAAATGCTGTTTCTTATTTCAACCTTAATGATGTCATGTGGGCATATAAATTAGTTCCCCTACTGGTCATGGAACATAAGGATTGAGGATTGATTATTATCAAGCCCATACCTTGCTGCACTATACCTAATAAATATTTTTACTCAATTACTGAACTGATAGGAGATCCATTGGGTCCTTGAATCAAGTTTGACTGTTTTGATCTGAAAGTTTGGGTCTCAATTGGTCTTCACTTTTTACTTCCATTTTCTGCCTGAGACTTTTAGATGTTGGGGAGTTCCTGCTTTTACTCTACAGTATTATGTTCCAAAGCAATTAAGAAGTACTGAATTACAGTCACATTTGCTGGAAAATTCGAAGAACAATATCATAAAGGCAAAGATATCACTAACTTGCTAATTGCCTCAGATCAAAAGGGATTATTATAGGACTAATGTAATCCCTGACTGTTGAATTTTGGACTATCCACCCATGGCTGCAGAACACGCAAGATTTACTACGTAGTTGGAGCTGCTAAATAAGAAAGGAAGTAGGGCGTGCGCTTAGTTTCTGCTTATGCTTAGTTTCAGTTGGAAGATTCACTAGGCATTTAATTTGCCTTTGCGATAGATTTGGAATCAGACATAGAAAAGATTCTATTTCTTGAATTTATAATCCTCCCACGGGTTTTGATTGCCAAATTTGGATATACGTAGTCATCCACCAGTGCCCATCAGTTGTGTAGGGAAATCCTTCCAATTTTTTAATCCTATACCCATGTACTAAACAAATTATGAGGTGAAAATCATGTGGTGTGTCGTCTTAGTAAAGAATGCATGTGCTAATATATAATTTGTTGCTATGTGGATTGGTTGGTTATTTTATAATAATTGTTTGCATCTAATACGACTAGAATTATAGCTTGTTATTCTTTTTAAAAGAACCTGACTTTTTATCAAATATTGAAATTTGAAAGACATCATTTATACCCTTTCGTTTTGAACAAGATTTATAATTTACATTCATGATTCAAATTGCTTTTGCTGACTTTTATTATGGAATTCCTGCAGCTTGCTCTATCCATTGTTTTTATTGCTGCAGGAGTTTTTATTTCGGCTTGGATAGGTGAGCTTACTTTTGCTAAATTTGCTACTCATCTGCAATTTCAAATAAAGTAGCGTTCCCTTTATTGATTTCCATGAAGTGTGTGTGTTTGTGTGTGTGTATATCTTTTTTAAGCTTGTCTTTTGGACTACAGAGGTGTCGTGCTGGATATTTACTGGGGAACGACAGACTGCTGTGATAAGGTCAAGATATGTTCAAGTTCTACTTAATCAGGACATGAGCTTTTTTGATACTTATGGGAACAATGGAGACATCGTGAGCCAAGTGTTGAGTGACGTACTGCTCATTCAGTCTGCTCTCAGTGAAAAAGTGAGTTCCATTCAAGTTTTTCCTTGATGTTTTCTTAGCTAGATTTTACTGGTGAATTCACTTGTCTCATGTCGCGTGCATTTGATGTGACAGGTTGGAAACTATATTCATAACATGGCCACTTTCTTTAGTGGTCTTGTAATTGGATTTGTCAACTGCTGGCAGATTGCCCTTATTACTTTAGCCACTGGTCCATTAATTGTTGCTGCAGGAGGAATATCAAACATCTTTCTTCATAGGCTTGCCGAGAATATCCAAGATGCTTATGCTGAAGCTGCAAGCATTGCAGAGCAGGTCAACTATTTGATTTCCATTTATACATTGCTGCCAAGAGTTGCCTAAAAGATCCGTATCTTGTCTAGTTCAATTTATACTTTTCTCACTTTAGATGGATTTTGAAATTATGACGTGAATAATTTAATTTTCTGAAGAATTTACTAGGTGGCTCTGTTTGATTATAATTCTTGAGACTAGCAAATGTAGATTTCGCATGATTTTATTTTCTAGCAATGTGCAGCATAGATTGATATGTTTACAGTATGTATTTTCTAACTTGTTTTTGTTTTTAATTTCTACAGGCAGTTTCTTATATTAGAACCCTATATTCATTTACTAATGAAACACTGGCAAAATATTCTTACGCAACTTCACTTCAAGCCACACTTAGGTACGGTATATTGATAAGCCTTGTTCAAGGACTTGGACTCGGTTTCACATATGGACTTGCAATCTGCTCTTGTGCATTACAACTTTGGGTGGGAAGATCCCTTGTGACACATGGCAAAGCTCACGGAGGACAAATAGTGACTGCCTTATTTGCTGTTATATTGAGCGGCCTGTAAGAAACTTAGTAAAATGTCTTTGTTATCTGTAATCTGCAGTTACACTTACAAATGGATTTTTGTGTCACAGCGGGTTGAATCAAGCTGCAACGAACTTCTATTCTTTCGAACAAGGGAGAATTGCTGCCTACAGACTGTTTGAGATGATAAGTCGATCATCATCCACCATTAACCAAGATGGACTAACTCTTACAACTGTTCAAGGAAATATAGAATTTCGAAATGTATATTTTAGCTATCTGTCTCGTCCTGAAATTCCAATTTTGAGTGGGTTTTACCTCACTGTTCCAGCTAAGAAGGCAGTTGCACTTGTTGGTCGAAATGGGTCTGGTAAAAGCAGTATCATACCACTTATGGAGCGATTTTATGATCCTACCTTAGGTATTACTACCTTATTATTTAATGTGCTCAAAATTATCTTATTTAGATCTTCTCCCATCTTTCAATATTCACGATATGTATTTATTATTGATTTCAGGAGAAGTTCTATTGGATGGTGAAAATATCAAAATTCTGAAGCTGGAGTGGTTACGAAGTCAAATAGGTTTAGTTACCCAGGAACCCGCCCTACTGAGTTTGAGTATTAAAGAAAACATTGCTTATGGACGGAATGTGTCTTTAGAACAAATTGAAGAAGCTGCTAAAGTAGCTCATGCACATACATTTATCAGCTCTCTTGAGAAAGGATATGATACTCAGGTTTCTTATTCCACTTAAATGTCTTTATTAGTTTGTGGATTATCATTAGTAAGCTTCAACTTGGTGATCTGTAATTTAAATCTACTTCATTTCAGGTTGGCAGGGCATCCATAACCATGACAGAGGAACAGAAAATCAAGCTTTCTGTTGCTAGGGCTGTGCTGTCAAATCCATCTATTCTGCTTCTAGATGAAGTCACAGGCGGGCTTGATTTTGAAGCTGAAAAATCTGTTCAGGAAGCCCTGGATCTCCTCATGTTTGGCCGCTCGACAATCATAATAGCTAGACGGCTAAGTCTTATTAAAAATACTGATTATATTGCTGTCATGGAGGAAGGTCAACTTGTTGAAATGGGTACACATGAAGAATTAATAAACTTGGATGGCCTTTATGCGGAGCTGCTCAGATGTGAAGAAGCTACAAAACTTCCTAGGAGGTACAATTGGGAATTTAATTAATTAATTGAGCATGATGGTTTATCATGTAGGGAACTTATGATTTTAAATTCTGGTTGATTTAATGTGATTAGTGCTAATGTTGTCTGTATTGTATATTTAGGACGCCGATGAGAAAGGAAACTGCTGCTTTTCAGATTGAGAAAGAATCTTCAGCAAGTCGCAACTTCCAAGAATCGTCTTCCCCTAGAATGGCCAAGTCACCATCTCTTCAGAGAGTTGCTGGTGGCCACATGTTTCGACCTTCAGATGCCCCATTCAACTCTCAAGAATCTCCCAAAACACCTAGCCCCCCTCCGGAAAATATGATTGAGAATGGTGTTTCCATGGATGGATTGGATAAAGAACCTACTATTAAAAGGCAGGATAGTTTTGAGATGAGACTACCTGAGTTACCCAAGATTGATGTTCGCTCTGCACCGCGCCAAACCAGTGCTTCGGATCCTGAATCCCCTGTTTCCCCTCTTTTGACATCTGACCCAAAAAATGAACGATCTCACTCACAAACATTTAGTCGACCACCTAGTGAGTTTGATGTCCCTTCAACAACAAAAGAATTGAAGGGTACACAGTCTCAAGAAGTGCCGTCCTTTTGGAGGCTTGTAGAGCTCAGCCTTGCAGAGTGGCTTTATGCTGTTTTAGGAAGCACTGGTGCTGCAATCTTTGGATCTTTCAATCCAATTCTTGCATATGTTATTGCGCTAATTGTCGCGGCATACTATAAAAAAGATGAGAAACATCACATGCGCCAAGATATAGATAAGTGGTGCTTAATCATAGCGGGCATGGGAATTGTGACAGTGATTGCCAACTTTTTGCAGCACTTCTACTTCGGTATTATGGGGGAGAAAATGACAGAACGTGTTCGGAGAATGATGTTTTCTGGTATGCTGTTTCTTCCTGTTAAAATCTGTTCTAGGAGATTCTTGCTTCCTTTGGCATTGTTTACTAATGTACACTATGTTTGGTTGCCTTTCTTTTTATTTATTTATGTTTTGCAACAGCAATGCTTCGAAATGAGGTTGGATGGTTTGATGAGGAAGAGAATAGTGCTGATAACTTGTCCATGCGATTGGCAAATGATGCCACTTTCGTGAGAGCTGCCTTCAGCAACCGCCTTTCAATATTCATACAAGACAGTGCTGCTGTTATAGTTGCTGTTCTTATTGGGGTTTTTCTGCAGTGGCGTCTGGCGTTGGTCGCCTTGGGTACTCTGCCCGTTCTTATGGTTTCTGCTGCAGCACAGGTATGCAGTCAAGTGTCAATTTCGTAGTACATGAATGCACTTCTGTCAGGTGCTGTTGCATAAACTTGATGTATTTATGAAAGCAATACTTAATTATAGGATGTAATTCTACTCATATAGTGAACCTAACTAACACAAAGATATGATATATTGGAAAGCAATGTTGGCAAGAATACATTAATATTTGAGAATGATTGAAATCTCTGTTACAATGAAGAAAAATGTGATGTTGACCTCCTGAGACAGGCTTTCGACCTCATTTCTTGGGTTTAAGAAAATACAGGTTCGAAGTATTATAGAAAGTCCAATAATCAGCAGAATATTCTCTTACCTTTTTCTGAAAGTTCAATAATCAGCAGAATATTCTCTTACCTTTTCCCTTTGAAACTTAATAAGAATTTCTCTGTGATCTTACAGAAATTATGGCTTGCTGGATTTTCCAAGGGCATACAGGAGATGCACAGGAAAGCATCTTTTGTGTTGGAGGATGCAGTTCGAAATATTTACACTGTTGTAGCATTTTGTGCTGGAAACAAAGTAATGGAACTCTACAGATTGCAGCTCCGAAAAATATTTAAGAAAAGCTTTCTCCAAGGAATGGCGATTGGTTTTGCATTCGGCTTTTCTCAGTTTCTTCTCTTTGCTTGCAATGCTCTTCTTCTTTGGTATACTTCTCTCTGTGTGAAGAACGGTCATGTGGGTTTGGGTACAGCACTTAAAGCGTATATGGTGTTCTCTTTTTCAACTTTTGCGCTGGTTGAGCCTTTTGGCCTGGCTCCATATATCCTTAAAAGAAGAAAGTCCTTGAGAACAGTCTTTGAGATAATTGATAGGACTCCTAAGATCGATCCTGATGATACTTCGGCTTTGAAACCACCAAATGTATATGGAAGCATTGAGTTGAAAAATATCGACTTTGCCTATCCGACGCGGCCTGAAATCTTGGTACTTAGCAATTTCAATCTAAAGGTTAATGGGGGGCAAACTGTAGCAGTTGTCGGTGTTTCTGGATCTGGAAAGAGCACTATTATCTCTTTGATGGAAAGATTCTATGATCCTCTTGCTGGGCAGATCCTACTGGATGGACGTGACTTAAAATCATACAACTTGAGATGGTTGAGGAGCCACTTGGGTCTTGTGCAGCAGGAACCAATCATATTCTCAACGACAATAAGAGAAAATATCATATACGCGAGGCACAATGCAAGCGAAGCAGAGATGAAAGAAGCAGCAAGAATTGCGAATGCTCATCATTTCATCAGCAGCTTACCCCACGGGTACGACACCCACGTGGGGATGAGGGGTGTGGATTTGACACCAGGACAAAAGCAACGAATTGCAATTGCTAGGGTTATCTTGAAAAATGCGCCTATTCTGTTGCTGGACGAGGCTAGCTCATCAATCGAGTCTGAGTCAAGCCGGGTGGTGCAGGAAGCTCTAGATACACTAATTATGGGAAACAAAACTACAATTCTCATTGCACATCGAGCAGCAATGATGAGGCATGTTGACAACATAGTTGTACTTAATGGTGGGCGAATTGTCGAAGAAGGGACCCACGACACACTAATGGCCAAGAATAGTCTATATGTCCGGTTAATGCAGCCTCACTTCGGCAAGGGGATGCGCCAGCATAGGCTTGTATAGAAAACATCCTGTGATGTGCTCTCGGGATTTTTGTTCTTTTTTGTCTTTTCCATTGCTATCTGGTCATTACCATGCTGTTCTTCTCTTGACATATCTGCAGCAGCTGCTCCAGTGCCGTGCGTGATGACTACAAGATTTGTTGCTTAATTCTTTTGGAGGAAGGGCAAGAGTTGGATCATTTTGTCCGAAAACAGTGTGTTGATTTGGAGTCGGATCGGATAATGTTGGTATTGCATTCGTTCTTTCTTTATTGGGCTGTGATTTATATATATATATTTTTTTCTGGGAATATGAGGAAGGAACATGGAAAACTAGTAGTTGTTTCGATGATATTATTAATTCTTGCTCTTTCAGAATAGTTGTTTCGACTAGCTAACAGAATAGTCGGTGATTGTGTTGGTGTTAATATTGTTGTTGTTGTTTGAGATTGAGATTTTGAAATTGAAATTGATGAGTTTAGTTTTTGTTGGTGTGTAAAGGGAAGCAGCTTTTGCCTCTGGCAAGTCTCCTTTGATGTTGTTGGTGCAGACCAGTGTTTTTAAGGTAATCTCTCTCTCTCTAGAAGTGTTAGATATGGCTTAGTTTGTAATCTATTATATTTGTAGATGAGATGAGATGAGATTATTTTTGGGTGTGGATAGAGGTTGTGGTTATAGAATTTGTAGTGCTTCTTGTTACATGAACATTTTTTATGCTTTAGAATCGTTAATTTGGAGCTGATTGACTTTTGCTCTGTTTCCATGGCCAAATTGCTATAATTGATAAATTTCCAATCAGCATCTATACACACAATAAAAAAAAAAAAAAGAAAAAAGAAAAAAAAAAGAGACACATATCTTTCACATTATCTTTTTATGTCTTAGAAATGTGTATATTTTTTTGTACTAGAAAAAAAAATTTAAAAAAAATACAATAAGTAGAATAAAATTTTACAAAAAAAAAAAAAAAAAAACCAAAAATAATTTTCTTGGAAAAAATGAGAGTGATACATGAAATAACATATCGATGGCTTGTTGGGTTTGGCCGGTCGAAAAAACAATAGGAATGGGTTCCCTAGCCTAATAAGAAAAGCATATGGTCTCGAAAGTAATAGAATTACAAGAATTTAAAGAAAATATCGAAACAAACTCACTCATTGAGACTGAGGATAGCAACTCTAATTTTTTTTTTAACTTTAATACCACTTCATTCTTAATTTATTTGGTAGATTTTATTTTTTTTTAATGTTATGCTATATGCGGTCATTTTTTCCAATATATTGGAGTATTTTTTATTTACAAAAATTTCGTAAAATTTGAATGATACTTTCTCCCTACCCTTTTAAATGAAAATTTTAGAATTTTTTTGTAATAAATTAAAAAGTAATAGTAATATTTTATTAGTATTTTTTAAAAATTACTAAATGATACTTTCAATGAGATAGATAAAAATGTTAAAAATAATATTTTGAAGGATATCGGAGAGTATAAATAAGTAGTACTACTATTTCTTAATCTTTTGAATATAAATTAAATAATATGAAAAAATTAAATATTTTTTTAAAAAAACCCAAATTATGATTAGTATTATATGTATTTGCTGTTATGTATGTATGGTATGCATTTACACCTCAGACAGACATAGAGAGTATCTGAATACACTTTCCTTTACCCCCTCGCCCCGCCCCGCCCCCAAGGCCAGCTGTATTTCTCTTCTTCTTCTTCGTCGTCCTGATTTCCTTTCCTTTCCTTCCCTTCCCTCCTCAACCCATATGGTCGCTCTGTTTCCATTTCTGCTCCCTCTCCCTCCGACCAACTTCGTTTCCCCCTCCCTACCCTAATTCTCCACCGCTTTCACACCACACCCACACCCATCATGTATAGTCCATCCAGGACACCCGCGATCTCGAGGCTGGCCCCGCCCTCGGCTTCCCGCCTGAGATCCTCGTCTATGAAGAAGCCGCCGGAGCCGCTGCGTAGGGCCGTCGCCGATTGTTTGTCAGCTGCTGCTCCGTCGCACATCGAGGCTTTCAGGACGTTGCGGGTCTGGATGCTCTGCATTCTCTTTTTCTTTTGCGGTTTTGTTTGAATCCTCGTGGTTATGGTGTTTTTAATTTCAAGTATTAAATTTTATAAAAAATTATGGTTTTGGTATCGTCATTAGCTAAGTTATGTGTTGTTGTGTGAAGGGTGGCTATTCGTAGGTGAAGTAATTTGTGCTATGATTTTGACCTAGAAAGTTGAAATTTGCAGAATCGTAATGATGAAATTGTTTTTTTTTTCTTGTTTATTGACGCCATTGCTGAGTGATCAATTTTTTTGTTTACGATATTGACTGGGAAGCATTGAAAAAAAGCATTCAAGGTATTGGCAGCTGCATTTTACTATTAGGGTGTTATTTATGACTTGAACTAAATTATGTAAGCGTGGGATAATGTAGAGATTAAACCATGATGACTAACATTCTTGCATCTATAGATATAAGATAATCTGTTTTTTCATTGCAGGATTACTTGGCTTCGATTGCAACAATTGACTTGGCTTATGGCATGATTCTAGAGCACACTCTTGCAGAGAGGGAACGAAGGTATGCTAATCTGTGTTCTTGCTCTTGTTATAATGCTGATTTTATTTTTTTTGGGTTCTGCTTAGTCTTTTATTTGGTTATAAAATGATAAAATTGACCATATCCCATCCGATATAACTTTCGTGTGCTCCGTGGTTCAGTTATGTTAATGTATATCCTTGTGATATTACATACATTAAAGTTTTACACGTAAGCGTTTTTGGTGGTTTATGCTTTTTCTTCTTAGTGGCTATGTTAACTAATGAAAATCTTTCTCCTCTTGATGCATAAACAGTCCTGCTGTGGTATCAAGGTGTGTGGCACTCTTGAAACGTTATCTTTTAAGGTAATGCTTCTTCTCTCTATGTAATCTTCTTTAGCTATATAATATTGCATAGTTTTGAGCCATGGCTGGCTCTTGGTGTATATTTGAAAGCATACTGGCATGGTCCATTACATAATGGTGCTCACTGTACTATGCTTGTGACCAATTTCATTTTCGGACTTCTTAGCATTATTATGTTGATTAGTGAAGTTAATAAGATGCAAATAAGTGACAAATAAACACTTTGGGTGTGTTTGTTTCGGGGTTTGGATTTTGAATAGTACAAATTTTAAATTGGAATAGTTGTATGATGTGATATAAATAGGTGTTGATGTGATGTTTTGAATGTAAAATTAATTTTTAGTACAATATAAAAAATGAAAAATAAGCTTTTGATTTGATGTTTTTGGGAGGTAAAAATTGGATGAACAGTAGATTTGGGGGAAAATTCCCCGATCAAACACACCCTTTCTAGAAAATGTAATTAGTGTTCAAGAATGTTGCACAATGAATTTGTTGCGTCTTTAATCTTATTACCTGTTCTTCATGTATTGCAGATATAAGCCTGGTGAAGAGACGCTAGTGCAGATTGATCGGTTTTGTATTAGCATAATTGCTGAGTGTGATGTTGGTCAATATCGGAAATTGGCACCATGGCCACGCTCCTTAGGTCCGAACTCCTCCGTTCCAGTACAGCCCGCGAATGTAAATCTTTTGCCTGTGTCAAGTTTTTCATCTGGGGCTCTTGTGAAATCCTTAAATTATGTTAGATCCTTAGTGGCTCAACATATCCCAAAGCGATCATTCCAACCAGCTGCATTTGCTGGAGCTGCACCAGCATCAAGACAAGCGTTACCATCATTGTCATCCTTATTGAGCAAATCATTTAATTCTCAACTAAGTCCAGCCAATGGGAAAGAGTCTTTAGAGAGCAAGGACACATCTGTTACATCTGTTTCAGATGCTCCAATTGCTGAAGAAATCGATGAACTTAGAGATCTTGAATTTATGGCCCTTGATGTTTTCAGATGGCGCTGGTGTGGAGATCAACAGTCATCAGTTCTCTTGCCAAACAGGTCCTTTTCTTCCATTTTGAGCAGATATCATTGAAGAATTACTTTGAATGTATTTTTTACTTTTCCTAAATCCTGAAAATCTATGCAGTGAGCACATTCTGAATCTTCAAGACGTGCAAACTTGTAATTTTCTAGAAGTAGGTGCTGCAGCTCTTCTTGTGGGGGACATGGAAGCTAAAATGAAGGGTGAAGCGTGGAAAATATTTGGGAGTGCAGAAATGCCTTATCTTGATCAACTGTTGCAGCCTTCATTGCTGACTACAGTTACCAATTCAAGTTCAGCGTTTGCCCATTTAAGAGCAATAACTGCACTAAAACGCTCGAAACCAGGGGCAAATCAGATTTGGCATGTTCTTCCTTGTTCCTTTTTGTTTTTCAATGGTTTGATTTGCCTATTTTCTTATTACACTGTCGTCTATGGTTGCATTGAAGTTATTTCTTATATATTTGAAATTTGTATGCATTCTTTCTATGCACACCGAACTTTTTACAAGGTAACTATTTATTGAAGTAATGAGTGTTCCTTTCCTGTATGTTACCTTTTAACTTGAAAGGGATAGCAGTTTTTCTAGATTCTTGTGCTCAATATATATTGAGATTATGAAAGCTTATACAAGTTAGTTCGCTTGCTAGGTTAGTCGGTGATCGGGAGCTCTATAAACTGAAAGCAACACCTACTTTATATTAAGTGGGATCAAGATTTTGTAAACTTTAGGCATTTAAGTCTTGCTATACAAACAAATGCTTAGGCATAATATAGTTGGGGGTGGGGGGGGATTTGTTAATATGGTTTGATTATGTATAATACAATACTATTGCTTGTTGATGATGTAGTTGATAAGAAATCCTTAATGAAATTCTACACTAATCAACATTGAAATACAAGGATAATCTACTTTTGGGATATTGGTAAAAAAAAAATCTTTTATGATTTTATGTTTAAGTTCTCTGTAATTTAACAAAATGTAGATTTAAGTCACATTTTTCAGAATTTTGATTCACTTTCCATTTTCCAATCTTTTCTATCACAATTTTCACTCCATGAATAGTTTATTACTTAAATTGATTTCCTTTTTTCTTTTTTTTTATAAATATTACTTAGCATTGTTCGTAAAACTACGCTACCTTTTTTTGCAGGGAGGATTCCCCACTTACAACCTTCCGTCCACGGGTAAAACCACTTTTTCACTATCGTCATTACAGGTAAACACCAAGTTTCTTCATATGTTCTCAAGCATAAGCTAATTGTTGGTGCCTATGTCTTTACTCTGAAGCATAAGCTGTCTATAAGTTGTTGTTGCCAAATATGTCTTGTACAGCATCTATTTTTATTGTTGAGAGTTTGGATTATGCTGGTCAACCGTTTTTAGTGGTTTATGAAAACATGTTATATCAGATGTATCTCATTGCTTTATTTGAATTGATTTCTCCCTCTTTCTAACTCAGTGTTTCAATTTAATCCAGCGAACAACAACCTTTGCGATTGAATTCTGTAGAGGTATGTGAGGTTATTGCAGCTGTTTGCTCTGGGAGTTGTTCAACTAATTCCAATAACCTGACAGTCTCATCTAAATTAAGACAAAGTGGAAGACCATCAATGGATGTGGCTGTGAGCGTTCTCGTCAAATTAGTGATTGACATGTATGTTTCCTGCATTTGATTAATACTACTAATACTACTCCTACTGCTACGATTTAGCAGCACAGAGGCTATCCTTCCTTTTATGTGTTCATTTAATTACTTTAAACCATACCTTTTGTTTTCCTACCATTCTTTATAAATCACACATCAATCACAAGGAGGATACCCGTTCATGTACTCATTCTACAGTTTGAACCCACAATCATGTGGAGGAGCAAGCTTTTAACCCATTAGATTATCATCTAAGTAGCAAAATATATTTGCATAAGCATGCATGTGCAAGTGAGGGTTGTCTTTGTTATTTAAGCATGCATGTGCAAGTGAGGGTTGTCTTTATTATTTAAGCATGCGTTACCTGGGTGAATGGGATATAAGTGCAAGAATATAGTGTTACATATGTATGCCCTGGGGTTAGTTATTGGAACAATGTATCAAGGGAAATGGTAAACATGATATGTATATATTTTTAAATTTGGTCTTTAGTGTCAGTACTGTGTAGTTTTGTAAATGCGCATTTTGGAACTTGGTTAAAGTCTCTGGTCTTCGGTGATCTGATCCTTTTAGTTTTTGACGTGAGTGAGTTTGATTGCTTCCAATGTGATCATTTTAAATCTCAAATGAATTTATTAATGGTCAAATATCATTAAAATAATCCTTGCCGATCATATCTCGGTAAGTTATAAATATGTAACGTTATCATTAATAACCAAATCTCGCGACTAACAATGACTCTAGTTCAGTTGAACAGATCCTGTTTGCTATATATATATATATATTGAATTCATTCTTTTCTGTAAGGCCTCAGAAAAAAATCTAAGCTGGAATTTCTCTAAATTGATTTGTCAAACCTGATATTTTAAACTGATCATCATATCTAATCTGTTTTGTAGGTACGTTTTGGATCCTGAAACTGCGGCTCCTCTTACTCTCTCATTACTGGAGGTGCTGTTTATTTCTGACATTATTTTATGCTAAACTTGTAATAAGCTAATTTATTTTATCCAAATCACGTAGGACATGCTAAATTCTCCAAGTGTAATGTCAAAAACTCAAGCTTTTGATTTAATTATCAACCTTGGAGTGCATGCACATCTTTTGGAACCTCCGGCACCTGATGCACCCACTACAGTTGAAGAGCAGTATTCCACAGAGGCATATTATGATGCTGAAACTGATGGTTCTTCACATGGAAGGCTGAAGTCTGACTATTTGAAGGAAACTGGCAATTCTTCAGCTACTGATAAGTTTGAGTGCTGGATCTTGGGTATTCTATTTGAGGTTCTTCTTCATCTTGTTCAGGTATATAAAAGATTAGCTATGTCTGCATTTTGTTGTTACCTTTTTGTGAAAGTTTTACTTGTTTTATGGAGGTGGGATGTGGGTCAGGTTCAATTCTGTTAGTATTAATTGAAGAGGATGGTCTCTGTAAAATTTGAAAGCAAAATTGCACTTCAGTTTAGTAGAACTGAATAGCATTTTTCCTCATACTATTGGTTTTTTTGATCATCTAACTATTATACACTTGAAGATTTAGATGGGAATGACCTTGCTAGTGTAGAGGTCGAAGATCTTGAAATAGTTTACTGGCTTTGAGCTTGAACTTTATTACTCAGTCAACATAATAAAGTTATATTTTAAGAAAAAACATAGAAATTCAAGAGATGCTAGTACAATGTTATGTCACGGTCACAACTTCAGTTGTATTCTGACAGATTAAAGAAAAAGTTGAATAACTTGTAGATACTTACCACATCAACATATTAATGATCGCATTCCTACTTCCAAGTAATTTCTTATCCAATGAGGATTAGACTACAGGAAAGAAAAACAATAATACATCCTGTGCAAGATTCCCTTCAATGAATTGTAATCAAGCTTTGTGCTTTCAACATGGTATATATATAACATTCCCTGAAATTTCTTGCTACCTCATGTTGAAATAACAATCACTTGGCCAGACCCTTCAATTAATATCTTTATAGATTCTCCGAATCTTGTGCAAGTGACAGACATTATGCCAAATTTCCATTTGTTTAAAATAAATTTACCAAATATATGGTTTAGTCCACCTTAAATTCTTTTATTTATTTATTTATTTATTTATTATTTACTTTATTAGGGTAATTTTCCTTTTTATTTTGGGTGAATTTCATATAGCCCTATATGGTTTAGTACGAAATCACCATTTCTTCTAATTAATAATTGTGTGAAGTCTAAATGTAATTTGTATAATTCCATTTAGAACTCCACATGACATCAATTTTGCTTGCATATTTGACTGTCTACTTTTCAAAGAAGTATTTAATTGCAACTCAAGTAAACTATCACATAGCCTCCATTAGATTTTAGCGGATCGGGGTTCTTGTGTAGCGTTTAAAAAACCACAAGTAACCCTCAAGCAATTTCTGGAAGGAAAGATGATTTTATGCTAAACAACAGGGAGGCATAACGGAATTTACCTTTTATTTTTATATGCTCTGTTTTGGTAAATTCATTATATGTCATTGTTCTTTCCAATGATGATGTCTATAAGTTTGAAGTGTATCGTTCTTCTACCAGATCCACTTTAATGCACGATGATTTTACAGATTGAAGAGAAGGAGGAGGCTGTCTGGGCTTCTTCCTTGAGCTGTTTGCTGTATTTCATCTGTGATAGAGGGAAAATTCGGCGGAGCAGATTAAAAGGACTTGATATAAGAGTGAGTCTATTAGTTGGCCTTTTCATTGTCTACTGTTTGCATAGTGAATATTATTCAGTCAACCCAGTTATATGTGTTCATATGCAGACCTTTTTTATTGAGCTCTGCATAGGGAACTACTAACTACTGCTGAGATTAATGTACATATAGCAAGTCATACCTTTATGATGTACAGATTATGGAGATTAATGTGATTTGGGAATCCCTCCTTCAAAGAATGAGTAATCAGAATGCATCAAAATGATCCTATTTCTAATGTTAATATAAGATTGTCATGGAAATTATAAAACAAGAGTAGCTAATATATGATTGGATTGTAATATAAAGGAGGGAATAATCACTTCTTTCTTCTAAATACTTTTCCAAGTTTTCTCGGCTAGCAGTTGACTGTGCTTTTATTTGTTCACAGGTAATTAAGGTGCTCATGCAGATTAGTCGAAGAAACTTTTGGGCAGAAATAGTTCATTCTAAGCTTATCTGCATGATGACAAATATGTTTTATCAATTACCTGAAGGACCTGATAAAGTTATTCTCGGTGCTCCTTTGTTTCTTGGTCAGCAAGTTGATCTGATTGGAGGCATCGATTTTGTATTTGGGGAGGTAATAATCTAACTACATTGGTAGCTAGGTCTTTTTTGCAAGGTGAAGTTGCTGCTGGGAATGAATATAGAAATGATAACAGGCTTAATTCATGGGTAGTTGAATCTTTCCATATTCTTATGGCTTGGATTTCTGTTGTAGAATTGTGTTGTAGAATTGTAGTTGGATGGCATGAAACTACTTTTAGTAGGGTAAATATCTGTGGCATGTGTGTTTTCAGAAGTTACTGGTTTTGTTTGTTTATTCTTTAGCTTGTGTTTTTTGTTTCTTTGGTTGACAGTACCTTCACCATGTTCCACCATTTGAATGTTTGTTCTATAGGAAATCATCTAAAAGAAGACTTGAATAGAAGTGCTTATTTCTTGGTTGATTTCTTCTCCTTTCCCATATATTGTGGTTATGCTAGTGGCTTTCCGATAACTAGCATATTGGCACCAACCTTGAACCTGTGTTCTTCACCAAAAAAAATAATAAAAAATGATAGATGTTATATATTTGATATGTGTACAGAAAGTGTAAACTGTCCTATCCCTGTCGCTTTGTATGTCCTTGTTATGTTTGATCCCCTTTGGAGTGGTAGTGGGCCATGCAATTTTAGATGATCAATTAAAACATTTTCTTTTTTTTTTTAAAGCAGTATTACCTGATACTGAGCGATTTTGATCAGTTTGGTTATTGTGTAAATGCAGTTGGTGCTTTCGAACTCAAGAGAAGAGAGGAGAAATCTATATCTGGTGCTTTTTGACTATGTTCTGCAGAAAATAAATGAGGCATGTATAGCTGCTGGTGTTTCTGAGTACTGTGATGATGAGGTTCGACCTATTGCTACCTTGCTTGTGCTTGCAGATGCACCTGAAGCGCTACATATTTCTGTTAAGTTGGGTGTTGTAGGTATTGTGGAGCTGTTGAGGAGATCCATTTCTGCAGCTTTGTCCACATATCCTAATAATGAGAGGCTTTTGCTGGTAATTTCCTGAATATTATTGGTTTTGTCTTGCTTGTTAACATAGCTAATACCTAGAGCTCAGTATAATTGAGTCTTGTAAGATTAATTTGGTCTTATAACAAATGTAGCTAGGTCAGTATTAGTGTCCTGTAGATTAATTTGGTCATTTATTTGTCAAAACACACTAATCAAGTTTCTGTGAGCTTCTTCAATGCATAATGATTTTAATATATAAGTGAAACTGTGTATGGATTGTATTAAAATATCTAGTTTTACATTTTTATCTTTTTCTTTTATTATTTAAGTTCATCTCACATTTGTCATGGGCGTCTTTGTTTTGGTTTGCTAAGGCCTTAGCTGGCAGTTTTGGGGTGGTGAGTTCATACTTTGTGTCAGCATTTCCACATCCAACCCAAAATTTTGATGCAGTGTTTTCTTGTTTGTAGTTGAGTTGTAGTTCCCATCATGTTTTTCTGAGTTCTATTTTCAAATTTCACACATTATCCAAGCATCTGATGCTTCACTTTACTTGATATGCCATCTGTCAGGACAGGTTCTGCATAATAGTTCCTTTTGTTCTGTTGTGTCATCAACAAGCACTTATTATGACCAGTCATGTCTTATTGTTATGTGAGCATCATCAACCTGTTGGAATTCCAGATGAATGTCTAGGAATTACTGCTCACAAATGTCTTGTAGCATTTTTATTTACAACGGGGCCACATAAATGTAACCTGCCTGCAGTGCTTATAGATTCTCAAATTTAAGGTTTGGAAAACCTCCATTGTTCTACTTCCACACAAGCAATACTATTTATTTTTTTACAGTAGAGTGTTTTGATGTGGAAAGAGAATGCCTATATTTTAAACAAAAATTTGCTTGATAAAATAGAAAAACCTGGTTTTATTCAATTTCTCGGTTTTGTTCTTGCAGCTAATGGAGAAGATAGTAGAGCATTTCGACACACTTGTACGATCATTTACGCACGTAGACAAAGAGTTCACCTATATGATTGAGATCACAAAATCCTTCAAGTCTATTGAAAGCATTGATGGAGTTTCTGGAAAAGCTGCTGCTATGACTGCAAATCTTGCGTGGACCACTTTACATTCTCTTCTTCATTCTCAACGAAAATCTTATCGTCACCATGGTTATTTGTGGTTAGGGGAATTGCTCATTGCAGAAATCAGTGGGGAAGATGATCTAAGTCTCCCAAGCATTAAAAGCTTGGAGCAGAAAATTAAGCTTGCTGGTGTTAATGATTATTCTGATTCTTTAGATGTTCCTTTGCCTGTTTGGCTTATGTGTGGACTTCTCAAGTCCAAAACTAGTACTATCCGATGGGGATTTCTATTTGTTCTGGAGAGGCTGCTGATGAGGTGCAAATTTTTGCTAGATGAGAATGAAGTGCAAGTAATGTCTGTCCAATCTTCTGCGCACATGCAAGACAATAGTCGTTTAGAAAAAGCAAATGCCGTGATAGATATTATGAGCCGTGCCTTATCCTTAATGGCTCTAATAAATGAAACTGATCGAATGAATATTTTGAAGGTAATCTTCATTTTTGAAAGTTGTATAATATCTTACTGCATTGGTTGCCATACATCTAGGGTGTTAGGCTATAGAATATTCTAATATACCTTGGTGATGCATTCTTTTTTGAATTTCCTTAAACTGAAGATGTGATAGTAACATTTAAGAATAGTTGCTTGTGTCTGATCATTGATGACTTGAATCTTAGAATCTACATCCTCATTCTCTCATCCATGAAAGTCCATATTCTTTGTGTTATAAACGGTGGTTGTGTTTTGTAATGCTTGTCTGTAGCATCAATTCTTATTCAGAATTTTCTTACACTGTTTGTTCTTTGATGTGTGTGAGCAGATGTGCGATATTCTATTGTCTCAACTATGCTTAAGAGTTACAGACGCAAAAGTGAAGCTACTAAGGGATAAAGATTTTAGTAATTTAGAAAGGAACAAGAAAAGTGTTGGAGCGGATTCTTTCTCCTTCAAAGAGAATGCTGGACAGGGTGATGCTGTTGGAGACCCTAGCAACATGCTTGGGAAAAATGTGCATGTTCCAATCCGTGATACAGCATCTATGGCGGCATTGCTTCTTCATGGACAGGCAATTGTTCCCATCCAATTAGTTGCCCGGGTTCCTGCTGCACTGTTTTACTGGCCTTTGATTCAGCTTGCTAGTGCTGCAACGGATAATATTGCCTTAGGTGTCTCCGTAGGTAGCAAAGGAAGGGGAAATCTTCCTGGTGGCACATCAGATATAAGGGCAACATTACTTTTGCTTTTGATTGGTAAATGTACAGCAGATCCTGGAGCATTTGAGGATGTTGGTGGAGAAGAATTCTTCAGGCATGTTTTCACCTTTTACCTTGTTGACTAAAGACAATTTCAATTATTTCCTGATCTTTGTATGAATATCTATCAGGGGATTGTTAGAAGATACGGATGCAAGAGTGGCATATTACTCGTCAACCTTTCTCTTGAAGGTAAGTCTTGTGAATCTCTATACTAAAGATTCGTGGCCAAATATTATTGAATTGAAGTTGCCAAGAAAGTAAAAAACAAAAAATAAAAAATCTATTTGCAGAGAATGATGACAGAGGAACCAGATACATACCAGCGCCTACTCCACAGCCTTGTTTCAAGAGCTCAACAGGTGCTTTCTTGCGTAGTTTTTGATCTAAAGATACACTAGGCTTCATTGTAGTTAATAATGCCACAGTACTGTTTGGGATGTGGGTTATCACTTCTGAGGGGTTTAAATAAATTAGGGTGTGTTGACAGTAAAATAAGATGCCTTGTTGTTGCATAAATTTGTTTCCAGTGATCAATCCATTCCTGAATAATGATAGTCTCTTCTAATTATATTTGCAAATGTAATTCAGAATATACATTCTCTGCATGCCTGGGCTTATAGCAAAAAGCTTGACTCCTTGCAAAATGCTAGTAGTGATGTGTATAATTTATTCCATTCCGGAAAAAAAGAATTTAATCTACGAGGGTTGAAACTGCTTCCACAGCAATTTATGTGACTTGTGTCCATTGGAGAGAGTTCTGAGTCTTATATGAACAGCCAGTCGATTTTCCAATAAAAATCTGAAGCCAGTGCTAGTTAGTCACAGTTTGGCTTCAAATGCTGATATTGCAGTAAATCTTTGTATATTGCTTCCTACATGAAGATTCTGATAGTTTTCTCTTTGATATCTTTAACATACTCTTGTATGCATAATTTTTCGACTGATTTTATTATATATAATTGCCCTCAACTAGACAATTTACAGTTAATTGTGTCAAGTGAATTTTGTGTTCTACTTACGGGTGCTTTTTCCTTACAGAGTAACAACGAAAAGCTATTGGAAAATCCATACCTCCAGATGCGCGGCTTGCTTCAGCTCTCAAATGAATAGCTCTTGTTTTGGTTTTCAGCTATCAATTGAGTAGCTACCTCCTTTTTACCGACTGAACTGACAGATTTTACTGCCCATTAATCGCAATGCTCTGTGTCCGGCTGTGGTATAGTGAAGCTGTGAAATGGCGACTTCTCTGTTGTATGGTACTGTTGGTTGAGCTTAAAGTGCAGCTCTAATCCTATCAAAGCCAATTTGTGACATGGGAATTACATCCATAACAACTTTCTATATCTAATTTTAAATTATCTTGGAGGCCGCACTTCAAGAGGCGGGCGTAGGATGCTTTGAGATAACAAGGTGAATAGTTGGTTTTTCATGAAGATAAAAAGAAATTACAGCGCAGTAAATTGCAAGAGCTCCGGTCACCACTGATGCTAAAAGTCCCTTCTTTCAAGCCATTTTCAGGTACTCATTTCCAACACATTCTTTCCGATGTGTAAATGTCTTCTTGCTGCGTATCTTTGGACGAAAGTAAATGAAGGTTTTACGCCGTTATGACAGCATGTGAGCATTGTGTACAAGGGACAACAGGGAATCTTGGAGAATTTATTGTCTGTCTTAATATTGAAAATTGTTGGAGAGAAATATAGGTTGATAATATATAGTTGGAAACACAAATAGCAGCCGCAACTAATTGTACTTTGTACATATTTTTTGTCAGTTCTTGTGGTGCTTAATAGAGATCTGTCTTGTTTTCTTGTTTTTCTTGATCTGTATAGTCTCTGGTTTATACTTAGATGATGCCAACTTTATTGTTCTAACATTCAATTCAGACAGTTATATATTCCTTTTTTTTTTTTTTTTTTTTGTGGAAGTCTTGAAAATTTTGAGGGATTTAGTGCTCAGTCACATTGAATTCAGTCTTAAATCATGTCTACGTGTATATATATATATATATATATATTTAAATAATGCTCCCTCCATTAAATTTAGCAGCACTTGGATTTACAAAAAAATAATATACTTACCGTATTTAATGATTGAAATTATGTTCTGACAGCAGTTAAGTACTAACAACTTTCGGTGTCCATGTTGTAATCCGATAACATCAATTAACCTCATAAATAAAAACTTGTTAAGTAGCAAAAAGAAATCAAATAAATTTAAGCACAAAATTTAAAAATAAAAACAAATAGAACACTATACAAACAAATTATAGCAGACCAACTGACTATCAAATGAAATAAATGTAATTAAAGCAAACAAAACACCAAACAAACAAATTATACCGGAAAAAAAATCGAATTTGACAATACCCACCTACTATCATACTCCTACATAAAAGAACAACAAAAAAGATAATTACAATTAGTGAGAATTAATTCATATAAAACAGGAAAAATATGAGAAAGAAATGAAAACATAGATTGAAAAAAAAAAAAAAAAAGAACTGCAAAATTGTATAAATATAATTATTTCAATATATTAAAAAAATTAAAATACCAAAACGGAATAAAAATGTTTGTTTATTAATTTACTTAAAATAACCGAAAAAACTATAAAGAAAAAAAATAAAAAAGAAAATATGAGATTGCATAAATTTGACATAGTTTGTGATATATATATAAATATATACGATAGCATATGGAGTATTAGATATGTACTCGTTGTCTCATATCTACCTATCTATTTCTTTTTTGTTTGAATTAGAAGAATATTTGTAATATTATGTAAGATAGTGCATTACTTTAAAAAAAAAAAAAATTGATACTTGTTACAGTAATATTTTTTGATATACAGTAATGTTTTTTTAGTCAATATTATACTTATAATCTTAATTGCAAATCAGTGTTTCAATTAAAAATAAATCTAATAGTTATGAATTAATCAGTATCAGAATACATACCTACATCTACATGCAGTTGGATGTACTTTGCTTCAACATAGTGTTTTGAATGTGATGAAAATCAAAAACTAATTTATTTAATTTTATAATTCATTATTTGAAGATTTGATTTTTAATCTTGGAATTGGTCAGAAACTATGGCTTTATTAATTATACCTTTTATTATATTGCTCTAAATTTTCAACCACAAGTTTGTGTGTATTTTTATTATTTTCATCCTAATTTAAAATATTATTTTTAGTTTTTATTTTAGTATTCCTTTCTTATTTTAGAATTATATCAAAGTATTCTTAATTTTGACTTAAATTACAAATATACTATTACATGTATACATATTTTAAATATCATATTTTGCAACAAAAAATAGAGTATTTTTATAGGGAATCACAAATTGTTATATAGTAAAAAATCTCGAAATCAAAATTTAATATATTAATAATAACTTCATTAATCTTCTTTTTTTTTTCCTAATTATTTGTTTGATGACTTTGCTTAAAAGTTGATTATGCATATATGAAGTCACTAAGCTACAGTCAATGGCTCAGTTATAATAAACATATCTTATATGAATATATATTTATATATTACAAAAAACGCGTATATTGTTGTTCATCGATGCAATAAGATATTTAATTTTATTTTAGTATATATTAGCTTTCATTCTTCAATATAATAATAAATAATAAGTCTAAATTTTGAATTTGAAATTGTCAAACCATCAGATGAAGTGTTGGAGACAATGCCACGTTATTATTAGCTTAACAAATTATGTTTCTCCGATCCATCAATTCCCATTATCCAGTTTTAATTCTAAATATACAGTAGTTATTTCATTTGTCGCTATTATTTTTTTAAATATTCAATTTTTCTATTATTTCAAACCACTTTTAATTTTTATAATTTAAAATAAATTTTAAAAATCAAATTTATAATTTTTAAAAATAAAAAATAAAAATAAAGCAACGCCAAAAATTAGCGTTGGATTTGACGTCGATTGGAGACAGTCGATGCCAAATATGGCGCTGAGTTGAAGATGCTCTTACGAATCTTGAAAATAGTTTCAAAATTCAAATAGTAGTAATTGTAAATGGTTTTAAATTAAAAAAGACAGGTCTGTTGCTGATTAGGTCATTATATATTGTAAATTATGAATATATATATTAAAAGATAATGATTGAGCTAAAATAGAGATAAATGATGATTATACTTCAAGGTATTATTATGCTTTTATATTTAGAGTGGTTGAAGAGTACTCACATGTTGAATAATTTTACAATATATAATTTCATTGGATTTGAAAAGTGTTGGGAACACTTCATTAAATTTAAAATATTTCTTTTCGTTTTATTGAAAGGTTGTCATTTTTCATTTTCGTTTGTTTCAAAATAAGGTTGCTATTTTCCTAATTTAGTAATTGTACTACCAACCTAACATAATAAATACCCTTTAAATTTACACTATATTATACAAATGTCATTACTTTTATATTACACGATGCTAATAGGGGTATTTTCGTCTTTTTCACTATAATTCATTATAATACTAATATTAAAAAATCTACGTGCAAAAAGTAAAAGACAACCTTGCACCAGGACGGAATTGTATTACAATAATATTACACTCATCGATTTAGATATTTCAAGTTCTATTTTATATCTATTAAAAGACCTGTCTATATTGGACCATAATATTAAATATTTTCTCCGTCTCATAACAATAGTCTTGGTTGTGTTGGACACGAGATTTAAAAAATATCAATATTATATTGATAGTAGTAAAAAAAGTAAAGACAAAAGATATTTTTGCCCTTACGAGTGTATTAGTGTAAAAAGCAGTGACAATTGTGTAATAATAATGAAAGAGTAAAGATAATTATATAGTAATATGGTTATTTATGGAAACAAGACTATTGTTTTGGAACGAACAAAAATAGTAAACAAAACTATTTTATTGGGACGGAGGGAGTACATAAGTTTACAAAAAAAAAAAAAAAAAAAAAAAAAAAAAAAAAAAAGGAGAGACATAATACAAGAAGAAATTATTATTTGATTAGATCGCAATTAGATTTATCTTTGGGAGAGCCAAAATTTTCATTATAGTGTTTGTGTGGGGATTGAATTTTAAATACACTATTTATTTCATTTTTTTCATCCAAAAACATCAAATCAAACATCTATTTTTCATTTTTTATATTATACTAAAAATCAATTTTACATTCAAAACATTGCATCAACGCCTATTTATATCACATCATATAACTATTTAAATTCAAAATTTTTATTATTCAAATTCCAACTCAAAATTCAAATCCCCGAACAAACACACCCTATAAGTCCTCTAGTACAATGGCTACAGAATATGCAAAATATTGCAATTATATTATTGGAATTGTTAGGATATTAATTAGCACTAATCAAAATCGTCAAATACTTTCTACTAGTACAAGATATATTGTGTTAATTGAAAGCATATGCTGACTGTTATATTTTATAAATATATTGTACAAATAATTCTCATGTGATATCTATAATAGTATGTATTGTATGAACTATTGTCATATGCTGATTCATTTGTTATATTTATATTATATTAATATAAATTATATGTTGGTAAGTTATATTTAATGTATTGTCAATTTATATGATATGTAATCATTATAATAACAAATATTCTCACATTCAACAACTTCTACTCATATATATATATATATATACATAATTAATATGAGTAATCTAATCAATTTATTTAAATACTATTCATATCTACTTAAGTTCGAGGGTATCACACAAACTCATGATAGAATAATTACCTATGAAACCATTTCTACATTTGTTTGTAAAAAAGACAATCATAATTAAGGGTTACAATTCTAGTCGGGATTGATGATGTGGATTTTTTTTTAAAAAAAAGAAAAAGTTGTTAAAAATTTTGAGTGAAAATAATGAAATTGTTTTATTGATCGTCAAAACAAGGGTATATATATATATACAATACAAAACGGATTCGATAGACTCAAATATAAGTAATAGATAAGACCAAATTTAAATATAAAACTACTAAATTTAAATAATAAATAATTATTTCAATACAAAATTCTACTATTCAAAACTCAAATTCAAAATCAAAACCCTATTTTGTTTAATAATATTAAATTGATTACTATCATTTTTATTTTTCTATTACACCCTCCGTCCAGAAATAAGTATCCATTTGCTTTTTGCACGTAGTTTTAGAAATATTAGTATTATATTGGGATATAGTATGAATAAAATAGAAATGACCAAAATAACCTTATTAGTATGTGTGATATAAAGCTAATGACATTTGTGTAATATATTGTAAGTTGTAAGGATATTTGTAATGTTAGGTAGATAGTACAACTACTAAAAGAGGAAATAGATACTTTGTTATGGGACGGACTAAAATGAAAAAATATGTACTTTGTTATGGGACGGAGGGAGTATTATTTTTTTGGAATCCATGTTGGAAAACAATATGTGCAAAGACAATCAAAACTAAAATGAAACCTCACTAATGTTATAATTGTTTTTTTAAAATAGATTATTTATTTATTGACTAAAATACCAATTTCAAAAAATAGCATAATTATAATTTATATATGTGGCTTAATTCAACAGATGAGATTATATTCCACTTCACTATACATTAACTCCAAGAGAAATTGACACAATAATTTTCTGTTGGCTGCCTTATCGTATATAACTGACGAATAAATTACAAAAAATATTCCACACTTATACCCTATTATCACTTTTGTTCTGTATTTATCTCCCTGGCAAAATATATCCCACATGTTTACAAAAGTCGTTATTTATGTCATTTTCTCATGCGTGAAATTCACACCACGCGCCCTTACGCGCAATCATGCGCGGTCAAAGGATAGAAATATCGACTTTTGAAAATATGTGGGATATATTTTGCCAGAGAGATAAATACAGGACAAAAGTGATAACGAGGTATTCGTGAGATATTTTTTGCAATTTTCCCTATAACTGACATATTATTGTCATTACCATATCATCATGTGCAATATAATTTTTCGATAGATTGTCTAATATTTATTATAAATGTATAAAATACTTTCTGATTTATTTATTATTTGAAAAAAATTATGTTATATTAAAATATGCATAAAATAAGTTTTTTTTTTTTTTTCATTTAAACATGGATGTTGGATGTTGATTGGAAGCTGGCATCTAATTATATTAGTATTATGCAAATAAATTGAATGAAGTAATTTTTATATCATTATTTGAATAAAATAAATAAATAAATTGATTAATCTCTCGTTTCACAGTTTATAAAAATGAAATTATGACTAACTCGTTTTCATTTTACTAATTATGAAAAGAAGGATTGATTATTTATTTGTTTTATTTAAATAATAATAGTTAAGATATTTCATTTTATTTTTTATAATACTTGTATAATTATGAATATCAGTTTTTGGATTGATAGGGTATTATATGCATATTTTAATATTATATCTGTTTCAATTCAAAGAGTCATTTAGAATTTTGTAGTATATTAAAAAATAAAAATATCATTTTGATATATATTTTTTTATTTGTATCTCAGGTAAAGTAATTGTATGTATAATAATATGTTTGTAATTTATGTAAATGTTAAAGATTATTTTACTATAATAAGATTATAAATATTTTTGAGTAAGATAGATAAAAAAAAAAAAAAATAGTAAAAATGATATTTTCAGTTGTGACGAAAGAATATAACACAGAAAGATTTTACACAATAAATAAAATACATGATATCTTATACTCCCTCCGTCCCAGAACTATAGTCTGAGTTGTGTTTGACACGGAATTTAAGGAATATTGATACTATATTGATAGTAGGTAAAAAGCACGGATAAAAGACTTTTTTGCTTTTGTGAGTGTACTAATATAAAAAGTAGTGATAATTGTGTAATAATAATGAAAAAGTAAAGGGTAGTTTTACAGTGATATGATTATTTATGGAAATGAGACTATTGTTTTGGGACAGATAAAGATGGTAAATAAGACTATTGTATTGGAACGGATGGAGTATTCATGTGAGTATTATATAATTTATTCTAATTTTTTAAGGTTTTTTTTTTTTTTTTTCGTTCTTGTGTGCACGTTTCTATAGACTAAAGACTATAGAATTTATCGATCGTCAGTCGTCACTGCACTTGTGGTTTAATAATCTTAATTTCCAAGTCCCAAAATTTTTTTTTCTTTGTCATTTTATGAGAAACTTCGGGGCATTTTCTTCCACCAAAATTAATAATTTCTCAAGAAAATAAATATAAAAAGAAAACAAGATCCACCATTTTCAAATAAATGGATTACAAGTATTGGATTATACTATCCTCTTTTTTTTTCGTGATATATAATATAAATAGTTTTTAAATTATTTAGCCCTTATTGTTGGAAAAAGATGTGTAAATAAAATTTTAAAAAATAAAAATGATATATAAATAAATAGAAAAGAAAGTGTAAAAAATTGAACTTTGTCAAATTAATAATAGTAGAAAAAAGATTTGGGTGTGATTTACACGTTAAGAAACCATAAACTAATTAATATGCAACATTGATGTGTAAAGATTAATATAAATATCTTATATTTTTAGTTATAAAAAAATAAAATAAAAAAATCTAAAAAAAAAAAGTAGAGCTAAGAAGTGTGTTTGTGTAAGTTTTTTGGATTGTTATTTGAAATTTGAAGTGTTAGAATTTAATTTTTGTTTAAATAATATTTTGATATATAATGAATAAAATAAAATTAAAAATGAAAAGAAAAAAGCACAGTGGAAATTACATAGAAACTAAAATTTATATATTGTGCTAACCTTTGTAATAATGGTGTTGCGTGCACAGGAATTTGTAATGTAAATGTAATGGTTATTGATTCCTCATCGCCACCACACCCTCACCCTCACCCTCACCCTCACCCTCCTCCTCAGGCCTAATTATAATATCAAGAGTAATCATCTTCTTATATACGTTTAGATAGAGAGTATATTTTATTTTAAAGTATATATATATATATATATATTTTTATGAGTTTGAAAAAGATTTAGTTTGAATTGCGGTCTCACATTAAAGCTTGAATTACTAGAAAAATGCAACTATTAATTATTTATATGCAAACGAGAGCATATGCTGCAAATAGAAACGGTGAGATTTGAATTCGATGGGAACGGTGTGATTCGAACTCAAGACCTAGTCTAGGCTCTGACATCATGTCGGATGTGGTCGTTGTCTTAACTAAAAATTCAAACTTTTTTGAAAATACAGTCATTAATTATTTATTCACAAATAGGAGACTTAAACAGTTTTAATATTAAAATAATGTATAATGAGATATTTTGTGAGAGAAAAATATTTTTTTATTTTAATTTTTTTTTGGAAAAAGTCAGGACCTAACAGATCGAAAGGAACAATACATAGACAAGTAAATCCCTTCTGAATTCCAAGGTATTCGTTTATTTGAATTTCATTATTGAAGTCGAATTCAGAATTAAGGAATTCATCATTCGAAGGGAAGTAGACTACTCAAGAATCTCATATTGAATTTACGTCGTAATTGAGTAACGAATTAAGAAAATTGATATCCTAATAATAAATAAAAAGAAGGCGTAATTAATGAAATCTTGCTGTTTGTTTTTCACTGAGAATTTGAATAAGGAGTAAATTTTTTTATTTTGTTGGGATTTTCTAGACTAGCGACATCTCCGGCATAAATGCATGGAGGATGTACAGCTGATATAGGATCTTATGGAACAGGATTTGATTCTGTAAGCAGTTCGGTATGTACAAACGAAGAAATTTCGAACAAAAGGGTCGGAACTCGCTGATATCACTGGATTTGGTGTCAGATGAAACAATCCCTAATCAATAATAACTTACCATAGTAATTAACCAAGTTTGTTTCTCATAAAGTGTAGAAGGAAGGATCTGTCAACTTATAAATATGAAATGTATGTAGAGGATATGAATGTCAAAGATGCTGCTTAACTGTGTGATTTCCTTGACTATTGACCCAGAAAAGAAACTATGGGTTAAGTTATCGATTAATCATCATTAGTCATATGTATTTTTAAAATAATAAAATAAAAATTCAAATACATTGGAATAGGAGGATAACTGAACCCAAAAATAATATAAACATCTATATAGATACATAGGTTTCTTAAACTCTGTATAATTTCCAGCTAGCTAGTTTCCTTCCTACAAAGTCCTGTTGACTGACTAGTACATAATTTAATAAACAAAGGATTGCTAATAGTATTTTAACAACAAGATAACAACTCTCATCAAATAATCTCATTAAACGTATTTTATTCTCCCATCCCCTAATGTGTGCACGACAAGGACAAGAATTTTAACAAATGCCTATATGATCACCCAAAACACCCTAAAAGTCAACCTCTGAGGAAATCCATAATACTAGTATATAACTATAGATTTAATACTATTTATTATGAAGTCATAAGTCCTATTTAGAAAATAAATAAAAAAAGAAAGAAAACTGCATTATCCTATTTAGCAAGTTGTTAGGTCAAATCAATGCATACATACATACATACAAACTCAAGAGTCAGTCAAACAACTCATGGAATAGAATGGAGGCCCTACATGCCATCACATTACATTCCTAAGTCAATCCTTCAACCACTACCCTATATGTTAATATAATGCCACCCTAAGAGGACATACGGATAGCTAGCAAATACTTACACGATGATAATGTTAGTAACATCGTATCATTTATATTAATATAATACAAATATAATATGAACTACAGCAAACATATAGGTAGCAAACAGCACACGATAATATTAATAACAACACATCATTTATATTCATATAATACAAACACAGCACGTGATATAGTCTCATAGAACACATACATCAGTTCATTTCAACACATGACATACACTTGTACAACACGCGTATAATTATAAATAAATAGCACATGTCATTATTACAAACAGCACGTGTTGTTTTTATATTTTATGGATGTTGATTTGAAAAATCAACGTAACCTTCCACATAAATACAATATATAATATAACAAATATATATTACTATTGATTTCAGCACAAAAATTACATTCAATCCTACAAAATATATGTGTATTCTTTTAATTAAAATCATATATTATTTGTTAATAATACGCGCGTTTATAGTAAAATATTGAATAAAATAATTCAGACATCAAATTTCGTAATTATATATATCCCACCTATTGCTACTACTTCTATCATTATTATTATTATTATTGTTCACTCACTTTATCACACTTCAAAATAGCTCCAATTCTAGTAGCCACGCCAAACAACCTCAAACACACATTTTGCAAAGATACAGAAACAAATTAGATCAATCAAGCAGATTCAAATGGAGATTGAAGAAATCACAGTTTCAGATATGCCTCAAAGATCAATGATCACAAGCCCCGTACCTCTGTATAAAACCCGCAACGACGGCGCAGTTTCGATTCCTCCTTCGCCATTGTCCGTCACGTTCTCCGCATCCATGATGCTCGAGAACATCGAAAATGCAGAGACTATTGTCGCGAAATGGGATCCGCGCAACAATTCGATGGAGAAATTCATCTCTCTGTTTCAGGAAAATCGGCGAGAGGCCAAGGAGTTCGCCAAGTGCGTCGATGGCCTGCGCAAGGCTATGCACTATTTGGTCGCGCAACATGCCGGCTCGAACCAGCTCGTCGTCGCCAACAAGCTCATGAAAACTGCCATGCTTCGGCTGGAGAAGGAATTCTATCACATCCTTGCAACAAACAACAAATACCTGAATGCTGAATCCATTTCCAGTGAATCCTCACACCTGTCTCGATCACTGTCCTCTGGAAATTCGGATGAGGATGAATACTACGATGATGATTATGTAGCTTCTGAAAATGGCGGAGATGTTCATCAATCGAAGGTTGAGCGGACTATGTCCGACCTGAGAATCATTGCTGAAAGCATGATTAGCTCTGGATACAGCCAGGAGTGTGGAAAAATTTACAGAATCACAAGGAAATCTATTGTGGAAGAAGAACTTTACCGTCTCGGAATTAGGGCTTACACTCAGTCGCAGATCAACAGGATGGATCACGAGGCTGTCAAGCATCAGGTCGGAAAGTGGATTGATGCAGCGAAATCTGCAGTGACGCTGCTATTTCGCGGTGAAAGGATGTTGTGCGATCATGTGTTTGCTGTCTCGGAGACGATTAGGGAAACGTGTATTGCTCATGCCGCCATGGAAGGAGGACTCAACCTGTTCCGATTCCCGGAGCTTTTGGCCAAGAGCAAACGATTTCCTAACAAAATCTTCCTTCTGATGAATTTATACGAGGCGATCTCCAATCTCTGGCCGGAAATCGAAGCGATCTTCTCGTACAAATCGTTATCGCCGATAAAACTGCAAGCGCTCGCCTCGATGAACAAGCTTACAGAGGCGATTCAAACGATTCTCGCTGAATTCGTCTCCTCCGTGCAGAAAAACTCATCCAAAACGGCGGTTCCCGGCGGCGGAATCCATCCTATGACGAATTCAGTGATGGAATACGTCGCGCTATTAGCGGATTACAGCGAAACTCTCTCCAATGTCCTCGCCGGAGACGGCGATGAAAGTGCGCCGGCGCAGTCGCCGTTCCCTGAATCGTACTTCGATAGCCCTAGCCAGACCTCGGGAGTATCATTCCGCCTTGCCTGGATCATTCTCGTCCTACTCTGCAAGCTCGACAGCAAAGCGGAGCTTTACAAGGACATCGGACTGTCGTACCTCTTCTTAGCCAACAATCTCCAGTTCATAATCGACAAAGTTAGCACAAGCACTCTGAGATTCCTCCTAGGGCAAGACTGGATAACAAAGCTCCAGAAAAAGGTGAATCTCTACGCCACCAAATACGAGTCCGTCGCGTGGGGGAAAGTCCTCTCGTCTCTTCCGACGGAGACTGAAGTCTCACCGTCGCCGTCGCCGTACACCGTCAAAGAGCGATTCCGGCGATTCTACTCCGCCTTCGAGGCGGCGTACCGGAAACAGATCACGTGGGTGGTCCCTGACTCGAAGCTTCGAGACGCAATCAAGTTGTCGATCTCGAGGAAGCTTGTGCCGGCGTATCGAGAATTCTACAGCAGCTATTCGGCGACGCTGAGCGAGGAGAAGAATCTGGACGCGATGGTGAAACTGTCGCCGGATAACTTAGGGAACTTCTTGTCGGACTTGTTCTACACGACGGATTTGGTGCGGTGGAACTCGCTGGCTTCGTCGTCGGTGGGTCGGGTGAATCCCGGCGGCGGTTGTCGCATCGTGTGCGGCGGAGTAATGGCGGGAAGATGAATCCTGAATTGAATTACGAAAGATATTGTAAGTATCTCGATTTTGAATTTTTTACATTTTTGTGAAGCTTTTTGTTCGTCCTTTTCATTCATTCAATCGAATAATAGAATCAAAGATCTCAGTCACACTTTTGTTTTGCAGTTGAAAGGAAAGAGATGATGAAAAACTGTTGGTAGTTACGGAAAAATAATAACCGAACCTAAACTTTGGTGTAAAAATATCTTTTGCCAAATTTATGGTCATTACGTCGTGAATTCAAACTTTGCCAATATTACGAAATGAATTTATTTACTCCATCCTTTCTTGTTTGATGGATGTCTGGTCTGTAGACAACCTAAATTTAGGATAAATATATGAAAATAATTATTTTATAATATTGATTAAGATTAAAATAATTAATTTATTTAATTAAATATAAAAAAAAAATTAAAAAATTTAAAGTATAATCATTTTTAAAAAATCAAGTGGCATGAGATATAAGACGAAACGGTAATATGGACATGATAGGTGGACAAAGAGAGTAATATATTCTCTCCAAAACAAAATATATATTTTTTCTTATTTGTCTTGTAGAAAAGATATTTCTTCCATTAATTATTGAAAAAATAATTACTTTATAATTAAAAAATAAAAATATATGTACTTTGTCGAAAATATCAATAATGTCATTTATATATTAAAGAAAAAAAATACTCGCTGCATCAAAATACGTGCCCCAAAGGAGTATATAGCTCTAAAACAAATACAAGCTAACTTGCAAAAATAATAATATTAAATTAAAAAGGTATGTTTATTTGTGTGATTTGATTTTATTTTTACTATTTTAATAAATTTTTTCATCCTAAAAATATCAAATTAAATATTTAATAGTATTTAATTAAAATAATAAATGACTAAAATATAAATAATTTTAAAAAGTAAGTTAAGAATAATAATTATGAATAGTTTAAAAAAATAGAAACAAATTTGTTATAAAGAAGACTACGATTACTACGTACAAAGAAACAAGACAATTGTTTTGAGACTGAAGATAATGAAAAAAAAAACAAATCTGTTAGGACGAAGGGAGTATTTTTTATTTATTATATTATATTAAAATTAAATTTTACATTCAAAATATATTTATATCACATCAAAATTTTATATATAATCTAATAAAATCGAAAATAAAAATAGAAATACTACTGTCGATCTTGTATGAGGCCAAACATAAGTTCCTAATAGACAAGACAGACATATGGATAAATATTAAGAGCAGTGATGGAAACAAACAAACAAATTAATGTAATCATAAAAGAATTCCTTTTTCTGTCATATGATCCATTGTTATTTGCATATGGGAAGCTCAAGAACATAAAAACAAACTAAAAACCACCTTGTTTATCGAATTCCATCTTTTATAGAAATTCAACGTTTGCGCAGACGCAGACAGGGACAAATTCATCGACACCGGAACAATACATTTTTCAGAAAACAGCCAAACAGTTTGTTCATTTGTTTACAGCATTTCCTGTGACCGTCTAACACATCGACTAACCTTCTTCCTGAAATCATCCCTATGTTCTCTCCATTCCTTCTGCAGTGTCGAATCGAATCGAATCAAACCAAAAATGGAGAATTGGTCAGCTTAATACCGAAAAGAAAATTCAGCCCCGGAAAGAGACTTTAATTGACATCCAACCAAATTAATGATCTTGATCGAAAACTAGATGTTGAAAAATCATCCAAAATAGATATATTTAACATCAAAGTCAGAAATGTCCAATAGCATTGACAAGTCAATAAATGGATGGTCAAATGATTTCCAGAAACCGAAATAACAATAAGCTGGAGAGCAGAATTAGAAACTTCTTACGTAGAATGAACAAAAATATATAATCAATATATTGCAATTGGACTTACAGCAGCTTCAACATTAGCAGGAGACTCGTCATTCGGGCTTGAAAGCATTGATATGATGCTTAGAACTATACTCTCCACCTGAAAGTAAGATGCCACAGGATAAACTTGGATTAAAAGCAGCGAACAAATATGAAACATGCCCGGCTTTTGTTTACACAATTTCACGCATTTGGCACTATTCATTTTTGGAAAAACACCAAATCAAATATAAACCTTTTTTTTTTCTTTTTTTTTTTACAAAACAATAAATCAAATACTAATTTTCTACTTTTTCCAAATTTTCAAAATTCCAAAGGTCTCCAAAAACCTCTGTCTAATTAGTCTGTGGCTGATATTCCAGAACAAGAAAGAGAACATATATGACCGCGTATATGAGAAAGGATTCTAGTACTCATAAGTCCATTATTTCAAAAAAATGGGCAAATCATTCTTTGAACAAATCATGTCACTTGGCTTGCAAATATTGAAAATTTTACTAGATATGTAAAAAAAAAAAAAAAAAAAAAAAGAGAGACTAATTCTCACATAGGCAACATGCAAAATAAGGTTCACAATTTAAAGTACACATAAAGCATATTAAATTAAGAAAACAGTTGTACGAGTGCGACAGAATAAGAAAACCAGAATTCACTGATATATAACAAATTGGGTGCTTGAATGACTTATTGTTGAACATACCGTGTGAACAGGCGACCAACGCTCACTAGCTAGTTCGTAGCCACTTGGATCATCGCCAGGGGGATGAAGAATTGAAATGCAGACTTTTCCATCTGGATATACTGCAGTTCATATGCATTTTAGCTTTAATTCAATAAATAATTGCAGGGAAGACTATCAAGCATTCCAGTATAACCGAGAGACCAACCATTTGGATGCCAAATCTCAGAAGTAAACTTCACTGTTGGGGGACTATTTGGGTAATTCGGAGGGAAGGTCATAATGGCATTGAAGAAACCCCCTTCACTGCAAGTTATTATCAATGTTGAATCAAAACTCAAGAAATATAAACTCATGAAACAACCATTGCCAATGAATCATCTAAACGTACAAAAATTAATCAACTCCAAACTTCAGAAACTGTTTCAGCAGGAGAGGGCATACCACAACTTTGCAGCAATCATGTCAAATCAATTATAGTATTTAAAATGAGTTACTTCAGATTATAAGTTAGGGGTGAGTATCAAATCAAGTAACTTCTGGACAAAAAGTACACCTTAAAATAATGTTCGACTTGAACTCGCATTGAGCATCAATCATATTGATCTTCTGAGTTACTATTGAGTGCAAATCACGATCGAACTCAAGTACGAACATTCTACAAGACTGGTTAAATCAAAATTGAGAGGCCAACTACTCAAAGCATTGATGTTAGGTCATTATACACTGCTCCATGGCTCTCAGGCATACCTTTCCACAATAACACCTTAGAAAAACCACGATTAAGAGAATTAATTACACAAACTTTATCTAATGAAAACAACTATTACAGATACCTCCAGGGTTGTCACAGTTTAAAAATAGTCATGACCTGTAACCAAACTAAGTAAATTCATTTTCTCTCGGTGGCAATTATCAAAGCCATTTGTGTTATTAATAAGAGAGGAGTACTTAACCCCGTGCCACAGCATTGATCAAGGTAATCCAGATACACTTGTTGTTCAATTCGAGCTACTCAACAAGGCTCTGCTCATTAAGATTGAGAGGTAGTTCATTACATCGAAAGAGTTAAATTAGATTACGAACATAATTCCTTGATTAATCAAAGATGTGCAAGCTCAAATCAATCTAATAAATGAGCAACTCGATTCATTCACCATTTTTTAATTCACTTCACATTTTCAGAAAGCTTAGTTTGAGCTTTGAACACATTGGAGTAAACAAGCCCAAGCTTTAGCCTTCCCACAAATTCTAACTAAAATTCAAATATACTCACTTAAACTTGGCTCAATTCAATCTAGGTTCAAGTGAAGTTGAACACCTAAATCAAAAACATTTAAACACTCAAATTACTAGGAATACGGAAATCAGTGAAGATTCGACAAACATTCAGAAGGTTGTTCCAATGCAGTAAAACTTCAGCGCCTCAACTTAGATCAAAACCAACATAAACAGACTCTTCCCCACCCAAAAACTAATTTTATTGAAATAAATATGTATCAGAACAACAAGGAAGAGCTTTTCAGAGGAAAAAAAAAGGCGCGCACATACCAGAACAGATTTCAAGAGCTAAACAAACACACGCAGTTGAATCCCCGCCCAATCAACAAAGCATAAACTCCGACACAAAAGCAAATAATCAGAACAACAAACTCACTAAAGTGTATCAGGCGGCCCAATTATGGTCACACTCCATTCGAACAGATTACTCTCATCCAGCAACCCAGCCGAGAATCCATCCACGGGGTTCTTGCACAGATCTACACATAAAAATCACAGATCATCAAAACCACACAAGATTCCCACCCAGCGTCACAAAATCCATTCACCGACACAAAGTACCGAACCGCAAAATGAAAAAACCATTAAAACACCACCTTTGAGCTGCTTCTGAAGGAGGAGGCTGGCTTGAGAGGGCGAGGCCATCGAAAAGGTCACAGAGTGGAAAATAAATGCCAAAATCTAGATTTTTATGGGAGGATTTCACGGCAGGCGAGGCGAGAGGGATGGAAACGGATTGGGAGGGAGGCGAATATACATACACAATACATATATACACATACAAATATATATATATACGTGATTGAGGCCTGATGGATGGAGAGAGAAAAAAAGCGACGGCGCTATCATATAAGCTGGCGTTCCTTCTCTTCGAGTAACTTTTCCGTATACTGGATTCGACCCGTGTTTTCGGGTCGGGTCGGGTTTCTCTAATCATATGGATCTTCTGATCGCTACTTCACTTCAAGTAACTTTTCCGTATACCGAATTTCGGCTCCGTCCCATAAAAGATTCAAACTCAAATAAAAACCCATCAAATCCTAAAGGGTTATTAAAACCAAAGACACCACAAATCTTTTTTTGATTTGAAATTAAAAGTAAATAAACCCACAATTTTATTTTATTTTTTTCTTTTTAATTAGATTCATTAATAAATAAAAAGATATCTAACAAATATTTTATAAAAATATGATTTGATATAAAAGTAAAGGGTGTGTTTGTTTTGTATTTTAATTTTGAAATATCATTTTATTTTAGATATAAAAAAATATGAATAATATAAAAAATAATATTTTATATTAAATTATTAAATTTTGTAATATTAACTATGTCCAAAATTTGTGGAGGGAAGAACTATCTACAACTTCAAGAATATTTGATCAAAAGTGTACACATTATTAATATATTTTGAATTTCAAATTTGTTTGGATTTTTAATGCACTGATTCAAATCAATTCAAAATTTTAAAATTTAATAAATTTTTAATTCAATCATATCTAAAAATTATATTTTAAATGTTGATTTGATTAAAATCAAATATTTAAACTTTCGAATATTTTACTTACTTTATATGTTCATTGTTCAGATATATTTTCTTTGTCCCATAATAAATTCGCCGAGTAATGAACATAGAAAACCCACAGGTTTAAAACATACGAAATTGATAACTCAATTTGATCACAAAAGATCCATTCAATCGATAATAATTTGAGGTTACACAAAATTGTGTTTATCTCCTTCAAGAGTTGCTAATCTACATCATCGATGTTCCCCTATTAGCCATTGTCTAATAAATTGTATACCTTCAAAAATCTGTCACACAAAATTCACTCACCAACCACGAGGTTATTACAACCGATTTTATTTACCGCATGAATGAAACTAACTACTTGCAAATATATACTCCCTCCGCTCCTAGATAAGATAGACATATTACTCTAGATAAAGAATTTAACTAAAGTATAATTAGAAAATAATTAAAAAATATATAGTAAAAATAATTATTATTTAATAAAAATTATTATAGTTTAAAATAACTAAATAGTTTAATTAAAATTAAAAAAATTATAAAATTTAAAATATAATTAAAGTGTATAATTAATTTTACAAATCATGTAGGGCAAATAAAAAAAATAAATAGGAACAAATTATATAAGAGGAAGAGAATACTGTATTTTCTATGCGAACTATTTTAAACAATAATAATATTTTTCAAGCACGTGCGTGCAAACAATTATTTAAAAGTAAAAAATGTCAAACAGCAAGAAAAATAGGAGAGGAAACAAACACAGTAGTAGTACAAATTTAGATAATAACAAAAAAGAGACGTCCACAGAAACTACACCTTAATCTTTCTTATACAGACAACATATACAGTTCAAAGTACAAACATTTATTTCACTGATATTATATAGATATATATATATATATATCTAGAGAGAGAGAGAGAAAGAGAGAGAGGTATCTTAAATATAAGAAAAGAATAATGATTTCTCCGTCGATCTTTGTCGACAAAAACAAGCTGTGTTGCCATAAGTATTCCTACAAACTCCCAGCAGCATACAGTCAGTCAATCCACAGTCTAGTCTTGCCGTGCTTCCGGAATTTTCTTGCCTGCTCGAATCCCTTTGGATTCATTCATCTCTCGATTCCACGGTTAATTCATTCCAAGTGATACTTGAAGCTGTCTATGGCTAAGATTCAATGCAACTATTAGATTATGTTAGTATTAGATTAGGTTAGATCAGATCAAATCAGATTAGATTATACTAGAGCAGATCCATACCTTTCCGGAAAAGGGCGTTGAAAGATTGTCGGCTAGTTAGTTGGTCTGCGAAGAATTCCGAGCCAAAAAATTATCAACACCAAGACTTGCATCTCCATGTGATACAGCATCTTCAGGATCCGGCATATAGAGGGTCGACATGGAAGCCTGCACAAAACAAAAAGAAGGCACATCCAGATACAAAATTCGATTCCAACATATGTAATAATGGATTTTGGATATCAAGAATTAACAGCATAGCCTGACAGTCAAAGTAAGTATCCCAATTCAGACAAGTAATGTACAGTATCGATGTAAAAACAAGACAAAATCATGAACCCTAAACCCTGAACAACCACAATTTACTGGGAGACCTTCATTTTGCGTTGATATTGAAGATAGAGAGAAATTTACCTTTGCATCGAGCAAGGTCTCCCCAGAGCTATCAACAATAAGGATTGCGCCGTGAGCCTTAAGCCATTCCACGCATTCTTCCAACCCATCCACTTCTTTCTCCTCACTAGTAGGCAATGATGCATGATTGAAGCCTAGAATTCGGGATATATATGACACTGGAAGTGTAGGCCGGTATGAGCGCGACATGCATTTCACCGCAGCATATCGCATTTTTTCAACAGACACATCTGGAAATGAGGAATGACATTATCAGGTTATTCATAAGTTTGTGGATAGCAATTCAAGTAGCTAATAATTAAAGCAGTGCATATTACACACCCATGAGGAAGGCATTAAGATTAGGAGCAGACTTGTAAAGTCTGAAAAACATCACATAATTTCCGGATGTCACAGCACTTCGAACAGCGAGAGCATGTTTTACTGCTTCATCCTTTTTGGCATCCGCTGATAATCTGTAGAGTAAAATAATGACAAAGAAAAGCATGATAACTTATTACCAATCATAAAGCATTTGAAACAAAGCCTAGTTTATGTATTACATGCACTTTTGACGAAAGTAGGTTTCTATTGAAAGGGATAGCAATTTGATCACTTCCAAACCCAAATAAAGACCTATATGGAAGTAAGAAGATGAAAGAGCCTTTGCCTCGAGCACAGTCAATCACTCAGAGACAACAACAGACCCCTCACCACAGCCACTAACATCTCCAGTGGCACAAAATTGAAAATTCACGGAAAAAATAAAGAGGCGACTGAAAAGTTCAAACGCAATACAAGATACAATTAACTATATAGACCTGAAATTGACTTGCGCAGAAAATGCAACGTTTGACAAGCAGAAAGAAACCACAAACAAAACCTGACTTAGAAGCATTTACAAACCTGGACATAGCTGACAGAAGTTCCCTATTATTATTTGAGTGCAAGATTACACATAGTAAATGATATGCGGCAAATTCCATATGGCATCCTGGAATTTCTTCTGCATAGAGTCTTTTGATTTGTGATATGCACTGTACAGGCAGAAAAAGGTTAAAATAACTGTCGTACCAGGTCATTAGATTATCTAAAACTCAATTCAACACATAAATGAAAATAGTGACAACTCAAATTTCACTCATTGCTGCATTTTGAGGTTTCGTCTTGAATTTTATGCAGGTGATTCAGATGTTTTCCTATTTTGTGATAGATTATTCTTTAATTAGATTTCTCGATGAAGCCTAGTCATCCAGCTGAAATTTAGGAGTACCTTACTTAGCAAACTAAACTTCAAAATCTTAGCCTTAATGTAAATTCAGATGTTCTAGGGCTGATAGAGACATTTTATTCTCTGTATTTTTTATGAACTTAGGATAATAACTGGCTGTATTGAGCCCCAAACTACTGTAAGCATCATGCAAGATAGCTGGCTCATGCCTTCCAACCCAAAAAATTTGGAATCAGATAGCATAAACAAATAATCAAACTACATTGTAGTGAATCAAGGTCTAAGCAATTTCAGCTAAAACAAAGCATTTGTGAGTATGAACAACAGTAGAGATGGGGACAGAAAACCAAATAATGCCCAGTGAATGTACATTATGCACGCTTATAGGAAATTTAAAGATAAAAATAAAATAAAAAGTTCCATACGAGTCAGTTAGCTATCCATAAATTCTTTTTCCAGGTTCAACAAAAAGCCAAATCATTTCTCAAAACATATTCCGAACAAGCTTTGACGAGATATGATATAAAAATGCCAAAGAATCCGAATATTGACAACCATGGAAGGGAAAATAATTATCAGAAAGCTACAATCTACATTTAAAGCTTGAAACCAACCTGGTTGTACTCTCGCACATCCGCAGATTCTATAGCAAATCTAGCATGGGTTTCATAAACCTTCGATCAACAACAAAACTCAGTATTAGATAATAACGTCCTATCATGTCATAAATGTCAAATGGGCGATAACTATAATAAATTAATGAGTATATTATCTGCCAAAAAAAAAGAATCATAAAAGAAATCAGAAACAGGTATAAATGATGAAAAAAAGACAATTCACACCTTAACTGTAAGCTCGTTGCGTATGTGTTGCACTGTAAGATCTTGCCGCATAGATTTTAACTGATCACATTTGTAATGATAATCCTTTTGAGAATTTTGAACCATCAGTAAAGCTTTTTCCAACACTTCTTCAGGCCTCACCTGCAAAGCAGTATAGCATGAATAACTTACTCTTCCATAAAAGTGTATCATCGAGAGCAGAAAAGAAGCTGCGACAATTTACCGTAGCAGGATCCGGAGCAGAAGTCAGACGCAAGTAGCCTTTCTCGATTTCCTGACAGGTTCCCTTAACTCTAAGGGAATCCCAATCAAGATCTTCTACAGCCCTGCTCCCACTTTCCTCAAAGTTTCTATGCACCGATGCACCAGCCCGTCTTGCGTGCATATAACTATCCCTTGCATCTTTTGCTCTTGCATTATTTTTATCAGCCCTATTTCCATGTCCTCTATCAAAACGTTTTGAACGATTTTCACGTCTCTTTTTCTCCTCTGGTGAATCTGCTAGTGCAACAGCAGCAGCAGAATACTTGGTCAAGGTTTGTTCTACATCACTGTCACTAGAAGCTTCTCCATTATCAGCAGCATTGCTACCATCAACAAGACGAAGCCTCTTGGCTGGCCTTGCAACATGTTTGCTGGAACTTCTATGATCAAATGATTTAGTGCCTATGTTGTCCTTGTTCTGTATTTTCCCACCTGAAAACTGCAAATATATGGCTGTACTTGATTACTCAGCAACTACAAAATATCACCATGATAAATCCTATGTATATTTCTTATTTACATCACCTGCGATCATTTTAACACAATGCCAAATGCACTATTCAAGTCCACGGTATCCACTAAAAAACTTATAATTAATAGGCCATTGATAAACTGTAGTATACTTTTATCAATAATGTCCAAAGGCCTTTTCAATTTCATATACAAGAATAACGGAATAAGCAAATTAAATTGCAACATAAAAACCATCTTTAATTAGTAAAAACACTATTATATCACTCAATGCCGGACATGAGGTCATAACATCACTATGAAAAAATAATAAGACAAATCAAATAGACCAATCAAACTTGATAATCTAGTGAATTTAATCAGTGGAAAGCCACTGTTGCAGAAATCAAGAATGTCTGCATAAATAATATCTCAAAAAATATATAAATGAACTAGATCCAAATCTGTCACATTTATTCAAGGAACACAAACTACAATATTGCCATGAGAAATTTCACATGATTACCTGTTTGTTATTCCAACCTCCATATTTTACAGTTCTGTCAGAAAAACTGACAGACATGTCAACTGGTTTTTCCTCAGGAATAGGCTCCCACCTACTCTTGGTTCGCCGACTAGGACTTTTATTCTTTACATATGTAGACGGCAGTGAAAATGCTGTATCCCTACAGAAAAATAGTAAGAGGCATATGTTACATGTTATTCACACTTTCCAATTACCGGATCAAAGAATGGGAAAAAAGAAACCCACTGGTTGTTATCTTCATTGATATTTGGCATTGGGAAAAGAGGCTCAGTGTCCCAATCTCTTGTATGGAGTGTGCCATCCTCTCTTGCCTTTGTTATTAACTGAATGTAAAAAATGAGCTTTGGAATGTGATCAAAAGAAATAAAATAAAATAAAATAAAAATATACAAACTATACGTTTATAAAATGTAAGTGTCAAAGTGACAATTATGTCTGCAACATGGCATGTACACATGAATTGCAATGCATTACACTCTTAGAAAAGGATTACTTAAAACAATGTTTAAATGAATCTTAACGATATACTCCTATATGATAAAGCAATTACCTACCCAAGGCACTCATAATAGGACACAAGAAATCAGCTCATTTAATAATTTAAACATGAATGATTGGAAATTGATAAAAACCTTGATCACAAAAGCATTCGCAGTTGGTAATATCACAGAATAAAACTAGTCTAACTCACTCAAACGAATCTACAGAAAATTAACTTTTTGGAATTAAAGAATCTCACTAATCATTGTTGAACAAGAAGACGGAACACAATTGCATGCATACATGCATAGACATCTTAAGGGAACAAAAAAGCAGGAAGGAAATGATGCAAGGTCTTTAATTAATTTCTAAAAGAAACTGCAAAAGAGCAGTTGACACTAAGCAAACAAGTGTAATAATAAAACCAAGTCAACTGTACAATAGATTAGTAATTTTACATCTCAATCAAGAAACAACTACCTAGAAAAGATACTTGTTCATTAAAGAATATTATGAAGCCCCAATCACAGTATAGTTTGTACTTGTATGCAGAGCAAAATGTTACAAACTTGAATCAAATTTGATATGATATATCATACAAACATCCCCCAACATTTGGTGTTTCACAAGCAAACAATTTCCAGTTATATTTAGAAAATGGAGGCACAAGTCAATTGTCTGACATCTACCCACTTAGGTGTAGATTGTAATTCTCACGCCAGAATTATGGTGTTTGCCCTGTTGGAAGTGATATTTGCCTATCAAATATTCTAAATCAATGTTGTTAACATAGGTCAGTATATAGGATTACCTCCTTCAGCACAACTTGGCAAGCTGCCTTTTGCCTATCATTCTTGCAACGAGCCAGAGCCCTCTCAACATAGCCACGCAACGACTTTGGAAACACACCAGGCTTCAAGGGGCAAGAAAATGATATCAGTTTAATTTCGTATATCATACTTTGTCCATCAACTCCCAAAAATAAAAGAATAGTGATGTGGCAACATACGTTGAAAAGGTGTTGAGCATACAGCTTCAAAATCAAATAAGTAAAACAGAACTGGCAGGCTATATAGAACCAAAATCAACTAACCTTGAACATGGAATCAGTTCCTTCGTGTGGCATACCCTTTTCATTTGATTTCTGCATTGGAACACCAATATAGGCTGGCTTTGCAGCAGTACAGGTCATAGAGCTATCCTTGTCTTTTGAAACACTAAAGGGTATGTTTGAAGCAATTCTTGGATTGGTAGGAATTTGCAGTTTGCTTGCCCTACGTGAATCCAATGATTCTGAAGTCTGTGGTGTAGATTGGAATGATGATTGGTGGCTTTGAGAAATTGGGTAAGAAGCTGGATACATAGCAGCAGAACCTTGTGAAAAGGTAGGGTTCTGTTGACTTTGAAAGCTATTATATGCTGGAAGGGCTTCTGGTGGCTTTTGAGCAGGTGATTGCACAGAGTTAGACAGGTTGTTTGGGAAAGTAGTAGAATGACTTTTCCAGTAAACTTCTGGAGTATTACCACTGACTGAAACAGGCTGATAACAAAAACAGCATGATGAGCAATAACAGAGGTAAGAAAACTAATACGAACTAGTCAAAATGATCATGAGACAAAATTGAAGCTTTAAAAAAGCCCCAACATCAGCCCACACAAACTTTATAAATAAACTCATTATCTTGCAACAAAAACAAAACAAAATTATACAACTCCACAATACAGCATGGAAGAATAATTACAAAGTAATAGGCATAGGGAACCTGAAGTGAAAAGTCAAGGAAATTGAAAACAAACTGACAAAACAAATCTCAAAGAAGATCGGACCTTCCCTGTGCAAGATGACAAACAAAATCTTAAAATAAACAAAGATAAATGCTGGATAAGACAGGAAAAGGAACTTAAGTTTTGTTATTTGAATGAATCCACAAAGTTGTTTCGCAAAATTCATACATGCATAAATCCATCATGAAGCACTTAAGTAAAACACATAACCAACCAAGATTACAAACTCTTTCAGCCAGTTCCAAGTTTTGGATAACTTTATAACTGAATTCACATTACAAGGAGTACCCAAGCCGAATTTACTTATCAACTGAAAACATAATTGCGCAGCATTTATTCCCTTTATATTTCCCATTCCATACCATCTACCCAATGTAAAACACCGAGGCAGAACAGAGTTCAGGTAAAACATATATTGGTATCCAGGCAATCCATTTGCTTCTTTATTCCTCAATTCTCTTTATAGAGCAAAATGTAGAGAAATGAATCAAGTGTAAAAATTCTTTCATTATAATTCATGATATAGTTTCCTGCAGTCAACCATGTTCACAAGTGAAAAACGGCCTTAGTATTTCAAATGTTCAATGCTGTTAAGACTCCTGAAATGATTTTGTGTTGAAATATAGAAACTGGAATATTTTCTTCAAAGAATTTATATAGACTTTATGATAACTAATTCCATGACTCAGGAATTTATATAAAGACACTGGTGGCAGCACTCATATCCAATTTAATGACTCGGGAATTTCTTATACACAGTGCTGAACTTTCAATCATAGTACCTAAAGTCAAAGTAACAAGCTCTGAGTAGGTCCAGTAAGCCTGTTTAAGAAATGAACCTGGATGCTAACTTCAGCAATATTCAGGGTTCTTAGCATTCCATTTCTTCAAAATTATTTTAAAAAAAAAAAAAAAACAAACAAACAAACAAATCTTACAGCAATTTGTTGGATTTATCTATGCATTCTAGCATCAATCAAACACATTAATTTCTTCCCTAGCAAACATGTCAGGAAACACTCATCAAATGAGTGTTAACCTTTTAAACTGCTTCTTCAGAAATTTATATTCCATAGTAGGATTTTTGCTAAGAAATTATTACCTATAAACTGTCATCTAAATATTGTTACTAGCTCTCAAATTTTAGTATAATATGTTTTAAAAAAATCACTGCAAGTTTATATTACTTGTAACTAACTGCAGTGCATAAAAAATGATTTGGACCACCAAACCTGTGGAGGAGGCAATTCAGATGAACTAGATTCTGCTCTCCACGGTGGGGGAGCATATGGTTGAGACATTTGGTTGTTTGAAGCCACATATCCACTACTTCCAGGAGGAGCGGGATTACTCAGACTAGAGGCGGAAGAAACAGGGAGATTCTCAGTCCCAGGAGCACAGCTGACTTCAGTTTGGACTTGGTTGTAATAATCCTCCCATTGCTTATAATGATGAGCATATTGAGATGTTGCAGCGGAGGGGGTTGAACTATATGCTGAGCTCGAGTCTGGAGCATAGTTTTGATACTGATGAGAGCCGTATGTTGCATACTGCCCTCCATGCCACTGGGGACCATATGTGCCATTTGTGTAACTTCCAGATGTCTGATAATTACCAGGATTGTAATAAGTGCCTGAGTAACTTGCAGGCCCAGCATAAGACCCTGTATTTTGAAATGAGGAAAGAGGCTGATAAGCAGCACCTGTGTTTTGGTAAGTTCCTACATGAGAGTAAGACTGCTTTGGTGTTGGTTGATACTGATTGGACTGCTGTTGATACTGATTGGACTGCTGTTGATATTGATTGGCCTGCTGTTGATACTGATTGGCCTGCTGTGGATACTGATTGGGTTGATGTTGATAATGATTCGGTTGCTGTTGATAATGGCCGGCTTGCTGATATTGATTATAGTAAGCACCATAATCTACGTTGCTATATCCATAAGGATCAGGGTTTGGATATGCAGGATAACCATTATAACCTTGTGCCAAATTTGCAGATACTGAACTTGATGAGGAGGTAACAGCTGACGAATTTACTCCATCTTGAACATTTTTCAAGGTAGGATCCGTTGGTTGATCAAGATTGTGACTAGAACCTGGAAGAAAAGTATTGTCCCTTGAGCTCTGGTTCTCCCCTTGAGCATTCCTTGGTTCAATGGAACAGGTAGAAGGGGAATATGGAACTGCATTAGCTTTTTGTGCTTCACTGATTTGACACCCCTGATCATGAATGGGGAAAAATAGGTCATTGAAGGAGCCAAGATAACCTCAAGAATAAATGCAAGTGCATCTAGAGAACGAAGTTATGTTGTGAACATATAATGCCCTAGTAATCATACAATTAAGCATGCACACAGGCATGTGCCATGAGTAGAAAAGTCTACAATATAGAAAGCAGGCAATAACATCATCTAATTAGAATAGCTATCTTTGATATGATGTGCCAACAGTTGCATATATTATATTATATTATATTATATTATATTATATTATAAACATAAAATCAAAGGCATAATTAGAATATTGAATGGATGTTGACCGTGTACAATTAGTAGGAGCTAATTTCTATGATAAAGCAGAGAAGGAAATCAACATTCAAGAGTTTTGATGTAAAAAACACTGGGAAATTATTCAGTCTGGCAGAAATTGTTTATAGAATCTGTCAAAAAGCATGCCATAGAATTCGAACAATGATCAAGGTCCAAGTTTCAAATCCACAAAGAAATTCAGAAATAACTGTCCAGTAGCAAAGGGTGAACCGAAAAGAACAAGATGAAACCAGCTTCCCCATTATGTTTGAAGACGGTAGTTGACCAGCAGGTAAATTTTAGCAAATACTTGAAGGGATTAGTTAGTTCTTTACAATTTAAGCTAAAATGCAGTGATCAAATGTTAGTGAGATTGTATCATTATGGCAAATTTGGAATACAAAACCTTCTTTGGAAAGTAGCATGCTTTTAGACACCAAAAACAATAATAACCAAGAACCTTCAATGCCTAATAAAGGGCTATCAATCTTCTACTTTTCATGGTTGTAAGCAAATTGGGTATCAATATTACTAGCAGGTTAGTCAATCTTGGCCAAAATTTCTAGAGCATTTATGATCAAATTGAATTCAAAACCCACTATCACGACCAAATGAAGCTCCAAGAGCAACTTGATCGCACATATAAAAGAACAAGAAAACATAAAATTTGGTCATCCGCCTAAAGTTTCCAAAAACAATGTGAAATGGAGGATACGGGGTTACAAGAACTTTAAAAGCTAAATCACATCCATGTGTCAATCATATTCGTCTTTTAAGTGGCAAGATTGCATACTAGAACTGGAATTTAAAAGGGTTAATTTATGATTGGGAGCATGCATACTAGAACTGGAATTTAAAAGGGTTAATTTATGATTGAGAGCGTGCCAGATCAACAACTAAACGTCTTGTATTAGGGTCTTTCTTGGGAAGCACAGCAAATCAACAACTAAACATGGAATCATTTAAGAAGGCAAGCAATTATTTCCTTTTATATCCACAATCCGCCAATTGTTATAGTAGAAACCCTCGCCTTGGTCTATCATTGAAACAATGATGGAGGTGTGGATTTTTGTTTCCATCATTGCAAGTTCCTTTTCACACAAAGTTTATCCCGAACAATAATTCACATCCAAAGGTCACAAATCCAAACCAACCGGCACCATCCAAATCAACCAACACTTGCCAAAAGATTAGGATATAAACCTCAAATGCAGGATTCACTAAACTTTACTTTCTTTTTCTTTCTTTAACTGCAGGACACTGTATCAGCCAAATTGCCCACAAGTTCAACTATGGATTTTACATCATTGACTATCCGACCTCTCTACTGTGAATTTACTCTATGAATAAATATAGGGCATGAAGAAGCATATAAAAGGAGAGGGGGGAGGGGGTGGGGGTGGGGGGGTAATGTGCTACAACTGCAGGCCCCTAAACCCCTTCTGATGAAGCATATGTGTCCCACGCACAAATACGGAGACAAACTCATTTAGCTATTGCTATCAAAGAGTAAAAAATCAACCCACAACAGCATAAAAAAAGCTAACCGGAGAAATAACTACCTCAAGAGATGCAACAGCATCGGCGGTGCTTTCTCCTTGATTCATCATCATCGCATCAGCAGCGCCCCTTCAATCAGAAAAGAAAAAACCATTTTGTTAATAATCAATCCAAACCCTAATCACAAACCCTAATCCAAAATCCTTATTGAACAAGCATACAAACCTCAGAACCCAATTGGAGCAGCCGCCACCACCACCAAACTCCCAATAAAAATAAAAATACAAACAAGACCTCCCGAAGAAGAAATCAAGGGCAGAGATCAAGAGAAGCGCAGACGTGGAGAAAAAAATAAAAAGCTTGGAGAGGAGAGGAGGAAGGGGCAGAAGAAGAAGCAGGAACAGCGTTTAATCAAGGGTTTGCGAAAATTGTTGGGTTGGATACATGTTGACTAGGTGAACAATTAATGAAAGGGGGATTGCGAATGAGCAGTAGTTGGGAGTCTCCGATGGATTGAGAATGCGTGCGTAGGCGAGGTGGAGCGGAACTTGTAGGTGGGATCAATGGCGGGGTAGCGGGGTGGGATCGTGGGCTGGGTTTTGGTTTTGGATGGATGGCTCGGCGCCGCAGCGACCGACGAATGACGGACGGACGGACGAAGGAACGAACGCTGGCGATGGTTAAGTTGAGAACGGGAAGTTTATTAGTACTACACAATCAAATGCGGGGTTGCATTCCATTCTAATTTATGGGTTTGTTTGTACTAGTATTTAAAAAATATATTCAAATATATAAAATATATATATATACTTTTTAATATTTAATATAAAATATTATTTTATATATTAAAGACTTACGCTATACAGAGAGCCAATAAAAATTGAATTGATATTACCACACGAAATAATTGTGTTTGGGTCAAATATTTTAATTTAATTATGTATACGAGTTGCACAAACATGGTATGGTAGGATTAGAGTTAAGTTTCTCACCTCAGAACTAACTTGACAGGACAATCCTATTATAATATATTAATAGTAATTAATATGTTTATTATATACATAAAATAATTATAATTTAATAATTTACTTTATATTAATTTAAAGTAAATTTAATTTTAATTATGTTCGAATTAGTAAAAATTAACATTAACACGACATACGATAAAAGATAATTTAATTTAAATTACGAATTCGACGCAATAATAAACCGTTTAACCTGTCTAAAGTATTACATGCGACACGAATTGGCCTACAGTCCGCTCTAGTTTTATATCGCAATAATTATTTCATCAAAAAAATCAAACAAACAAATATGTTCACCAAATAAATCAGATTAATTATTGATAATTAATGTTTTGAGGAATTGAATTGCCTTTTCACTTTATTCTCTATACGTGTGTTTAATTTTTATTTTTTTATATATATATTTTATATGAAAAGAATAAAATATTATATATGATATGTATGTATTATTTTTTTTTATAATATTCATTAAAAAAAATATTAAATTAACATATTTTATAGTATATTTTTTAAATAAATAAATAAATAGTCCACCCATCTAAATATTGTGTTAGTGATACCATATTTAAAATAATATTTAATTAGTTAATAAAAGTGAATTACAATATTATCTTATTTTTTATGTAATTAATAATATTGATAATTTTAAAATAAATTTAATATATATGATTAAAAAAAATAGAATATGTATTCAAATATTTAAAAAATTATATCCCAATAAAAAATATTAAAATAATATCATAATTTATTATTACTTATTAAACATTATTTCTTTAAATATTGTGTTACTAATTATCTTAGACGAGAGAAGTATATTTTGATTTAATAAAATTTATATATTAAAAAATAATAATAAATAATAATAATAATAATAATAATAATAATGGTTATGGAATAAAAGAAAAAAAAATGTCAATTATGAATTACCTCAAAGATTGGGCTGTGTCACCTTTTCGTATGCATGAAAATTGTCCAAAGAGATTCATTAAAGCAAAACAACTCTACATGAACAAACATTAAAAAATCCTATAACATAAGTCCTCCATAACCTAATTGTAGTGTTTGAACGTTTGTGCCTGCCTCTATGTGAATTTTTGTAAAAGTATACGTTTTAAAAGTTAGCCATTGACATATAATCTTTTTTTTCTTAATTTTCTGTTCTATTAATTATTATTATTTTTTTTAATCACAAAACCAAAACAAACAAGCTTTAAATTGAACCAAACAATTTAACCAACCAAACACATAACACGAATGTATCAAATTTGTGTGCCATTCGGTGGATTCGTGTTCTTATTTGTTTGATTTAAATTGTTTGGCTCAATTTAAATCTTGTTTGTTTTGGTTCTGTGATTATCTTTTTACAAAAATTCACATAGAGTGGCTAGCACAAACAATCAAATATAACTAAAAAAAAAACTTAATTGCACAAAACCTAAGTATTTTATACAAAATTGCGTCAAATTCCGATGACCTCCCTTATTTGACAATATTTGACCTACATGCACCTAAACTGTAAATAAATTTCAAATTTTCAAGTTCTGAACTTCTAAAATTGCAAATATATATATATTCCTCTTACATCTAGTCACAAAGAACAGTAAAAGAACTCTTAAAATTGGAGAAAGACAAATATTTATGAGTATATTTATTGTACTTTGAGGTTAAATCTATAGAAATAAAAATTCTGACATTTATTTGCAGTTTGGGAGCATACAGATCAAACACGAATGACCGAAAGGGATTAAACAGAGAGATAATGAAACCATGAGAAAATTTGATATAATTTTGAAAATATAGAGTATTTGACGCAATTTCGTAAAACCACATACACATTTTGCGCAATTTTGCCAAAAAGCAGAAAGCCTATATATTTGATGCATTGCCACACGAGGAGCCGAGGACAACAAGATATGATACATATGAATTGTCGTAAAAACAAAAAACAAAATTGTAATCATGTATATGTATCTAAAATTTGGTGTGAATATTGGATTCTTGATCCATCTGCTAAAACACTTCGAAATATAATTGAAATTTTCAGTAATCGGTAGCTAGCATAAAATGTTGCTTTTGCAACAGAGCTTTAGGTATAACCAATCAAAATCCTATTTCTGCTACAAAATAGGGAATTTCGAACACACAGACAAAAAGGTTGATGAATTAGAATGCGACAAGAAAGCAGTTTTACCTACAACAAAGAGCAGAAGAAACATGTCAAAAGGCCAAGTCCTCGACTCCATTGGCTATCTTCTCTAAGTCATCCTGGGACAGTAGCGTCCTTTTACCCATCCCGCCAGTCTTGTCATATGGCTGAGCCATCCTCCTCAAGAACTACATGCATTGTCAAATAATTACAGAATCATTCAACTATATATATATATATATATGTATGTGTGTGTGTATAAATGCATTTTGACAAATGATGAATATAATGCATATGACATTGTCGCCAATCACATTCAAGTTCATGTTGCTACCAGGAATACCCTAAAAGCAAACAATGCTGCCCCTCCAGTATATGTACACTAAGGGTGTGTTTGCATACAAAACTTTATCCAATTTTTACTATTCATCAAAAAAATTTTCCCTAAAAACATCAAATCAAACACATATTTTTTATATTATACTAAAAATTATTTTTACATTCAAGACATCAAATCAAACACATATTTTTTATATCATACTAAAAATTATTTTTACATTCAAAACATCAAATCAATACATATTTTCTATCACATTATACAACTATTCAAATTCAAAACTTTTACTATTCAAATATCAAATCAAAATCCAAACCCCTAAGCAAACACAACATAATTAGTTTAGGCCATATTTAGCTTGAGGGATTTGGCTTGAATCCCATGAACTAAAAGTAGTATACATGAAAATTATAGTGGGATAAAAATCCTAGTGAGAAAACATGCCCTTGGTCAATCAGCCAACAATCGGGACAATATAAGAGCTGAAACTAAGTTTCAACGTCAAGATGCTTGAAAATTTTATCTATGCAATTTTAATAATTTTGGAGCTCAACAAAGTAATGTTATATGCATACCTCTCTTGCAATATGTACAGCCATGTCCGTGCTCAAGTTGAGATGTGCATCACGTAAATGAGATAGTATCCAACTGGGCAACTTTGAGCGCTTGTCGTGACGACTATATCTAATCCACACAAAATCAAGAAACAATATTATATATCTGATCTAATAGTCATACTAGAAGCAAAACAAACGGATATACCAAAGCCAGGAATTTTCCCCCGGGTAGTTCCAACTGAGAGAATATTTGAAAATTGAAGCATATAGTTTTGGCAGTTTAGATCATGCCTTGAGAAATCATCAAAGCTTTTCCGAATAAGAAAGATTTGCCTCTACATTCTGAACAAGAAAACAAACCTCTTGTCAGCAAATATCATCATCCCATAATCTGCCTTTGATCGTATAACTCGTCCAACACACTGGGCCGCTTGCCTCTGTATATTATACCAAAAGTCTGTGAATACATACTAATATAACACCTAACTTTCATTAATAATAATGTAAAATACACACATGTATATCAGAATTTACCAAAGCATCAAAAGTCAAAAAATCGCCCTCTTTTATTTGGAACGTCTCTCGCAAATATTCCAATCGTGCAAGCAAGATTCTGCAATTAAAACATTGTTAAGCCCCATCCAGTCGCAAAATAAGATTGTAAGTCTAACAGGCAGAAATTAGAAAGGTTGATGCATGTCCTTTAAAGGTTTCAACACAATAATACAGTAGCAGGATTATTCAAAAGTATTCTATTCAAGAAAGAGTCGTCACTAGTGTAGTACAAGAATACAGCACAGTGAATGACAAGAATATATTACATGCAGTTTTAGTATAAGAGAGAGTATCACCACAAAACTAATATTAGCTAACCTGCTTAATGTGTACTGGAAAGGAACACCAAACATAATTACAAGTCTGCCGTAATGCCTATCAAAGTCAATACCTTCTGCCACTTTTCCCCTGTGAGTTAATGATGTAACGGTCATTACAGAGCATATAAATGAGAAACAAAAAGATATACAGCAACAAAAAAACCATTATAAAGCTGAACATAAGACATAACCGATGTTGAAACAAAAGTCCTACATTAGCATGCAAGAGTAAAACAAGTGGATGCTCAATCTCACAGGCACCAGATGGCCTTCATATAATTATAAAACTATAACAATTGTTTGGGCTAGATACTCCTAAAGATTGTACACCTCAATTACCTATAGCACGCCAAAAAAGATTTTTAACAAATGCACATCAACTATTTCCAAAAATAAATTCAGCTTCTATTTCCTGCAACCGATATATGTGTTGTGCTCTGTGAACCAAAAACATAGTTGATTCCTTTAATCCTTTTCCTGAAATCCTTTTAAACCCCACCAAGGATGCAGTTCTACAACTGGATGACACAGAAATTTGTAGAGAACTTACCTGGCAACTGAGAAAAACACAGCACCCCTTCCACAATCACAAGCTTTACGATAATTATCTAAGGCTAATGTAGTTTCAACAACATCCTGTGTCTCTATGAAGACCAGTTTATGCTGCATTATCTCCTGAAATACGATCGAAATAGGTAAATGAAACACAAAACAATGACAAAAGACACAGAGAGACCTCAAGTAACTTGAGACAATAATGCCTTTCCAAAAAAAAATTATTTTGAATGCTTACCTTCAGAATTCCAGATTCATGCCAACTGTTAACAATTCCATCCATGTAAGAATAGCTGACAAAGAAGCACACAATACCATCGGGAACAACAGACACCATTTCAAGCAAAAGTTTTCCATAATTTTTCTCAACTCCAGGATCACTTCTCAGGTCATACTTTGTGCTTACAGGGAGCTGATCACTGAAAATTGGTCAGTGGAGGAAGTGTTACATAACTGTCAGCATCCATCTTTCTCCTGGAAGTAAATAAGATAATAGTAATAAATCTATACAGTAAATGGACCAGAGTCAAAACTGCAGACCTTCCACGCGTGAGAACCATCGGGCATATGCAATCCCTTGTTAATGACATTGTAAAGCTTCGACTAACCACAGGATTGAAATTAAGAAGTCGAGGGTAGAGATCAATGGGGCTCAGTGTCCCAGAAGTTATTACAACAGATTGGAATCGTTCAAACACAGGCTTTATAGCGAGGGAGGCATCATGACAACAAAGCTGAAAACATTCAACATTTCATGAGAAGAGGCTAATAAAACCTAAAACAGCATTATAAAATAACAAATACACATTCAACAGTTCAAAAAGAAAGAATTGACGAAATAAAGGAAAAAAGACTGTAAGTCAATTTTTCAAGTACCAACAGATAATATCCATAATAAAAATGTAGTTGAAGACTGTCAATAATCGAGAACTTAATGCTAGAACAAAAAATGGGTATAGAACCAAAAGATGTCTAACCCTGACTAATGAAGCCAAGATACAAAGTGCGCATGTAATTATTTTGGCCCACACAAATTGAAGGCACAGTACCTGGAGTACAGGATCAGGTATATGTGGCATTCTTTCATCAAAGGGCTCAATTATTATTGAAAATCCTCGAGTGTAGGTTCCCACAAGAGTAGCCAGATCACATATTGTTTGGATATGCAAAAATTCATCAGTGTCGGTTATCTCCAAAGTTAACATAAGGGAGTGAAGCCTGTCATAACAAAACCTTAGCATCTTCTGATCAATTCCAATTTGTGAATTAATGGAAGCAACAAATGTGACAGGCCCCTCCTTTTCCACATTTTCAGTTTGTAGTCGCCCTTTTAGGTACTGGACCAATCTTCGCAAAACAGATAAGAAATGCTCTGCACGTCTGATATTTCCAGGCACAGCTTCTTTTAATATATCATCGGGTAAAGCAGGATTCCCGAGCCAAGCATCACCAACTGTAAGAAGCAAAAAGACAAATGCTGTTACGATGAGATAATGATGAGAAATTCAGCCTTGGTTCCAGTAAAATATGAATGATTCTACGTACGTGGTAGGTTCCCCCTCTGTGCCAACCCCTCAACCAGCCGGTTGTATTCTGCGCGTAAACGACCAGCATCGGTGGCCTTTAACCTTCCTACCAAGTTAATAAACTTACGATTAAATAACATATATTAATGAGTCATTTTCCTTTTTTAGTCATCACAAACTTTTCGAAATTGGAAGGTTTAAAAAAGGCATAATCAATAAAGATTCTATTGTTTTTTTACATGAAAAGGTTGGTTCAGATTATCATCAAATTAAGACATAACATAAGTAATGAAAATAACTTAGAAATTATGAAATCAATAGAAATAATGGACTAAAGAATGAAGTTTTGTAGCACAGAAGATTTCTATAGCTCACATTGAGAGTTGAAAATTCAAAATTAAATTCAACATGCACTTCATCATGCAAAAGCTTTCACGTTTCAATTCATACAAGGTTCTGTAAATAGTTTTACAATACTCAGCAGTCTAGATGCACATTATACCCATTTGTTTTCTAACTACAGATTTCTCAAAAAAAAAAATAAAAGCATACTCCTAGGCACCATATAATCCAAAGACTGTTTGTTCCAAAGATTCCCGCCAATTTTCATTATTCATTAAATTTTTTCCGCTAAAAAACATCAAATCAAACACTTATATTATATTAAAAAATAATTTTACATTCAAAACAGCCTATTTATATTACATCGTACAACTATTCAAATTCAAAAATTTTACTATTCAAATCTTGATCGAAAATCCAAACCCCCAAACAAGCACAAAATGAAGACCAAACTAAGCAAATCTTCTAATTTTCCAAATCATCAAATAGTTAAAACACATAAATTTGAGATTAATATATTCAAGTAAGTAGATTGCATATGCTTTATAAGACACAGAAAGTTCGTACCTCTCAATCTCCTGGGACATCCTACTCAGATTTCTTGTTGCTCCTTCAAGTGTCTGCCTTCTTACACTAACACTGAGTGCTTCAATGCACACATTGTCAATATTGTGGGCCTCATCAAACACCACAACGCACTCTCTCTGCATCTCTTTTGATATGATTCCAGCAACTTTTGGGTCGAGGAGGTACTGATAGCTATATACCACAACATTTGCAAATTGCACCATATGGCGAGCTAAGAAGTAAGGGCACCACCCTTTTTCCTTCCCAAACGTCCTAAGATCCTTCAGATATCACAAGAAGAAACAGAATGTCAAGATTTGATTATCCACGCGTAAAAGCATTAATCGCACAAACATTTTACAGGAAAAAAAAAATGGAGCAAAACCTGCAATGTGTAAACTCCGGGAGGCAGGACAGCATCTGAGGCAGCCTTCTCATAATTCTCAAAGAACTCACACGTAGGAATATTAGGGTTCTCAACCGCCATTGCTCTGACCCAACTCGCAGTAAGCTTCCGGCACGAGGCGTCGACAGAATCCCGATTCTCGGCGGACACAACACTTGGATTCACGCACAAGTTCTTCCTGGATGAAAGCCCCAGAGCAAGAATCCTCGCCGACGGCCCCAAATGCTTGACCTGATAATTGTGCAAGAACCTCAATTCCGCTAGGGTTTTCTCCATCTCGTGTACGGTACGGGTGCAATAAAGCAATTTAACCGGATTCGAGGGCTTGGACAAGACGTAGCTTGTGATTAGTGAGAGAAGGGCGATTGTCTTCCCGGTGCCGGTGGGCATCTCCAGTAGGCAGTGACCTTTGGCATCGAGAGCGCGCTTGAGTTCAACCATGTAGGAGTATTGCTCCGGGTAGATGTTGTCGTAGGGGAAGTATACTGTAACATCTTCGATTTGAAATTTCATTATTCCCGACGGCGGCGGCGACGTAGAGCAGTGATATCCCGATATGCGGTGCTTCGACTCAGAACTCGCCGCTCGCCCCTCGCCCCCTTGCTATTCTTATTACTCAAAGTTAAATATGGAGTGTGAATTGTAGTAATAAATTTATATGACATGCGGATATGATTGAATTTAGGTTTGGAAAAACCTAATGATGTTTACTTTTCGTTTTTACACAATTTTTTAAAAGTTAATAGACGATGAATACTTAATTCATCAGAAAAATTTCTTTAGTTATCCCCTCTTTTGTTTCTTTTCTTAAAAAATAAAAAATTACACATTATTTATATTTTTAAACTTTGAAAATTCTATTTTTATCTTTTTTATAAAACACTATTCACAAAATTATCAAATTTATTCAAAAGTTTCAACATGAACAATACTTTCTTTAACTAATGATGTTTATTCGATCGAAATCGTTATGGCTAAACCCTAAATCGTTATCGTTATTGATTTCGTTGTCATTTGTCTACAAGTACAAGATTTAAAATGCTCAAAGTGGATCTTCATTCCTATGTAGTCTCGTATACCATATGAGACGTGGCGATAAGTGTGCTTTTTAGATTGTAAAGGCACATTTAGCATAAAAAGGACGTTGTATTGTTGGGATCCTTCTTGTAGTGATTCTTATATAGGTACAACTTTAAGCTTGTATAAGTACATCGATCATCTATTGTAGGTATAACCTTCTACATACTATTTTTTCGAGGTGGTTATATTGGAAGTAATTCTAATTTAGTTTCTTAATATTTATATAAATTTATTAGGATAAAAAAAAATAAAAATGATGCAGTTGCACGTAGTTTTCTCTTACAATTATTTGTGTCCGTTCAATTTTTTTTCTTTGTTTTTTTGTTATCCATCGAACAAGAACATCAAAGTTAATTTCCTCAAAACTAGTGTTTTTACTTGCTAATATTGCATCAATCATTTTGGAGTGTTCTTGGATAAATCTTGATAATATTTCTAACACTTGGTATCAAAGCTCGATTGATGCCTAAATATCTCAAATTTAAAGACATGTCGATAGCGTCACAACAAAGTAAAGAAGGCAGCGTTATCCCTTTCCAATGTCCTATGTTAACCTCGACGAATTATACTACCCGAACAATTAAGATGGAAGCCATTATGGATGCTCAAGGGATTTTGGAGTCCATCGAACCACCAGCTCAAGTGCAGAAGGCAAGATTGCATTCGTCGAAGGGTGAATTTGAAAGGTTACGAACTTTGATGGGGATCAAAGATTTGAACGTGTTAAACTAGAATTACGGGGAAAGTATTGGAAGTAATTCTAATTTAATTTCTTAATATTTATATAAATTTATTAGGATATATAAAAAAAAAAAAAAAAAAAAAGTGGTGCAGTTGCAGACAGTTTTTTTTGCAGTTTATTTGTGTCCGTTCAGTTGTTTTTTTTTTTTTTTGTTATCCATCGAACAAGAACATCAAAAAGTTAAATTCCCTTAAATTAGTGTTTTTACTTGCTAATATTGCATCCATCATTTCGGAATGTTCCTAGATAAATCTTGATAAAATTTCCAATTGGTTACACGGCGTTATTAGTCCACATGTTGAATATAATTTATTCTTGTGTCTCGCATAAAAAGTTGCAATGAAAATGAGTTTTTGGATTGCAAAGACGCATTTCATATAAAAAAATATATTGTATTGTTGAGAAATTTTCTTGTAAGTTGTGAAATATATACTATTTGTTAAAATATATATAATATTATATTCGAGTAAGATGGAAAAACTAAATGGTATCGACTTTAATCTCGAAGTACAAATTTCTTCTAATACAGGTGCATACAAAAGGATAAGTGCAACATGATTACAACATATATATATATATATACAACTTTTAACTTATGTAGGTATTACTATCTTTTGTAGTAGGTATATCATTTTTTTGATATGATTACAACATATATATACATTTATGTATATATTAATACATATACAATACTTATAAATAACTTTTGCAAACAAATATTTATTTATATTTACATTTATACTTGACTAATATTTATTAACAACATATATATATTTATATGTATAATTACAACATTTATACTTACATATATATATATATACTTAGCTTGAAAAAATTTCATAACGTTATATTATCAAAAAGTATTATTTTTTTATTTAAAAAAAAAATAAACATACCTCTAAACATATACAATTACTTCATACATAAGAAGAAAAATGTCAAAACATTTTAACACAATACTATTAACCAATAAAAACTAATTATTTTTTAATTTATTACAAAATCCCAAATTTAAATCCTTTAAAAATATTGTGAATATAATTCATGGTGTGTTTTTATTTGGAAAAATCAAATTTTCAAAAATACATTTTTTTAAAAAAATTAACATATTACCTTATTTATTTTTATTTTTATAATGATTATTCTTATAAGGGTGTGTTTGTTTGAAGAATTTTGGAGGATTTCTACTATTCATCCAATTTTTTCCCCCCAAAAACATCACATCAAACACCTATTTTTCATTTTTTATATTATACTAAAAATCAATTTTACATTCAAAACATCACATCAAACCCTATTTATATCACATCATACAACTATTCAAATTCAAAATTTTTACTATTCAAATCTCAATCCAAAATCCAAACCCCCAAACAAACACACCCTTAGCATATTTCTCCAAATTTCTATCATTATTAATCTTAAACAAAGATCACTTCTAACATCTATTTATATAAATTGGGATAATATAACTATTTCATTTCAAAATTTCTACAATTCTAACTTTCAACCCAAAAATTCAAAACCCCTCAACAAACATTTACACGGCCTTAATAACAACCCCTTAGCCGACGCCAAATTAATCAACCTCCAAGAAAAAGGACATTGCTTCTTTTTTTTTTCTTTTTTTTTTTTAAAAAAATAATTTTTTTAATTTTAACTTTTAATTTTTTTTTATCTTTCTAAATTTTTATAAAAATATTTTAAATTATAAAAATAAAATACTGTTTAAAATTATTGAAAAAATTAAATATTTAAAAAAATAATAGTGAAAAATTAAGTTATGATTGAAATAAATTTAATGTAATAACTGCATATTCAGAATAAATGGCCTAAGAACAACTTCAAGATGGATGCTTAATACTTGGCGACAAAAACAACTATTTCGAAACAAAAAAAGTTTTTAAGAAATGGGAATAGAAAAAAAAATCCCAACTACTTGAATTGAATCAGAGCAGCTACAGCTAGAACTAAAAACCACGAAATTTAAACCAAGATTGATGCTTGAAATATCAAATTTTAATTCAACAAATTGGCCAATCGAAACTGTTGAGCAAGTCTACCCTCTTTCATATAGAACCTGCGATGAAGAAGATGTCGATCCTTCACAAACCACAAACCACAAACAAACCAACTTCCATTGGAACCCCAAACGGAATTTCTTAAAACCTAAAATTGCAAAACACCCGAACAAAGCAACTCCTCAGAACACAAAAACACTTTCCCAATTCCAAATTCAAAAGCAACAAATGCGTATAATGTAAGGGCAATTGGAGGCGGATTTGCGACGATTATCAGCCAAACGGACAGAATAGGGAAATCCTGGGGAAAAAAAAGGCTGTATTTTGCCTTTTCTATTAGAAAAATCCCAAACTCAAATCCATTTGACAGTGCAAAAACAAACCCGTACTATGATGCCATTCGTTAATGTGAAGGGCTGGAAATATCGCTGGGCAGCCTGCAGAAAACCCGCAGGCATATTCAGAGCAACGAACAGGAATAAGAATTCGTTCAAGCTCCCCCCATGCAATTCAGCCCCGACAACAAAACGAAATTAAGTGAAGAGATAGATGCATACGAGGAAGGAGACGCCTGCGCGCTGATGAGCGGCTGTCTTGTTAAGAACCCTAATTGCGTTTTTCTCTCCCAGGTTTTATAGAGATTAAGTTGGGGAGTTGGGCTGGGCTTGAAAATATGGGTTGCGTTTGGTGGTAGACTTTGTTTGTTTGGTGTTTTTATTTGAATTTATAATTAGTGAAAATATGTAAGGAGGTTTGATATTTTGTAAATTTTTTTAGCATTGATGTATCACTATTTTACCAAAATAGGAAGATAGTATTGAATATTAATTTTTATAAGAAGATATATTTTGAGGTTGAGAGTTATTTACTATAAATTATAAATTGTAAAAATATTTATTATGTAATGTACTTCCTCTGTCCTATCGGAATTGAGCCCTTTGATTAGGGATGTACTTCCTCTGTCCTATCGGAATTGAACCATTTTATTAGGGATACAGTATTTAAGATAAGGATGTTTATTTAGTTAATAATAATTAGTTATGATATTATGATACTATTTTTTTGTATAATTAATAATATTTATAGTTTTAAAATAAATTTAATATATATGATTAAAAAAAATCAAATATATGTTTAAATATTTAAAAATTATATAGCAATTAAAAAATATATGCAATATGGATATCATTTTGTAGAGAATAAAATTTTCTATAATACAAGTAAATAAAAAAATATTTTTGTTTATTTATAATTAACATAAATTAATTTTATTAAAGATGTGTAGTTTTAAATATAGATAAAAATATTATTTTTTTAAGAAAGAGGTAGAAATAAAGGGATTTTGAGTGGTCCTACTTCATTTATATGATATTGTATGTTATGTAGTTAATTAACTTGATTTATATTTGTTAAATATGTTTTAGTTTAATAATTTTTACCAAAAATAAAAAAGTGTTGATTGTTACGGGACAGACAAAAATAGAAATAGTATAAATTGTGGTGAGACTGAGGGAATATATAATACAATTAGCAGCCCTACTCAAACGTAACACTTGCAAACTATATATGACAGATAGACCAAAATCACAAGTTAACTCTGTACACCACAACATTATTCAGTAATTCCTAAGATACTAGAAATAAAAGATTTTAAATATTTGAAAATTACACTCATTAAAGATTTTTCTTTTTTTTTTTTCTATTACGTCAAAACCCACCTAATCCTTTGAAATCATTTTGAATTTGACAGATTTGGTATAGATTTTTATATTTATAGTGCACTAGTTAAAACCGAGCTATACACATACAACCATAAATTTATAATTTTAAATTTTGTTTTATATTTTAAAAATACATACTAATAAATATAGGTTTATAATATACATATAAGGTGTGTTTGTTAGGAGGATTGGATTTTAAATCTACAATTCATTTAAAAAATCAATTTTACATTCAAAATCATCTATTTAGATTCAAAATTTTTACTATTCAAATAACTTAAAATCCAATCACCAAACAAATAAATATTTGTTGTTGCTAAAAATAATAAATAGTATATAAAAAAATAATATAAAAATAGCCTAAACAGATCAAGATCAACACATTTCAGATATCGATAAATTACAAAAATTTAACAAAAAAAATGTAATTATTTTAAAACATGAGTTTGTTGTTTATATGCACCATTTCAACTTTTGTTTTAAAATTTATTTAAACACAAGTGTCGGTAAAAATATTGAAGAAGTTCAATACACAATTACTACAAAAAACAATAACATATTTATAACAAAAATTAGTGACAAATAACGTTAGCTACGTAAATTTTAGAATTGTAATTTAATCTCTAATTTCGTCTCAATGTAAATTTTGATTATGATTTCGCTGGAGGATTTTCTATAGAATTCTATATTCGTTATTCCACAAAGTAAAGCTTATGCAATTAGAGGTTTTTAGATCTCTTTGTAATGTCAATACAGCAGGTGCATCATCTCCAGAATTTTTTTGTACCAAACATACATACATACATGCAAGAGCAAATCTACACAGTAATATAGAGCTGATTCATACCTGAACCCGAATCTTTTACGACACATACGCCTTGATCAGGTCGGTGTAGTTGCAGACTAATCCTGTTCTTGGACAGGTGATTTTCCCGTGGTTTTGTTTCGCCATGTCCTCGAGGGCCTGTAAGGTTTAAGAACAATGATGGGAAGGTCATCAATGGAGTCTCGGAAGTTTTGACAAGTTTTAATGATCCGGGGGATCGACAGATGAATCAAACCTTTGTGCTGTAAGTGTAGCCGTTTGGCAAGACAAGAGGAGGATTCTCGTTATCCATTAGCTCTTTGCTGATGTAGCAGACCATCTTTGAGTGATGCTGCTTTGAGTACGGCAAATGCTGCGCTAATTTCCGGAACCCCTCCTGCGATAGAGGATCTTCCTTGGTGCAGTCATCTTCGTAACAAAATCTAAGACAAGTCAAGGGAGAAATCTACGTCGAGACATATTAGAAAAAGCATGTTTGGACAGGTCCGACAATAACAAACTTTTAGTTGAACTCGATTTGTAGAATCTATATTTGGAGCCAATATCGAGCATCTTTAGTCCCATGAAGGTACTCAGAATGGTGATATACTCCCTCCGTCCCGGCTGCTGTGTCCCATTTACTGTAGACACAGGAATCTAGGAGATGTATAATTAGTAAATAATTAAAAATGTATTACTGAAAATAATCAGTCTAATTAAAATTAAAATTAGTCTAATTAAAATTAAAATTAAATAAAATAAAATTAAAATGTATAATTATTTTTCAAAAAGGAAAAATAACAGAATAAGGGGGACAAAAAGAAATAGAAAGATGGACAAGGTAAACGGAATGAGTATTATTTAGCCACAGCTAAGTAAAAGTAGTGAATTGAAGTGATTTTTCAAAGACGTTTCGATGGGACCAAAAGTGGCTGAATTCAATCATGAACCAACTAATGGAATTACTCTAGAAGATACGAGGATTCAAATTTGAAAAAGAAGTCCGATTCTTGTGTAAACTAGAATACTGAGTATCGAAAGAGAATTTATTAGAATATGGATACGGTGTCTTCAGAGCTGACAAGCCAGCCTGCAGATATATATTCAGTAAAGGCTCGACAGTCATTCCATATAATCTGTAGAATTCTTGCTTGAATTGGTCGACTAAGTAATCCCATTGCTTTTCCTCAAACAAGACCTGATAGAAATCAAGACAGACCCAATCTGTAAGTCAAAAAATACATGCATTGCTATGGGTTCGCATCATTTCATTGGTAATATACGTATATGTTGACAAGGATAACATAGAACGAGAAATTTTGTAGACATTAACGAGAAAAATGTCCAACATTGCTTATATTGGATCACACCTGACGACTAAACACAGTAGCTGATAGACAACAAAATGCTCCAACATTGTACATCATGATAGAATTTGATGGCTGTAGTTAAAGTTCTATTGTTCTATTGATGCAGACAAATGCTTCTAATTATGCCATTTCTTTCTTTCGATTTAAGTATTAATCAGTCAGTTACAGCTTAGAGAATAATAAACCAATTTGAGAGGTCAATCAATACTATTGGGAGTCGAGTCAAGCATCCCTGATAAGCATGTTTAAAAGGGTCCACTCTAAAAGGAAGAGTCACTAGAAAGTAGATGTGTTATATGGATGCAAATGGCGAAACCAAATTGTACTCCAAACTAAACACGATAGTGGAAAGAAAAACGTAGATTAACTAATACTTCAGTACAACACAAAACATCAATTTGTTTTGTTGCTAATTTCCCACCCCAAGTAACAGATATCAAAATATTACCCACCAAACATCTTAAAACAATTTCTTGCTATACATGTAAACAGTAAAAATGAATAACTAGTCATTCTATATCCCGTTGAAATTTAAAATTAATTCATTATCACATCATTCACATTCCAATAGTCCAAAGCCTAATAATCAAGCATAGATGCTGTTATACATCTAGCTATTCTATACTGATTGATATTTCAGGACATATACAGACAACTGAATCAAAACTTTTCATTACTGTATGTCTCATAAAATGTTCATCATGTCTTATCTTCAATTTTAGCAATCTAAAAAGTGCATGAAACCAATATGCATATTTGGTTTAATTTTCAAGCAAATTTTGACCTCTCTATATTCCATGCAACCCAAGCACTTAAAGATATTTAATAATCAGATTCTCAGCTCTTTTTTTCCAAAGGCAGACGATTATGCTATATAGTAATTATCATCAATACATATTATGACATTGACTACTATAAAACATAATATTAAGATATATATTGTTTATTAAGTCAATTGAATACAAGAGTAAAATGACCAATTCTTAATTTTAGAATTTTCATATTCATTGTTACCTCTTTTCACTATGCATGTTAAATCTATAGTATACTAAAATAATTAAAACTAATAATTAGCACTAAAAAGTTCATTGTGAATGCTTATACATTTTATGCAACACCACCAGTCCAGCACACAAAACATCCAATACAAAAAATCAATCCAATCAAACACATGATTTTCACTTTTCTACACGATTTAAAAATATTTTCCCACAAAATATTACAACAGATTATAATACAAATGGTTCACATCCAAATGTTACTATTGAAATTTCAAGATTCAAAAGGAAGTTAAGTGTTTTCACCTTGTATGTTGCGCATTCAGTGGTACTTTTAAAAGCAAGGGTCGCCATGACCCGCTGCAATTCTTTCATATGGGTGGCTCCCCAAGGAGCTAGATATTTACGAGCATATGCTATAGCACGTATACTTTGGTCAGCTCTAACCAACTCAATGATTTCTTGTAGTCTCAACTGGAACTCTAGTTTGCTCTGCAAAAGCATCCACTGTTAATCATGTCTTATACAGACAAATGAATGAAAGTCACAAACTTTCCCAAATAATGATATAAGTAGGCTGAAACATATCATATGAGAAATCAAAGGAAAAACTTCATGAAGGTCTACCATTAAAGATAGTGCGAAAACAAAATGTAAGATGCTGCATGAACACAGACAGAAAGGAAATATCATAAGCAGGAACCACTTGGAAAGGAAAGAAAATTACACAACTAAAGATGATAATTTGAGGGTATTACAGCTACACTTGTTTCAATTGAATAGTGGAACTTAATAATAAAAAATGTTGAGGAGACAAAGCATAATGACTCATCATTGGGTAATGAAATATTTAAACTAAAGAGATATCTATTTTATCCAGCATAAAATTAACCAAGTTCAAAATTCATTATGGGAATCCAAGCTTCTCATGCATTGACCGCTTTTTCTTTTAAGTTGAATGGAAAATGAGAATGCTGTACAAGATATTAACACAAATATAATTCAAAGAGATTTACTATGCCTATTCTTGGCCAAAAAACACTCATACATGCAATATCTTAGGCTTTTTTACTTGTGTTTTCAAGTTTTTTTTCACACTATTCATTAAATTTCTTCCTAAAAAACATCATATTCAACACCTATTTACATCAAATTAACTTCCAACTTTTTATTCAACTTTTACTATCACCATAACAACACCAAAACACTTCCAATATATAATCACACCCTTATTTTATCCTCAAAAATAAAAAAATTAATCTTAGCCCTAAAACTTGGTAGTTTATTATAGGTGCCAAGCCAAACTATAAATCACAATAAGTAGGAGAATGACTTCTCACTGAATAGTCAGTGAAGAACCAACGATCTCTATCTAAGTAATTCAAAGCTTTAGGGGACTTATTTACATAACTAACCCTAACCAAATAAAAATACCAAAAGTTATCCTAACTAATGGAGAATACTGACTAATCTCAAAGAGAGCTTAACCAGGTTAGACTCCACCCTCATGTGCTCACAGGGAACGTGGTGGAGCTTCCCCCAATTGTAGTCCTACCTCGGCATGTAACACATCATTTTTCCCAACGAATAATTTAAGGAAGTAATTTTCAGGAAGTCTACGATCTTCACTATATTGATCAAAAACACAAAATCCAAAAGAAAAGAAAAGTTGAATGTAATTACCTTTGACTTCTTCAGCCTGGATTTGTTTTCAGCACACCAGGCCAAAGCTGGGGCTACCTCCTTTTTCTTAAGGGCATCAATAACCTTTGCCGCCTCATAAAACACATCTATATCAACAAGATCCTGCTAAGATAGACAAATGATAATCTAGGCAATGGCAAGTCGAGTGAAGCAAAACATACAGTTGTAACAAAATGTACAAGGAATCAATGACAAACAAACCAAAATAACCATTCAATCCAAAATATCACCTGAATATTGTAAGTTTCAGCAAGCTTTTCAGCAGTTTCATAACATGACGTTCGCAGCATGTAATCCACTAATATTCGTTTCAAGCGAACGGCATTCCAGTCCGATACATTGTCCACATCTGCAGATTCTAGATGTTCCAACCTAGTCCGACATCTCTGTGCTTGCAAATGCTCTGTTAAGCTTCCCTCTTCTAACTGATTCATCAACCAGCAAATTAGAAGAAATCGAAAGTGTGAAAACTGACTCCAAGTTACAAGGTGAATAAAGACAACTGAGTTTCATCTCCATGATTAAGACCAATACCAAATTAAAAGTTTGTGCCAGCGGAATATACAAAAACAGAATAGATAACAAAGAATCTAACAAATTAAGAGATCGAAAACAATTAAATATATAAAAAATATGAAACTAGTACTTTTCTTTTAAGGCCTTGCAATCGGGAGACGAGAGAATTGAGCTGGTGAAGGGCGTCGTCTCGAGAAAGGTCGGCATCGGCGGCGTCTGAGATTCCAGAAATTACAGTGGAGATTTCTTTCTCAAAAGCGCGGTGGTTGGCGCGGATCGTCTTCTTATATTGCTCGAAAGGCACGCGAAGGAACTGGTGCTCGAGCTTCAGAGACTCCGCCAGTTTGCCAGTCTTTGACGCAGTAGTGGCGACGGCGGCGACAGTGGAAGAATTGCCGTTGGGAAGCTGTTCGTCCGTCTCCATTGGAGAAGTCATTTTCCTCTCTCGGTGCCTCTCGTGTATTTTTTTTTTTTTTTTTTTTAATTATTAACTTTTAGGCTATTGCTAATTATTGAAGCAAAGCATATAGGTTCCGAGTTCCAACAAAGGGTGAGCATTCGACGGCCTTAATAAAAAGAAAATCTGATTTTTTTTAGTGAATTGGTTTGATTCGATTCAAAATTAAATTTTTAAATCTATTATAGTGTTAATTTTTTATTTCGTTTTGGATAAATATATTTTTAATTTTAAATACATTCGGTCATTAATAAAAATAATAATAATAATAATAATAATAATAATAATAATAATAATAATAATGTGGGTTGAATTATTAAAATATATATTTCTACTTCATAGATTTTGATTATGTAGAAGTATATTGGATTTTTTTAATATTTATAAGAATGGTATTTCTTCCGTCTCATATTTATATATTTATTTGTTTTTTTATATAAAGGTTAAATTGTACAAAATTCATTTGTGTTTCATGAAATTGCACAAAATCTTCGGTACTTTTAAAACTGAGTCAAAGTTTCATACACTTTGCATTTAACCTCTCAGCTGTCCTTATTTAACTGTATTTGCTGCGAATAAATTTTAGAATATCAAATTCTAAACCCCTAAAACTACAAATATAATTATTTTTCTCAGAGTTTATTTTTACTTTTTTTAGGCTAAATATATAAAAAAAAATAAATATTTTTGTAATTTTAGGGATCTAAAAATTGAGATTCTAAAATTTATTCGCAGTTTAAGGACATTTAGATCAAATACCATTAAATAAGAACCGTTGAGGGGATTAGACGCAAAGTTTATGAACCACGAGAGAGTTTGACGCAGTTTTAGAAATACGAGATATTTGGTGCAATTTCAAATCACGAATGAATTTTGTGCAATTTAGCCTTATATAAATAAATGTAAAAAGATTAAATTAACCGATATTTATCTATAATATCTTGTAAATTAAAATGGTATCTAACAGTAAAAATGAATACTTTGTTATGACATATATTGTTAGGGACGAAACGAAAAAAACCCTTTTTTAAGTATATATTTGATTGCAAGTTATCATATATCATATATATATATATATATATATATAAGAGCTTGAATAGTTCTTTATACTTCCCCGGGAGGAAAGGTTGAATAGTTAGTGGAATGGTGGTGGTTTCAATGTTAGCGGAGAAAAACTGAATATTTTTTTTTTTTTTTTTATATAGATATGTGAGGGAAGGGTATTGAAGTTTATTATTATTGAAGTTTATATATAATGCGATTAAATGGTGAGAATAAGAATATTGAAGTTTATTATTACTGATGCGAATTGTTGCTTTTTTGATAATTTTTTTTTTTATTGATAATATTGAGTTCACAATTTAGTTTCTCACATGTTCATTTTTTTTTTTTTTTTTTTTACCATTGCATTTGCTTAAAAAAACACACTATATATCTACATACTAATTAAATCAACTACCGCTTTAACAACTAATTCCTTAAGACACATGTAGTAGTATCTAGGTACAAAAAAAAATGCTTTGTTTAGACAAAGATTTTTCGAGAGTTTAGAGTTTTGAAATTTTGGCAATAATAAAATATTATAAATATTTTAGGAGAAAAAAATATATTTAATGTGATAGTACTGTTTGTATTTTGCATCATTATATTTAATATTAAAAATATTTTTATATTTATATAATTTATTTTATATTTGTATTTTTTTTTTGTTGATTTTTTGAAAAAAATAAATAGCGTCAAACTCCAAAATTGATGTTGTATAAACAAAGCCATTTTAGTAATTAAAAATTAAATTAGATTACTAAAATTCCAATCCTCCAACAGAAATCATTGCGCATATTTCTCATCCACACAAGTCAACTGATTTCGGTGGAACCCGGAAAGTATCATAAGCTCGTAGGAGTTCAGATCCCGAGAAAGATACCACGCAATTCAGTCCGAGGGATCCAATTACCCATCAGCATCAATCTCCCTAAACAGATCCCGGAGTCAAGGACCTGGGACCTCACAAGTTTTCAATATGTCATGTCGGTCCCGCCGCAAGGGAACAAAATGAGCACGCTCCTCCTCCTCCTCCTTTACGCGCCCCTCATAGAAATTTTAAAACTTTTCACCACTCACTACCAATTCGTTCTCCGATTAATTCGCTGTCAGTGCCGTTCAGGCCGACAATTGGCGCTCCATTGCTGTGATTTCTTCTTGTTGTGAATCGAATTAAGTGGGTTAGTGGAGGTTTTGTATCTTGGCATTAATTGGGCATTTGGATTGAGTGTGCTACTTTTTCAGCGAGTGTGGGGATTTGGATTTCAATTGCGTTAGCGTTTACTTCATCTTTGACATGCGGTATGTAATTCCTGCTTTCTGTTTGGATATTTGAATCTTGGACTTATATTTGGCAGGTAGATCATGTAGATGCCAGTTGTGGTTTATTTTGTTTCCGTGATTAATGTGTTTGAATTGGTGATTTTGAAAACCCTTCCGTTTTTTCTTACTTTCCTTTTCTTTGTAAGGCAAGAGTCTGAACAGGCATGTCTAACGGTCACTCTTGTTTCCCAGATTTTAAATTGAAATGATTTGGGGTACACTGAGGGTATTTTGTTGCATATCAAGGAATAGGTATGTTTCACCTTTCATCCTTTCACCTTTATTATGTTGTTCATGCTTCGGGATTTGGCGAGCTTGGATGTATTTGTATTTGTAGGTTTGATAATAGTAAGCATGTTGCATTTAAGAAATGTGATTTTAATTTACAGTCCTCTTTTAAGTTTATTGACTTGTGCATCAGTTGTGGTTGGTGTAGTTTGTTAGGGAATGAATTTTGATATGGGGACAGGTGATTGGGGGGGGGGGGGGGTGGTAATGGGGTATATTGGTCTTTGAGGCTAAACAATCAGTTTGGGACTGATGGTTTGTCTAATGATGATTCAGAAGCAAATGAGTAGCCTTTTTCTTGGGCATGGGAGTTTCATGATTTCTGCAAATGGTAAAGATGGTGACAGGAATTATTACTGATTTTTTGCTGAAACTCCAACACATAATGTACATGGCATAAATATTTAAGTACAATTTCAACAGTTATTTGCAAACTGCTTTTTAGCAAGTAGGCCAGGGTATGCTGGCAGCGGTCTCATTGTTGAGATTTTGTTATGCTCTCTTTTTATTTTGGCACAATTATTCCTTTTTAATGCCCTTAGAATGCTGCTTTCTTTCTCTTTATTTGATTTAACTGGTCTTATGTTGATGGGTAGCACTTTAATTTTCTTTATGCAACTCTTGCTACTTTATATTTAGTGATAACTTAAAAAGTTATGCTGAAAAGATGGCTGTGGGCACTTCTTCTTTAAGATCGCTAGTACTCTTGCATTTGTTTTCGTGGAGCTGCGAGTCTCTTGGTTCGCTGCCAAGTTTTGCTTTGGTACTCTTTAAATTATCCACTAACTTTTTATATGTGCATATATGTCTGTGTAAGTTGAAGATGATTTTGCAAATCCACTTGTCGAAGTTAACACTAGTGATTTCTGCCTTTGGGGTTTCTCCCGAGTTCATGCACCTGCTTTTGGAATGACTATTTTCTGTTTCAAAGATTGCATCGTGGTGTTTGAGATTGTTTCCAGTGATTGTGCATAGTTTGCTTGTTCCCATTTGGTTTTCCAACTGTTGTGAGCTCAGTCTCTTTTCTTCTATTTTGTTCTTTTATGCAGGCACACTGTCAAGTTCTGCAATAACTAGTAATAATTGAAGTTCGAAGACGCAACGATGAAGAAGCTATTCTTTTTCAGATCACATTCATCTAACACTGCTAACAACAACCAACGATCTCCACCATCCACTGATAAGCAAGTTTACTGGGAAAGACCACCAGAAAAGGTTAAGTCTGCTAAAATCAAGCATAGCTCTGAAGATCTGATACATGGTTCCACTCCTTGTTTACGAAGAAGCCTCTCATTCTCTTCTGGGACTCTTCATGACACTGGAAAGAGCTCACTGAACAATGGTGACCTACTGGGTTCCCCATGTAGTACTGGTCACAAGCATTCAGGACATCAATCGTACCGGTAGGCACTCTGTTTCCCGCTTGCAAGTTTTATATTCAAACTCTTGTATAATCTTTTAGTTATAGTTGGTAACACATCCTTTTTTTGTGTTCTGCTATGCCTTTGTTTTTTCAGGTTTCGTTCTCTTACTCCTGAGAGACAATCTCGAAAGAAGTTACTAGATGCTTCTATGGTTGGAAGTGGCCTGAGAGTGGAGAAGTTCGGTTCCACTGTTTCCAGAGAACAGTCTGATTTGTCAGAGGTATCATCATACTGCTCCAGTAATGTGTCAAATAAAGTTTTGGATCGTTATATTGATGGAGAACAGCAGGAGGAAAGGTGTGTCGTTGCAAAAGCTAATTCCAAGAGCAATAGTCAATTTGAAAAGGGAAATGCTACGTTAAACCGGCCACCAAGACTCCATTTTCCTGCACCTGCTTCACATGGTTCCAGGAAACAGAAACCCAAATCTCAATCCTTCAGAGAAACCAAATTACCACCACCTCAGTTTTCTTCCAATGACGGGGACGATAACAAATATTGTCCAGAATCTCCCAGAGAACTTGCAAAACATGTGGTTGAGAGACTATCTCAGTCACGATTTTTGCCTAAAATGAGGTCCAAAGAATTGGACCATGGTAGTCCGATCACTATCGAAGATGTCTACGGGGGATCCCTGATCAGGCATTCTGATGCATATACTGATGATATCTCCCCAAAAGATTGTACTGGAGATTGGCGCACTGAGACTAGTGATGGATCTCATCAAGAGGAAATTTCAGAATACTTGCGGAATATGTCTTTTTTTGGCAACAAAGAAAGAGCCGATGAAGAAAATGGTGATGCTGCAATGGATACTGATTTGGAGCTATTTAAAAAATCTAAGGAAGCTGAGGTCAGGGTTTCAATTCTCACAGAAGAACTTGGGGGAGAAAAGTTTCTTCAGTTTAGAGGCCTGAGTACGCCTGCATTGATCCAGACCATCAAAAGCTTAACAGAGGAAAAGTTGAATATGGCGATGGAAGTTTCTGCAGTGCTGGAGGATAGGATTGCTGATAATGCCTTGTTTAGGGAAAAGCTGAAACATGAAAGGAAAGAACTTGATGCACAGACCCGAAAATTTGAGAAGGAAAGGAATGAGATGCAGCTACTTCTTGAAAAAGAATTAGATAGGAGATCTACTGAGTGGTCAACCAAGCTGGAGAAATACCAGACCGAAGAACATAGGCTTCGGGAGAGAGTAAGGGAACTGGCAGAGCAGAATGTTTGCCTCCAAAGGGAAATCTCTTCTTTTAGTGAAATGGAAGAGGATGCTAGATCGAGAATTACAAACTCTAAGGAGAAATTTGATGACTTGTCTATTCAATTTAAGGAAGCAAATGAAGAGAACCGTTATTTACAGGAGACTCTATCTGAAGTGCAAGGCAAACTTAGATCAGCCGAGGAAGATCGAGATTACATCGAAAGGAACTATAAGGAGAAGGTTGCAGAATGCAAGGACTTGCACCAATCTATTACTAGACTTCAAAGAACCCGTAAAGATCAAGAGAAGACAATTGAAGGATTACAGTCATTTTGTGAGGAACTTGGAAAGAAAAACCTCAAGGAGAACCCTGATTTTGAGGTAAAGCTACAAGTTGAACTCAAACGATCGACTGCAGTGGAGCATGGACTGAGAAAGGAGCTGGATTCATGCAGGGTTCAAGTGGATACGCTTCGGTCTGAGAATATTTATTTACTTGATCGTCTGAAAAGCTGTGGCAAGGAGGGTGCATTTTCAACTTTTAAGTTGGATCAAGAAATAAATAATCGAATTAGCTTCTTGCAAAATCAAACACATCCATTGCTTTCAGAGAGTAGCCTACTTTGCAGGAGGTTGCTTGAATATGCTAAAACCAATGGTGGCTTTCAACCAAACAAGGGCCAAATTTCTGCCTCATGTTTTGATGGCCACGAAGTCGTGGAATGTGAAGTGAAGCTTCAAGGACTAGAACGGGCAGCTGAAAACTTGAAAGTTAGTTTGCAGACCATTTCCAATGTTTTACAGGAGAAATCTGACCTGTTGCCTCAGGAACACAATTCTGGAGGCATGGATTCTCAGAAATCTATCTCAAATGATGATTTGAAAAAACAGCATGAACTGAGATCGGAGGTAGAGTTCATCCGTAATTTGTTTGTTATGCATTGTGAACTTTATTCTACTGTCACTATATGAAATACAACTGTCTGCAATACCAAACCTGTCAGGATATGATCAAGTCAGAGCTGAAAGCAGAGACCTTGTTGACCAGTTTGTTACGCGAAAAGCTATACTCTAAGGAGCAAGACTTGGAGCAGCTGCAAGCCGAAATTGCTGCAGCTATCAGATGCAATGACATTCTCAAATGCAAAGTACAAAATGCAGTAGATGATTGCTCATGTCTAAACCACAAGATGAAAGAACTTGAGCTCAAGGTTAGTCCAAAAACTAATTTATCCTTTGCAACTGGATACAAATGCCTGCTGTTTAATGCAGTTTTTTACATAATAGTCAATAGTGCCATTATTGTGCTAGAGTGGAGCAGACAGCTCTCTGCCGCCACTGCCGCTCTGTCACAGTGTGTTTATGCACACGCAGCTTGTTGCGGTGGGGCTGGGTAGGGTAGGTCGGAGTACAGATATAACTATTATCTATCGAGAGTAGTAATGGGGAGGGTGAAAATGAGAAAGAAAACTATTTGATAGATTTTAACTTTGATTATTTATTTATCTAACGTAGTAATGATTCAGTTGTTTTTTTGTGAATAAACTATCTATGACCATATCTTTTGACATTTTATTGTGTTCAATATGAGATTTTACGTATTAGTTGGAATGATAATTATGAGATTAATTTATAATATTTTACATGTATTTAAGTATTTTGATTGTAATTTCCACACATAATATTTTTGTAAGTATAATGTTTAAGTTTTGAAATAGTGGTCATTCCATTTTCTCTCCTACCCATCACTATCCGAGATTGACAACCATATGTTTTTATACGAAGAGATGCATTGATATTTGCTTATAATCTGTTTCCGATAAAGCTAAATTAAATTTATTACAAAGTGTACTTTTCATGCAAGTTTTTGTTTCTTTCTGTTGTCTTGAATGCTCAGCCATTCATTTCCAACAACAGTGATATTTTTGTCATGGTCTCTTATTTGAGAAAAAGAAATCTTAATGTTGCATATTGTTGGTCCTCTGTCATTTTTATCAACCATGGATTTTTCGCCACGAATTAGTTCCAAGGAGCGTGATTGAAAATGATGGCGAAAATTTACCTCTATCATAACTCACATGGTGTGGATGATTTTGTTACCTCATAGAAAAACATCTTAAATGTAACATTGTTTACAAATTGCACTAATTTGTAGTTTATGGGCCGTATTGACTGTCTTGGTTGATTTTGTCGTTCTAAATGTCATCGAAAAAACACCTCAAATGTAGCATTGTTTACATATTGTACTACTACCTTGTAGCTAACGGACCATAGACTGACTGTCTTGGTTGATTTAACAGATGATAAAAAAGGATGAAACCATCAACCAGCTTCAATATGAATTACAAGACTGCAAGAAAGAATTAAGCATAGTGAGAGGAGTATTGGAGAAGGTATCAGAAGAAAGAGACATGATGTGGGAAGAGGTTAAGCAGCACACAGAGAAGAACATGCTGCTGAATGCCGAAATCAATATGCTGAGGAAGAAAATAGAAAGCCTCGACGAAGATATACTAGTCAAAGAAGGGCAGATCAGCATTTTAAAAGACAGCATCAGCAAACCCCTGGATCTTCTTGCCAGTCCAGATCCAGATAACTTCTGCTGGACAGCTACCCGATGATGATGATGATCAATGATCGATGATTGATGATCAGGTAAATCACTCACACACACTATTATACGGATTTATCATAGGCTCATTTGTTGGTTTGTGTCTTTTAATCCTTTTGAGGTTGGTGAAAGCTCCTCTCGGAGCTGAGCCAGACATCGGTGTTTTTACAGCAGTTTGTTGATACTCTTGTGTTGAAGTAAGGTTGTCTTGGTAATAAGAGACCTCTTGCCTTACCGTTGTTAAATCCTTTGTTTTTCTCGTATGAAAATATAACAAACAGTACATGTTTTATAAAGTATGTGCGATCAATTTTATTTTATATATGTTGTAGATTTGTATATTATTCGTTGTCTGATATATATTATTGTGCTATCATGTCCGCTTATTGACACACAAATGCTTGTTAAAATGGATGGGTTGGTGTAATTGTTTGTTTGTTTGTTTTTTTTTTCTTTTATAAATATTAAAGATTATTTGTCTTTTCCTTAACCTACTTTTTATAAATAAATAAAAAAAACTATTATTATTAAATGAAAGTAGGAATACTTGGATAATTAATGAAAGTATATCAAGCAATCCATTCATTTCTTTAGTATTATGAACTTTGGAAATTTTGAAAAATTTGGAAATAATGAAAAGTTAAAAAGATTGTTTTTTTAGTATTTTAAATCAAAATAACACTATTTATTTTGTATAATTTCTAATAAAAATAACTATTCTATCAAAATATCATTTAAACAAAAATAAATTAATACTCTATTTGAAATCAATTTAAATCATAATTAAATAAACCTAAGTATGTCCATGCTTTCAAGTTTCACTATATTATTGTTTTCAATAATTATTGTTAAGCACAAAATAATAAAAAAAATAATATATAATAAATAATGGCAGTGGGATTCTGGACGGGTCTGGATATAAGTTAAATGACCCAGAAGTCGGGTGCAATCGGACAGATGCAAGGATCGGGAAGGAAGAAAGGTCGGGCGGAGTCTGAAAAAAGGTGTACCCAAGTTGTTACGTATGAAATTTGGAATTAGGTTAAAAAGCCCAAGGTAAAAGAAAAATGGGCCTGGCAATAGAGTTGATTGAACTGGCTGAAAGACACCGTGGGGAACTCAAGGAAAATAGGTTTATTTCTAAGGAAAATACAGGTCGGAAGGACTTCAGGTCGGGAGGTCCTCAGGTCGGAAAGACCTCAGGTCGGAAGGTCCTCAGGTCGGGAGGTCCTCAAGATGGAAAGTCCTCAGGACGGAAAGACCTCAGGTCGGAAGGTCCTCAGGTCGGGAGGTCCTCAAGACGGAAAGTCATCAGGACGGAAAGTCCGCAGGTCGGGAGGTCCTCAGGTCGGAAAAGTCCTCAGGACGGAAAGACCTCAGGTCGGAAGGTCCTCAGGTCGGGAGGTCCTCAAGACGGAAAGTCATCAGGACGGGAAGTTTGCAAGTCGGGAGGATTGGCAGTCGGACCAATACGGTTGTAGATTGGCAGTCGGGCCAAAAGGGCGGAAGGTCTGTGGTTGGCTCAAAGAGTGTAGTGACAACTTTGGTCCGCTGAGGACACGTGTCAGCAGGAGAAGGGTTGGAAGACGGTTGGAAAGGAGACGTTGTAACCGTTCGGGCGACGATTTTCAGTACAGTTTCCCAAAGAATATTTAAGGATTTGGATCATCATTTGGCAAGGCATCTTCAATCAACTTCAACAAAGCAAAGTCAGATTTGGGGATCACCACTTTAAATTTCAGTCTTTTATTTTCCAGTTTATTTTCTGTACCATACAGTGTTTAGAGATTCCTAATCTCAGGCACTAATTAATCAAGTTTAAGGATATTTTCTATATCTTTGAATTTTACTTTATTTTTGTTGAAAAATTACATCAACAAATTGGCGACCACAGTGGGAGAAAGGCAAGATTGCTGATCCTACATCAACACAAAATGTCATACAACTGAGGTCTGGCCGAATCATCAGAAAAATCAATATGGCAGGCACACAACCTCAATCATCATCAGCACCGGTGGGAGAGAATGTTTCACCACCAGTCATGCCAAATCCAGGGGAGATTCCCCCACCACCTACCGATTGGTTGTCTTATGTTCAACAAATGAACAACCAGCAAACTTTGGTTATGCAGAACATGTTGCGTGAGCAACAAATGAACATGTTGCGTGAACAACAAAATCTAATACAGAACATGGTGGATCAGGCATTCTCCAGATTCACCCTGTATCCAAACATGCTTCCAGCCGTGTCACCTGCTCGTTTTCAGGCGATTTTTCCAAGATCAACGTTTGCAGGGCCAACGTACGTTGACAGTATGTTTCCAAGCGTCACAACTTTCAACCGAACAGATATGGGGAAGATTCCTCTAACTTTCCCAAATAATGTTCCTTTGGGACCGAGGGTTGATAATACCCAGCCGAATGAGAGATTAGGAGGACAGACTCATAATCCCATTCCAACCGAACCAGCCTTCTCTAGGGAAGAGAGGTTGGGGGAACAGACTCATAATCCCATTCCAACCGAACCAGCCTTCTCTAGAGAAGAAAGGTTGGAGGGACAGACTCATAATCCCATCCCAGCCGAACCAGCCTTCTCCAGAGAAGAAAGATTGGGAGGTCAGACTCACGATCACATTCCAGTGTTCGACCATAGAGAAGAAAGGTTGGAGGGACAGACTCATAATCCCATCCCAGCCGAACCAGCCTTCTCCAGAGAAGAAAAATTGGGAGGTCAGACTCACGATCACATTCCAGTGTTCGACCATATTCCACCCAGAGTAGATCCGGAGGATATTGCTCAAGTTCTGCGGGTGCATTTCGGAATGAATCCGCAAACGGTGAACAGGCCGGTTTACCAGAGGCCATTTCCAGAAAGGATCATTAACGATCATCCTCTCCCGAGAAATTATAGGCCACCAGACTTCTATTCTTTTTCGGGAGAAGACGGAGCCTCTACCATTGAGCATGTGGGTCGCTTCACGGCTCAATTGGGAGAAGTAGGCAACAATCCGTTTCACAAGTTACAATTGTTTGGGTTGTCGCTCACAAGAACAGCTTTTTCTTGGTATGCCAGTCTGCCGCCTGGACAGTTGCAAACTTGGGAAGATTTAGAGGCAGATTTTCATGCAAGGTTCTTTAATCCTCTGCCGACAGTCTCATTGATAGACCTTCTGGAGATCACGCAGATGCCGGAAGAGACCGGTTACCAATTCATAGAGAGGATGCGATTGATGAAGGGACGATGTCCTACGATGATCAATGAAAGCGAAATGACCAATTTGGTGGTCAGGAACATGCATACCAGACTTCGCGAGGCCCTGACAGCCCACGACTTTCAAGATCTGGCCAGTTTAGCATCCACGGCAAGAAGGTTAGAATCCTTTTTTACAGAAAATAATCATGACTTCCGTCAGGGGGGAGATGCTGAAGCAATGTTAGTGCAAGATCGATCAATGTGCAGACCACCACCAGTCCGCGATAAATGGAGGTCGGGTCCAACGTAGCCTCAGAAGATGGAGGTCGGATCTGAGGCTGATGTAGCCTCAGATGCTGACCTGCAAACTCCTAAAACATCACTAAAAGTGATGTTTAGGAGTCTTGAGGAGGAGGCTTATTGTTAAGCACAAAATAATAAAAAAAATAATATATAATAAATAATGGCAGTGGGATTCTGGACGGGTCTGGATATAAGTTAAATGACCCAGAAGTCGGGTGCAATCGGACAGATGCAAGGATCGGGAAGGAAGAAAGGTCGGGCGGAGTCTGAAAAAAGGTGTACCCAAGTTGTTACGTATGAAATTTGGAATTAAGTTAAAAAGCCCAAGGTAAAAGAAAAATGGGCCTGGCAATAAAGTTGATTGAACTGGATCATCATTTGGCAAGGCATCTTCAATCAACTTCAACAAAGCAAAGTCAGATTTGGGGATCACCACTTTAAATTTCAGTCTTTTATTTTCCAGTTTATTTTCTGTACCATACAGTGTTTAGAGATTCCTAATTTCAGGCACTAATTAATCAAGTTTAAGGATATTTTCTATATCTTTGAATTTTACTTTATTTTTGTTGAAAAATTACATCATAATTATCAATAAAAATATATTATTTTTTAATAAAATATTTAAAATATGTTTGCTTAATTTTTCTTTTTCTTTTTAATTTTTCACTATTAGTGATTTTTTTTCAGACTGCGATGCTGAACTAACACACTCACTATGTAATAATAAATAATAAAATATACTACTTCTGGCACTATAACCACATGCATACAGCACACGATTTTTTCCGCATGACACTGTATAATTTTAGGGATTTATTTTAATACTATATATAACTGGGGGGTACTTATGTAATGTTGATATTCTGAGGGGACTAATATTCACAAGCGCATAACTGGAGGGGCATATACCGAAATCAACGTTTATGGAAGAATGGCGGCCTGAAGATTAAACAATTCACGACGAGCGAACAGAGAGACAGAGACAGAGACAGAGACAGAGAGACAGAGAGAGAGATGCTGTTTCAGGTGGGAGGACAAGGGGCGCGGCCGACGTTCTTCGAGATGGCAGCCGCTCAGCAGCTGCCGTCCAGCCTACGCGCCGCCCTCACCTACTCGCTTGGAGTATGTGTCTCTTCAGTTGGCTGTAGTCTTCCCCTTTCAATTCAATCGTTTTTTCACACACGAGAAATCTTTCGTACTGGTGTATGTGTCTGTTGTGAACATTTGATAGGGCATTATACTTCGCGCCTCTTGCTTGCAGGTGTTTGCTTTAAGACGTTCTTTCATCCACAAAATCTTGGATTATGAAGATGAGTTTTTTGGATTGCTCATGCTTGTTCTTGAAACCCACAGTTTGCGCACTACAGGTGAAAGTCATTCCTAGTTTCTGTTGGAATCTAAATAGGATTAATTAAAAAGAAATTGTCGAGATATTGTTGGTGAGCCTCGTTGAGTTGGTATTGTTTTCCAGATTTTATGTAAACATTCAGATAATTCAATTTAAAAAATTAGTCACTAGCTTGTCTGCCTCCATGTCTGGTGGTAGTTTCAGCAGCACTGACATCATAAATATTCAACTGTTTTTGGCAATTTCATGTAGCAACAAAATCATCTGATTTGCTGAAAGTCTTCTCTAGATTCCCCAGTGGCTGCAATATTTTCCTTAAATTTTCTGCAATAATCAAGCATCAACCACAGTGTTCTTCTTTATAAACATCTTCAATTGTTCTATGCAGCTGAGAAGGAATTATTGATTCCTTTTCTGTTCATCTTTTTGACCATTTATTGAACTCCATTGATGGTGCTACTTGCTGATTTGTTCCCTTATCTTCCCAGATGCGTCATTTGCAGAATCGTTGTATGGCTTACGGCGAAGAGGAGTTAAAATTAGGTTGAAGAAAACTAACTTACTTGCAGATTCTGCTGATGAAATCCATTATACTGGTTTGCAGAAGAGTCAAAAAGTTCTCTCTGTTGTCTTTCTGGTGAACAAATCTTCTACACCGCTCATTTCAGTTTTATACTTGTCGTCACAAAGGATTTAGTATGTTTTCATGAAATCTACAATGCTGTATGTGTTTTGGATCTCATTGCTTCATCTGTCACAGAAGTTACCCCTGTTCGCATTTGTGTGTCACCTGATGAATTTCAAAGTTCATGCTGTGGATTGCTAACTGTTTTAACATTTTAATAACTAGATTGGTTGCTGAAATACATTCCATTATCCTGATATTAATTGTTAATTTTTTCTGAGGGTAACAGCTGCTTTATTGGCTACGAACAGGTCTTATCTGGAGAAATAAAGTTTTTTCTTATTCGTACTTCTTTATTTTTTATTTTTTGACTCAACAAACTTGTTAATTGATGCGAACCTGAATCCTGTAACTTATGAAGTATAAAATACACTTGGTGATATATTAAATCCTTCAGCATGAAATTCATGAAGTGCAAATCCGTTATCTCACCATGAGATCCACAGCCTCAAAAGTAACAATAGATGTAAATAACTTCTGAAGGTGGAATTTTATTTGAGGATAAACTATTCAGAAGTTAGAATATTTAGACGATGAGCTTAGGATTAGATGGTGAGATTAGGAATTACAAGGTAATTTATACTTGCGTTGAACTCTGTTCTTTGTCATTATCTTGGCCATTTGAACTTGATAGTTATATCTATTTTGCACTTGCAAGGCACTGGCTAATTGGTACTTATTTCTTAATAGATTAGCCATTATAGATCTCATTTTCAAGTGATTCATTCAAATGATATTTATAAACCAATTTGGTTGTATTGGACATAATGATGTGGGTTGGCAGCATACTTCACCCCAATAATTTGAGAAAAAAAAAGAAAAGAAAGTTGTGCTTACTACTTGAACTTTGTGTCTGATATGTATCATAATCCTTTAGATCATGCTGATGATAAATGCTTCCTCTGCTATTTTCAGGTTGTTTTACCTTATTTGAAGTCAAAACTGCAAACAATCTACAATAAAGAAAGGGAAGCTACACTTCAGGCAACTCTATGGGGAGATAGTGATGAAAGTTTTGATGGTAACGACTATGATACAGGCAACAATTCTTATAGACCAATGGGGAATTTAAATATTGAAACATCACCTCGAGCTCGTGTCATCAAGAGGTTACAGAAGACTATTGGTACTTTCTACCCTTGGCTACATGCTGGAAATGAAGGTCCGACTCGCAAATTTTACTCTTAAATCATTGTCAGAACCCAATAAAATTCATTTAATCAACTTATGTGTGAAGCACAATAGTGGGATTCCAAATGTCATTTTTTAAGTCTTGAAACTTTATATTGGTATGTCACTATGTCTAGTTACTTATGTTCTACAATGGCATAATGAATAGATGTAGAACCATATTGAATATGAATAAAGTGTAATTGTTCTTAACTTCCTATTATTTCATTAACATCTGTTATTGGTTTGAGTCGGTCATGGGTGTAATTGGTTAGATAGAATAACTTAGATCAAACATTTCTCTGGAATGACTGCGTAATTTTAAATATCTGATGATTTATAGGGAGGTATATCTAATGTGAAATATTAAATTGGGTAAGTGTGTATTAATTAGGCAAAAATTCGAAATCTGTGGGGATACAGCATTATTGACTTTGGTACAACTTGATTCTGCATTCAGAGCTATAATGGTGATCTCAGAAGAACCCTCAATTGGTGGAACCAAATATGGCATCAAGAGTATCATATAAATTGATACCTTGTATTTTTTTCCTTGATGCCACATTTAGGAATTCATTCTTGTTATTTTTAATTTTTTTAAAAGAATGTATAACTCTTTCATGGCCTATAGTTCAAACATTATCTGACAAGCCTTGTTAATATTCTGTATTTTGTATAAGAACTTGAATATGCAATTTTTTTATGGATTTTTTTATTTTTATTTTTATTTTTTATTATTATTATTACTTTGACTGTGTTTTGTTAGCAATCCACTAACAGAAAATCACAAATAAAATATTTTCTTTGAAATATAATAATTATTTAATCATTATCTCCAATTGAAATACACTTATACCCTACATTCTCATAAGAATTTACATTCCCATTTTCACTTATACCCTACATTCTCATAAGAACTACTTTTTCTGAAGTGCAGGATTATCGTTTGCTTATCAGCTGTTATATTTGTTGGATGCCACTGGGTTTTACTCTCTAGGTTTACACGCGCTAGGCATTCATGTTTGTCGAGCAACCGGACAGGAGATGGTAATTTCTTTTAATACAATATGAGCCATAAGCTGCCATGATTTTGATTTTTCTTTTTTCTTTACTAAGAAAATGTTAAATGAGCTATTATGATTTTTGTGCATATATATATTTCGTACAATTTTATACATTCAAATAACTTCAATCTTAATGAAATTAGAATCTTTCTAGATTTCCCTTATATATATGTTGCAATAGTATGTTTGTATTTGTGAGGATGTAGTAGCCTCTACCCTCTTTGGATACAAAGCATGGGTCCTGAAAAATTTATTGTTTTTTCTTGATGTTTCTCTGATTTCATGCTAACCACTTAAACAATCTTCGTTCTCTTGCAACATTTTTGAGTTAACATGTTTGCTCTGTTCCTAATTGACTGACTGGATGGTTTTGAACTTCTGAAGCTTCAGATAGTGTTTTCTGCAGTTATTAGTTTAGCCATTCACTTTATGACAGCACCAAGAATGATTTTTATAGTCTTTTGTGTCTACAAATGTCATGTGATTGTTCATTATAGTATTAATCCTTGATAGTTGTCAGAAACATGACAATGTATGCATTAGAAGATTCTAGATTATTATCATCCCTTAGGAGGTGCTAGTCTTTGTAGAAGAGGGAAAATATCATTTTTTTTGTTTGTTTTTACCATTTATCCTATTGTTTTGAGTCTTTTCTGTTATTGGCATCAAGATAGATGGATGCATCTTCCAGAATCTCTAAAATAAGAAGCCGAGAACGTGATAGGCTCAGAGGGCCCCCTTGGCTAAAGGTGTGTTAGTTTTTTTGATTTATGCACTAAATACTACACATAAGCGAATATTTTTGTCATTTGTATGGTTTATGAAGCTTTATTTTTAAGATGAAAGTAATAATTTGAGTAGGCACAATATAGTTTCTAATAATTAGAATTGCTTTTACTAGCTACAGTTAAATTTAGAAGCAATCTTGATCTTATGTTACATTTAGCAACCATGAATTCTTTCAAATTTAAGCTTCTTTTTATCGATGAGAGGCTCATTATTTTATGTTGGGGTTCCGAACTGATTTTCCATCAACATAATCTCAGGCGCTGCTGGGTGGTATGCTCACCGGTGTATATGCTATTCTTGACTATGCCCAGACTGGTTTGATTGCAGCTGTGTTTTTCTTTAAAGTGAGTACCATAATATATTCTGCTCTATCCCATTATTTGCACACAATTTTATTTATTTCATAGTTTCAGGAATCATTTGTTTGATACATGTTGTTTCCTGTTGGTAATTTATATGAATCTAACTGGGATTTGCTTTGAAATTTTGTTGAACAATAATTCTATGTCAGTACATTTGATGACTTGAGCTATGTCTTGGTGTTTAGTTGTGAAGTGTTGTTGACCAGAAGTACTCTACTCACATCGTTCATATGCTTCATAAATTGCATATTGTATCATATTCAACAAATTGCACAGTATATATATCTGTATATTTTTTTAAATCTTGTATGTTATGTGGGATACTTAATACCCACAATCATAAATGGCTCACCATAGCTGTCTCTGTGCCAATTACTATAGTGAAGCGCATGCAAGAGGTGCTATTGCCATCGTGCACAGTGCAAATCATGATATTAATACTATATATTTGGGGTTAACTAGTATTGAGTTTTTGTTTTTTGTTTATTTAAATAAGGATATGAAGTTCTATTGTCTTTCTTCCTAAGTTTTTTCCGGCTCAGCGCATGCCCTCTGCCCTCCTGTTTTCATATCTTTTTAGCCTTTTGCTCATCCTTGTCGCTGTTTTCCTGTTTTGTTTGATTTATGCTTTATGCATTTTTTAACGATACTTGAATTATCATTTTGCTTGTTATAAATGTGTCGTATTAATTGTTTCTATGTGTTTTATGTATTAAAAATATATAATCGTTAATAATGCATGGCGCTTACGCCATGGCACTGACACATGCCTTGCACCGTGTGCCATTTACAATATGGTAATACATATTAAAAATCTTCAGCAGACATATGTTTCATATTTGTGTTGGCTCTATTAACAGAGATTATATATAAATTCTTAGTTTGCTCACTTTCTTTGATGTGGTTATTTTCAGGAAATACGACTGAATTAGGGAAAAATCATTTTCACCTAGGTTGTATTGCATTGAACTTTTCATGCTTAAAAATGCCATGTTGGTTTATTCTGGCTATGTGATGCTTTGTGGGAGGGGGAATGAGGTTGCTGACTTGGAGGTTGCATACTCTTCGATTAATTTTAAAAGTCTCTGGCAGAAAATTAACAAGCTTGAGATGTCAGTTGGGTCTTGCAAAAAAATCTTTGTACTTCCACTGCAACATTCAGTATTATTAATCTACAGAATGTCTACATGTGTAGCATGATCTCTTCCCCATTGTGCATCTTGAACATTGTTTCGCTTATCTTTGTGAATTATACTAATATTTGAGCACACAGATGATGGAATGGTGGTACCAGTCTGCCGAAGAACGAATGTCAGCCCCAACTATATATCCCCCTCCACCACCACCTCCCAAGCCGAAGGTTGGTATAATTCTCCCTGAAATTTGAAAGAAACTCTAGACATCCTTTTTTTTTTTTTTTTCTGTGCCTGATATTCTACATGAGTTGTTTTGTGTGGTCTTTGTACATTGCATCATTGCAGACTTTGTGATAACCAGCCTTCTAACTTACCCGTATAACCTGATACATCACTGACTGAATTTTTTTTTTGTTTTTTATTGAACTTGTATAGAGAAGGTGCGTGGTGGTAATTCATCACATTTACTTTCATCTCATTGTACAAGTCTAATGTGTAATCATTGAACTATGGCGCAATTTCTCTTCTCGTTTACTGTGAATGTTGTAAAAAAAAGATAAATTACTGTAGTCAGATACTTGTACATTTCAAAGTTCTATTGTGATCTAATTCAAACATGAAGAGTCTTGTTGGTTTTTATATGCTGCGGTTATATATGTCATATGGACGTTCACTCCAAACAGGTTGCAAAAGATGGGATCCCACTACCTCCAGATAGGACGCTATGTCCTTTATGTTTGCAGAAGCGTGCAAATCCATCTGTAATGGCTATTTCAGGCTTTGTTTTCTGCTATACGTGCATATTTAAATATACCAACCAGGTGAGATTCCCTACTCGGATAAGTTGTCTTCTTGTGATTCTATAAAGATAGGAAATTTCACGTGTTGGGCTTCAAATACTGTACTTTAAAGTTTTACTTGTATTGGTATGTGAATTTTCCCATCATATTTAAGGATACTCAAATCAATACGTTTGTTACTACCTTCTTAGTAGGGTATTTGTACCAAGTGTTGTTCATGTAGTTCTTAATAGGGTTCTTTTTATGGTGCCTCGTTCATTTTTCTGGCCATCCAATTTCCATTTGTTTGTTGAGAAGTCTATTGTTTCTCTTAAATTTTTACAAATGATTGACCTGTTGGATTATCGTCCATAAATAAATAATTTATACTCTTAACAAGCCTTTATATTAAGCAAGTTGAGAATGCCCCATGAGTTTTCTGTTGGGTTGTAACCTGCAGAAAAAGCACAAGTTTAACCTCATGCGGCTGTTTGTGATCTTTTTATACAAGGAATTTTTACATCTATAAATGAGTTTTTCTCATTCTTGTACCAATTCTAACTTCTTATCTTCAATTTTCTTTTTGTGCATGAATGCTTGATTCAAAATAATGTGTGGTGAAGTATAACTCTATTTCTTTCCTGCCACAGTACAAACGATGCCCGGTGACGCTGATGCCTGCAACAGTCGACCAAATAAGGAGGCTATTTCATGATGTATAAAAGACCTCTCTTAGTCGGGATCTTCTGCAACAACTAGTTCCTGGCATAACCAAACGATTATTGGCTACAACCACCTTTGGATCAAAAATGTCTTGTGTCATAACAAGGCTTCTGTAGAATACACCGTAAAGGCGTGATCTTGATGGTTCTGCCGTTCCATGAAAATTTTATTTGTGCACTCCCTTTGATATATTATCTTGTACTAGATAGCTACTCATGAGAAGTAGATAAATAAAAGGAATACATCTAAGCTTTCTGTAGCTTTGTCAAAATGAAGTTCCATGCTTTTTACTTCCACTAATGATATACTTATTCACTGGCTACCGCTGTAATCTCCTCGCTGTGCCCAACCCTGGCCGGTATGGGATGGAGCTTTTTGACTTTTTCAACTTTGCTGCAGGACTGACTTATTGTGGCGAGAATCTGCCTGTCTCCTCCATAGTTCTTCTCACTCTCCGGGGAGCTTCCACAGTTTGTGCAGTCAGGAAATGGTCCGGCCAACCAGCTTGAAAGACTTGTATCCACTGCTATAACCTCATCCATCGATTTCTTTACTACAGCCTGTTTGCTGTAAGGTACAATAGCTTCTGAATTCACATTCTCCTTGTCTTCTTCATATGATGAGTAGCATGAAAGACTGGTATCCACTGCTATAAAATCGTCATCCAATGATTGCTTTACTACAGCCTGTTTGCTGTAAGCAATAGCTTTCGAATTCACATTCTCCTTGTCTTCTTCATATTGTGAGCAGCTTGAATGACTGGTATCCAATGCTATAACCTCGTCTTCCAACGATTGCTTCACTACAGCCTGTTTGCTGTAAGGTACAATAGCTTCCGAATTCGCATTCTCCTTGTCTTCTTCATACGGTGAGTTCTCCTCCAAAGGCTTTAATGGTGGCCTGCTGCTAACCTCTTTTTCTCCAGTTTCTGCTGCAGACGCATCATGTTTTCTGGAATCTATAGACAGAGAGAACAGCGAGTCGGAGGATTCCATCTGTATCTGTCCTGGACAACAACGATCATCTTCCTTTGGATTATCATCTGGAGTCATCTTCATCTTGTCGTTTTCTTTGTCAACAATGAGGGAATCATCTTTGGGATACGGTACAAGTGCTTCCTCCTCTTTTTTCTTGTTTTTGGCATTCCCATTTCGATTCTCCACAGAGTTGTGAAAAATATCATCTGATTCCTCTTCATTCTCTGCTCTGCTACTGATTAAATGAAATGTAGATTAGAATGTGTGTGTGTGTGTGAGAGAGAGAGAGAGAGAAGGTTGTGAGGTAGAAAGTGTGCAGGGGGTATGTATAATCTTACTAGTGGGATTGGGATTGTGCAACAAATTGTAGAAGGCTAGCTATCTCTTCTTCTTTGAGAGCGATTGGCACTGGTACTGATTCTGGTTGTTGAGGAGGCTAAATAAAATAAAACAAGAAAGAAAAAGTAAATGGGAGTGAAGATAAAAAGCGAAAGAAAGAAGGAATTAGGGAAAGTAGTAGTAGTGATTAAGAATAAAAAGCAAGTGGACCTGGTGTTTGTGGTTCTTGATCTTCTTGCGATGCCCGAAACAGGTTGCACGAAAGCATCTTCTCATCTTAGTTAGTAGTAGACTCACTGACACACAATTCTTGGAGATAGGTGATGATGATAGGAGAATATGGAGATGGTGATATGGTGATGAGAGAGAGAGAGAGAGAGAGAGAGATTCTTTGGGAGGGGAGGGGAGGTGTATTTGAAATACTGACCGTTGCGATGGGGACGATTATCTCTCTCTCCATTCAATTTATTAGATGAGGTGAGACCCTCCCCCCTCTGCACATGATTACGATTATGATTTATTATTATTCTCTGTTTGCATTTAATTTAAATTTGCATTTTTTTTCCCTAGATTGGGCCCAAATGAACATTGATATAATGTATGGGGTCCAAAATAAATTACCTTTCAAAAGTAACAAACAAATAAATGCCTATTTGAATTTATGTGATTTTTTTATGATGCACCGCTTGTTTATTGACGTAATGGGCTTTATCCTTTGTTTTTCAACTTCAATATATTGTTGCTTTTTGCCATTTGGGCCATGTACTTGTGTTTCTCTGTGTGTTTTCCACTCTAAGAATCTTATTTAGTTAATTTTTTAAGAAATATATATATATTAGTATATTAGATTTTACAAATAAAAATATTATATGCAATAATTATTTTTATCTAAGAAATATTTTTTTAAAAAATCCAAATAACGCACTTATAATTTCTAGGATGAAATAATTGAAGCTTTATTTGAAAGAGCGTCATATGAGTGGTGTATTATCTAATAGATTATATAATGATGAAATGATAAAATCATTTGATATTTATTTTAAATAATTATTGTATAAAATTGTTAATTTTATCTAAAATACTTTTGATTGTATGATAAAATTAATAGTAATTTATGATTAACATACCCTCTTCCCACCAGCTTTTACTCATCAATTAATTGGGGCTGCCCATTGTTCAATTACTACGTATTGTTCAGGCTTCATCAAGACATATAATATATTCTATTGGATTTGAAGTTTTAGTTTCCTTTAATCAATTTCTGGTTAATTTTGTTGGTGTTGCTTGATTTGAGTTCAATTTGGCCAACTATGTTTGATTAATTGATTTGTTTATTACCAACAATAATTACAATTTAGAACATATGCAATTGTATTTGTATTTTTATTTTTATAACGTGAGAATTTGCAAATCGCTTTGAGTAAACATAAGCGATTGTAATTTTACATTTTAATATCTCGGGGGTGAAATAATTGAGGAATTCTTCCTTTTCTTCTTTGGTATGAAACATGAATGTTAGATATGATACTTCTGTGAAGATCAAATATTTTTTTTTTTTCAATTTTTATATCCCATACAACCTTACGATTCTGTATAAAATATATATCAATTTTTAATATAAACATCAAATCTAACAACTATTTCACACACAAAAAAAAAAAAAAAAGTTCAAATATTGTAAAGTAAAAAAAAAAAAAATGAAAGAAAACCTCAAAGATAATAAACTAAATTTATTATATTAAAGGTATACTACTATTAAGTATGTATAAAATGTTTATTGTTTTTTTAACTGAGACGTTCAATTTTTTTTTTAAACTTTTTATTATTATTATTATTATTACAGCCAATTTTTCAATTGTAGTATTTAAAACACAATTTATACAAGTATTTCAAACAAAAATATAAAGATAAAATTGTTTTATAAAGTATTTAAATTGTATTTTTAATTTTAAAAAATTATGATATTAAAAAATAATTGCAAAGGAAAGGGAAAGAGGCCATATATGACATAGGATTTAACAAATATGCTTAACCATTTATAATTCAAGTATTATTGGGCTTGCACCATTATTAACTCAACTTTAGTTCAGTTGGACCTACTTTTTACACATGTGGAGGATAAATGGATAAAAGCTCTCCTTATGTCATTTTCAATCGTACATAAATAAGTTATATCCATTTATATGTTTTATAAATGTCCACAAATATAAATAAATTTCTATATATATATATATATATATATATAACTAAATATCTATTTGTTTTTTTTACATAATTTTAAAAATATTAGTATTATATATTTAAATGTAGTAGGAATAAAGTAAAAATGATTAAAATAACTTTATTAGTATATGTGATATAAATGTAATGACATTTGTGTAATATATTGTAAGTTGTAAGAGTATTTGTAATGTTATGCAGATAATACAGTTATTAAAAGAGAAAATTGATAAGACAGACTAAAATAAAAAAATGGATAATTTGTTATAGGACGGAGGAAGTATAAAAAATACTACAAGCTACAATTAATATATACTCCATCCTTCTAAGTAAAAAATGTCTATTTGATTTTACATACGGACTATAAATATATTAATATTTATAGTTTCGTAGTATAATAAAAAAATATGTCAAGTCTATTTTAGTTTTGATACCACATAAAAGTCTTTTTTACTGTATACTACTCTCTCAATCTCAATTCAATTTAATTCAATATATTAATTTTATCATTTTTTATTTATTCATTCAAAAGTATGCATTTTCTTATAATAAAAGTAATTATATATAAATATTAAAGTATTCTTAGTTTTTATAAAATTGTACTTTTTATATTTATAAGAGCAAAATTATCTTACACATTTATTATATAGAAATATATATAAATATACATTCGATCAAGACGGAGTATATAGAAATATATATAAATATACATTCGATCAAGACGGAGAAAGTACATTCTTATTCTAAAATAAAATTACGTTGTATTTTTTTTTCCTCAAAATTTTTATATTTATTTTATTTTATATTATATTAAAAATTATTTCTACATTCAAAATATCATATTAATATTTATATATATTATTCTAAATAACTATTCAAATTCAAACTTTTGTTATTAAAAAATTGAAAAAATCAAATCCACAAACCCACCGTAAGGATTGTCATCGTATAATTGGTTGGAGTGTGTGAATGTTACGTTACGCCCATCGTTGTCCGTATGTCTATTATATATTACCCTCTCTATTTCGGCTATCGTGTCATTTTTACTTTAGATACGAGAATTTAAAAGAGGTATAATTAATTAATAATTAAGAATATATTAGTGAAAATAATTATCGTATAATAAAAATAATTTTAGATTAAAATTAAAATAACTAATTAGTATAATTAAGATTTTAAAAAATTATTCCCTCCGTCCCACTTACTATGTCCATGTTGTCGTTTCTGTCCGTACCACATCTCATGTCACTTTCTTTTTTTGGAAAATGATTACACATCTTAATCTTATTTTAAATTTTATAATTTTTTTTTTTTTAATTTTAACTAAACTGATTATTTATCTTAATTTTAATCTATAATGATTTATATTATATTATAATTATTTTTACTAATATATTCTTAATTATCTACTAATTATATTTATCTTAAATTCTCATGTCTATAGTGACCAATACACCAAATGTGGGACGGAGAGATAGTATAAATTAAAAAATTTAAAATAATATTAAAATATTGTTGATGTAATTTTTCAACAAAAATAAAGTAAAATTCAAAGATATAGAAAATATCCTTAAACTTGATTAATTAGTGCCTGAGATTAGGAATCTCTAAACACTGTATGGTACAGAAAATAAACTGGAAAATAAAATACTGAAATTTAAAGTGGTGATCCCCAAATCTGACTTTGCTTTGTTGAAGTTGATTGAAGATGCCTTTTCAGAATAAATCTGAATCCTTAAATAGCCTTTGAAGAAAACGGTTTGAACCGCCGTTTGGTCGGTTACAGCAACCGCTGTCAACCGACCATCAAATTCTCCTCAATTGACACGTGTTACAACTTCCTTCAACCTCCCCAAACCTCTCACGCCTTAAACCGTCCCAGAAATGCCATTCGCCCGACCTGCTTCTTCGCCCGACATCATTTGGGCCGACCTCCGCATCAGCCGCCCTCCGTCTTTGACCGACTTTAATTGGTCCGACCATGGACCAACGAAATGTGGTCCCGACCATGGACCAACCGACCGGCTCTATTTGCCTTATCTCTTTAGGACAGACTGTCCTCTGGACAGACCTCCGTATCTGTCCGTACCTCTTCCTTGCCCGACCTTTCTCTTGACAAACCTTCGCGTCTGCCCGACTTCGTCTTTCACCCGATCTACGGTTTACCCGACTTGGGTACACCTTTTTCAGACTCCGCCCGACCTTTCTTCCTTCCCGATCCTTGCATCTGTCCGATTGCACCCGACTTCTGGGTCATTTAACTTATATCCAGACCCGTCCAGAATCCCACTGCCATTATTTATTATTATTATTTTTTGTGCTTAACAATAAGCCTCCTCCTCAAGACTCCTAAACATCACTTTCAGTGATGTTTTAGGAGTTTGCAGGTCAGCATCTGAGGCTACATCAGCCTCAGATCCGACCTCCATCTTCTGAGGCTACGTTGGACCCGACCTCCATTTATTGCGGACTGGTGGTGGTCTGCACATTGATCGATCTTGCACTACCATCTCTTCAGCATCTCCCCCCTGACGGAAGTCATGATTATTTTCTGTAAAAAAGGATTCTAACCTTCTTGCCGTGGATGCTAAACTGGCCAGATCTTGAAAGTCGTGGGCTGTCAGGGCCTCGCGAAGTCTGGTATGCATGTTCCTGACCACCAAATTGGTCATTTCGCTTTCATTGATCATCGTAGGACATCGTCCCTTCATCAATCGCATCCTCTCTATGAATTGGTAGCCGGTCTCTTCCGGCATCTGCGTGATCTCCAGAAGGTCTATCAGTGAGACTGTCGGCAGAGGATTAAAGAACCTTGCATGAAAATCTGCCTCTAAATCTTCCCAAGTTTGCAACTGTCCAGGCGGCAGACTGGCATACCAAGAAAAAGCTGTTCTTGTGAGCGACAACCCAAACAATTGTAACTTGTGAAACGGATTGTTGCCTACTTCTCCCAATTGAGCCGTGAAGCGACCCACATGCTCAATGGTAGAGGCTCCGTCTTCTCCCGAAAAAGAATAGAAGTCTGGTGGCCTATAATTTCTCGGGAGAGGATGATCGTTAATGATCCTTTCTGGAAATGGCCTCTGATAAACCGGCCTGTTCACCGTTTGCGGATTCATTCCGAAATGCACCCGCAGAACTTGAGCAATATCCTCCGGATCTACTCTGGGTGGAATATGGTCGAACACTGGAATGTGATCGTGAGTCTGACCTCCCAATCTTTCTTCTCTGGAGAAGGCTGGTTCGGCTGGGATGGGATTATGAGTCTGTCCCTCCAACCTTTCTTCTCTAGAGAAGGCTGGTTCGGTTGGAATGGGATTATGAGTCTGTCCTCCTAATCTCTCGTTCGGCTGGGTATTATCAACCCTCGGTCCCAAAGGAACATTATCTGGGAAAGTTAGAGGAATCTTCCCCATATCTGTTCGGTTGAAAGTTGTGACGCTTGGAAATGTACTATCAACA